TCATCAAAAAGCGATTAAAAAGTAATCCACTAATTCTTAACACAGAGAACTCCCTTGTCCTTTTAAATCTTTCTTATGTCAAAGCATAGATCAAGCTTTTTGTTCTGAATCCAACACTTTAAATATTGACTTTTCTTCTTACACCCAAAAAGTAGCTGATTCGCCAAATGTGGATTTTCACTGACAGATGCAGGACTGATGGGATTTGTACTGCACCAACATTGGCTACCCCTGCCCCAGGGACTAGCAGCTGAGCCTCAGCAACAATGCTTACCTCCCCGCAACCCCACAGATAATGGTGAGCAAGTTATATGTATTTGCTATCATGTCCTGGATTCAGTTGTCAGGGAAATTGCATTTCCAAAGCCAAATTCTATGTGTGATGGCAGGTGCAAGTTATGGGCTATAGACCCACATGCACAGGCTTTTCGCGTAGTCATTACACACTCCAGTAACCAGACAAATAGGCCTTCTGCAGTTCCCCAAAGAGCCAGACAGGGATGAAGGGAATTGCACCGTGGAAAGTTGAGGGCAGGCAAATCTACTTTTGCGCCACCGGTATTTAATTGTAGTAGATTGAATCTGAATGTCTAATTCTGACATTTTAAGAATCCTGTCATTCAGACCTTGGATCTAGCTGAGACAGAAGCACAGGCTTATAAATATTGACCACCCAACAGAAAGCTATCACACTATAGATATTACAAATATAATTAAAGTGTCAGTAGACGAGGTACTGGGTGGAATTGAATGCTGCACTGTTGCAAGCATTTCCGCTTACCTGACAGAACACTCTCCCCCTCCTCCCTCCGTGTGAAGTTCTGGGGGTTCTTCTGACACACCCCAAACCAATTGGTTTCACAAGAGATTCACAAACACAGTTTTCCTTTTCCAGAGAGCTTCATAGTTCTGACCAAGTCTTAAAATGTAACTACAGTACATTCTTTTATTAAAAGAGCCTCTTGTAGAAGCACCATTGCCCTGACAAAGTGTACGGCAGCTTCCCATCTTCCTAATTTGTTCACTCACTTTCATTAAGAATTTGTTCATGCTCATTAATCTCATAGGACACAAAACAGTTTATATTTCTGTTACAGAAAGGCTGTTCCCTGCAATCTTCCATATTCCCAGGGTTCTCTGGTTTGTTTCTGCTCTTTCCCCTACCTTGCTGTTTGACCCATCTGGTTGGCCGTTCTGAGAACAAGATGCTGGACTAGAAAGGCCTTTGCTCTGAGCCAACAAGGCTCTTGTACAACATATGCAACAATTGCTATTCATGTAGACAATTTTGCAATTAAAAAAAATCTCATATCTACTGCCTGAGATCTTTTTGAGATTGAAGTTGGGAGCTCCTTCAGACAAAAGATGGGATTGACTCCTGAGTTACGCCCTCTCAAGCTCTCTTCTACAAGACTACACATTTAAAGGGCTTTCTGGTCCATGCCTGGCTTAAAGCTAAAGAGCTGTAAGAAGGGTTGACCACCGACTGTTCATATATGGGCAGCAGATAACCTCCATGTTATGCACTATGGTCAGATTATCGCATTTCTATTTATAGCAATTATTTTGAAACTTGTATCTGTACATTAGCAAATGCAGGTCTGATGCAAATCTGTGTCTTCTGCTGCATTTTTTTATTCCTTTGTTTGGTGATGGGTTTCCTTTTTCCAGCCAAATTCCCAGCAGTGATATCGGCAGCAGTCCAACCCGTCAGCACCATGCTCGCCCCAACTGGCCAACTGATATCAAAATTAGGAAAGCAGGAGAGCCAACTATAAATAGAGCTTACCAGCTGTGTACCTTTGACCATAGACTCTGTCTGTCTCTCTGTGTGTGTGTCTGTTCTGGCATCAGGACTTGGCATCCGTAGGCACTGCTAAGACTGAAACCTCAGCAGGGAGCCCACTGTCATTGGCTCTGGAGCCTAAATTCCTTGCTTCTCCTCCTCCTTCCTCTTCTGCTAGTCCATCTGTCCCCTGGGAGCAGAGAAAGAAACAGCAGCCTCTCGCCCTCACCCTCTAGGTGACTATGCAGATTGGGCCCAAAGACAGAGGGCAAGTGAGTGAACAGTGGCAACAGCAGTGAGGAGTACACGACCCACCACACAGTACGTTCCTAATGAAGCACTTGCCAACTGCTAAGAACTGATGCTTGTGGACTGCATATTCTTTGTGTTGTACTGCCACCAACAGGTGATAAATAGTAAATAAACACTTAGCAGGTTTTTTTTTACCATGCCTAAAAAGAAACACATAGGATGTAACTATTTCATGCAGCTGGTGAAGATGAACTTTCACATTGCCACGAGACTCTTTGTTCTTTTCTCTGCAATAGGTCAGCGTGGTTCGATGTCAGGGTTTCCACACTATTCCCTTATCTGCCGTCGCCATCAGTGACCATTCTCATGTTTTTCATTCTCATGGTTATTGTGTTGTTATTCATTGAATTATTTACTGCATTTATACCCAATCCTTCCACCTGAAGGAGACGAGGGCAGCAGTAGAAAGAGCTAACCTCCTGTCCAATGGGATGATGTCATCAGGAAAGGCCAGCTGTTGAGTTAGCATAAAGCACTTGGAAAAGCCAGACCTGCCTCACTTTTGTTACCAATGCTACTGTACTTATATGATTCCATTATGGCCTTTCACTTTACTTCAGTTACAACTTTTTTTTTGTAGCATCCTATATAAACTACAGTGGTACCTCAGGTTACAGACACTTCAGGTTACAAACGCTTTAGGTTACAGACTCCGCTAACCCTGAAGTAGTACCTTGGGCTAAGAACTTTACCTCAGGATGAGAACAGAAATCGCGCAGTGGCGGCGGGGCAGCAGCAGGAGGCCCCATTAGCTAAAGTGGTACCTCAGGTTAAGAACAGTTTCAGGTTAAGAACAGACCTCTGGAACAAATTAAGTTCTTAACCAGACATACCACTGTAGTAGCAAATTCATTCTTTAAGTGCTGATTTTTATGTAATCCAAATGGCACTATCCACGGACAAGAGAGGTATCAGCAAGCTTGAAAGAACCTCAAGGTTTGCAGAAATGTGAACATGTGTCTAGAAAAGGAGGGGGTAAATCCATTTTTGTTTTTGAACTCAGCTCAAAATGCTTAAATCCCTGTGCAGTTTAGAATTGGAATACCCAATGACACACCTTCACCCTGCCCATGCACTGACATGATCTTCAGAAGCCCACCTCCAGGTGCCAACAATGTCTTGAGATTAGGGTGTGCCATTCACTCTCTATGTGGGCAAGTTCCATTTCTCTCTGGTAATTTCATGTTCCTTGGCAGAGGTCAATTTCAGAGATGCTCAGGTAAGGTTCAGCCTATCCACCACATTTCTAGGGTAGGCCTGGTCCTACCAATCCCATCTGTTAACATTGTCCCCCTCCAACTAGGAAGTGAAAAGCTATTCACTGGTATCCATTAGGGATGGGGAAGAAGTTCAGTTCAGTTTGCATTTGAAGGGGAACCTACCCAATTCACACTTCCCTGAGCAACATGTGAACCAAAACATAACCATCCTTTGAAATTTACCCTTCTCTGAATTTTTGCACTGCAGACAAGTATTGTGTACAAAAATGCATATACTAAAAGAAAGTGTGAATAAAAATGCATATACAGTGGTACCTCAGGTTACATATGCTTCAGGTTGCATACGCTTCAGGTTACAGACTCCACTAACCAAGAAATAGTGCTTCAGATTAAGAACTTTGCTTCAGGATGAAAACAGAAATCGTACTCCCGCGGCGCGGCGGCAACAGGAGGCCCCATTAGCTGAAGTGGTGCTTCAGGTTAAGAACGGAGCTCTGGAACGAATTAAGTACTTAACCTGAGGTACCACTGTACAAGTAAAAAAATAAATAGCTCACCAATGTGTATATCACAGAAAATTGCTTTGCAAAAATGTGTATATTAGGTAAAATTGCACACAAACTTGCTTATATTAGAGATTCTCACTAAAATGCTGGTGAATTTTCATGAGAACTCAGAAAAAAAGAATATGCAGACTGATGTGGAAATATAGAGAACTGAAGATTGGGGGGGGGGGGAGAGAAACAGAGAGAAACAGAAAATGACAGATTCACCCATCCCTAGTATCTATATAAGAAATCAACATTTCCCTCCTACTTCTCCCTCTGAGATTTCAGTTTTCCTTCCTCGCTCTCTTCTTTCTCGTGGCTTCAGGCAGCTTCAACCCCCAACCATGACCATTCTGAAGCTTGCTGTAGCAGCAGGTTTGGGACGTCAAGACAAAGCCTGGAAATTTGGCACCCGCTCTGTTCAGCTGTTTGTTTGTTTTTGCAATGTTTATTACACCACACCCCTGCCCACACATTTTAGTAAGGAAAAACAGGCCTTTAAAATTTCAATGTCTTGTTGCAAACTGCCACTCTTCCTGTGCAGAATCAGAATCAGATCCATGTTTCCCAGTCCTTTACCCCCACCCTGCACCCCAAGAAATCAACCCCTGCAATTTATAGGTCAAGGGTCTACCCAAGAAATCAAAGCACATTTAAGCTCTGCTCCCTGGAAAGATTACAGAAGCAGGAAAATGGGGATCGTTTTCATCATGGTGCAATCTACCCCCAATTGTTAATGTTAACCAGGCAGAGAAAAAGCATGTGCTATTAACTCCTCTAAATGAGGTGAGCATATACTCTCAAAGCCAAGGGCAAGCACTTTGCATGCCTATTTATTGCATTCTGAGGCATTCTATTTCAGCAAGGAGAATGTTTCTTCAAACCACTGCCATCTTACTTAGAATGTGGGTGTCTCCCTTCACCCTAAGTAGTGAGCACTGTGATACGACTCTAAAGTGAATACTGTGTACGGTTGTGTTCAATTAGTAAGTATACAACATCTAGTTTACATACTTTAATTATTCTAAAATGTGAATATGGCTTTGTTTACATCACTATATATGTTCTATAATCATAAAATTGTAGAGTTGGAATGGACTGCAAGGGCCCATCTAGTCCAATGCAGGAATGTTTTGCCCAACGTGGGGCTTGAACCCACAACCCTGAGATTAAGAGCCTCATGCTCTACCAACCAAGCTATTGCAGGAAGCCTGTTTGTACCCTTTCCCTTACAGCCAGCAGCAGCTGGACTGGCTAAGCAGAGCTGCCCTCCTGATACTGCCCTCAATACAGCTCTCCTGACTGGAGCTGGGGCTGGCGGGGTGGCAATGAGGTTGGAGCTAGACAGACACACCACTGGTGCATCTCCATAGCCCTGCCCCTGCTGCTGCTCTGTCCCATCCCAGTGCCACTAAAGTATGTTATTGTGATGGTGATGTTGAGAGGACAACAGCCCCTGTCTGCTTGCACATGTGGAACAAGGGGAGATAGTCTTGGCACACCTACAACTTCTCAACTGGTACCATGAAGGGGCAAAGGAAGGGGGTGCAGTGGGTGTGAGCCACCCCGGGTGTCACCACTGAGGGGGTGACAAAATGCCAGGCGACATTCACCGCGGGGCCTGCAGCACACCCAAGCCACGCGTCTCTCCTGGGAGAGATGCGGTGGCTTGGGCGTGTGCAGGCTCTGTGTTGCCCAAACGGTCTGCCCGCTGCCTCCCCCCAGCTGTAAGGCGGCTGAGTGGAAGGAGGCAGGCAGACTCTGGAGGCCCCATAGTGCGCCCCGCCTCTATGGGCAGCTCGCCCCACCCCTATGGATGGCTCGTGCTGCCCCTGGGTGCGCTGCCCCAGGCACCTGAGCGGCTTCCTCCGCCGCTGGTACCATGGAAGGCTTCAAACAGAAATTCTGGTTCTTCTGGTCTCCAGAACCAAAAGGTTACTACAAAGTGGGCTTGTGGCCTTCTACAGGGCACACAATTCTCTGGATGCCCATGTGCTGCCAACACAGAGAAGCAGTCAATTAAGTCATAATGATGGGCCATGCCCCCAGCATACTCTGTGCATCAGCATACATACAACACACAAGGCAATGCTACTGATTCCTGACTTTAGAGCTTGAAAAACAGGGATATAGGCACTTGCCACGAATAAAGCCACTGGACTTACAAGGAGAATGATGGGCATTTTCCATTGGGAAAGGCCTGTGCACCTAAACAAGGAAGACAAGGCAAGTGCACTGGAATGTGAGCAGATCAAAGCAATCTGAATGCGAACGATGGGCTTTTTAAGCTTTACTGAACATCTTTTGTTACATAGTTCAAGGTGCCACCAACAGATGGCTAGTAAAAATGGTAATTGAAGAGATACAGCATAGAATAACTTCTCCTTGCCTGCTTCAATTGCTCCTTGGTGTTTTGGCAAATCCAGCGTACAGTTCAGCATTCTGCACTTGAGAGTATTTATGTAATTACTGGGAGAAACTGATCAGTCTTTAAAAAGAAACAAAGCACAACACCAGCAAGAGGCAAAGACAATCTGGCATCAGAATTTCCACCCTCTTTCTTGTTGGCAGTTCAGGACGAAGGCAATTCTCCCACAGGCTGTTCTTCATGATGGCAAAACTGCAATGACAGGTAAAGTTTGTTTCATCTGTAAAGTTTGTTTCATGGAAACTCTGCTGAAGGATTAAAATAGCCTAGGCTTGAGGCAGGGCACATAGCATTCATATTGTTTGCTGCATTTATGAATGCAAGCATTAATTGTGGGTTAGTTCTAAAGTCATTAGTCTGGAAGCATGGGCAATATTTTGACAAACCATTGCTTGAGTGAGCTCATGACTGGGCTTAGTAGTGAAGCTAAGCTGTGGACTGCTTACAGCCAGTATGGTGCAGTGATTAAGCATTGGATTAGTACCTGGGATAAAGGTAAAGGTAAAAGGACCCCTGACCATTAGGTCTAGTCGTGACCGACGCTGGGGTTGCTGCGCTCATCTCACTTTATTGGCCGAGGGAGCCAGTGTACAGCTTCCGGATCATGTGGCCAGCATGACTAAGCCACTTCTGGAAAACCAGAGCAGTGCACGAAAACGCCGTTTACCTTCCCGCTGGAGCAGTACCTATTTATCTCCTTGCACTTTGACGTGCTTTTGAACTGCTAGGTTGGCAGGAGCAGGGACCGAGCAACAGGAGCTCACCCCATCGCGGGGATTCGAACCGCCAACCTTCTGATTGGCAAGTCCTAGGCTCTGTGGTTTAACCCACAGCACCACCCGCGTCCCCAGTACCTGCTCTTGCCATGAAACTCACTGGGTGACATGCGCCCAGTCAGAGTCTTTCAGCCTAACTACTTCACAGGGTTGCTGTCAGAGAACCATGTACACCACTTTGAGCTCCTTGGAAGAAAGATGGGATCTAAATGCAATAAATAAGCACAAAGGCCATTGCCCTGGTGGTCCACTTCTGGCCCACCTGTTTTTATAGCCAAGTGAGCCGTAAGAAGGGCACTGCGGGGGCTGGCATACCAGCCACTCCCCCTGCAAATGAGACAGGAATGGGAAATTGCAGCTGTCCTTTTGCCCATCTTTCTGCATTAACACACACTTAGATGCAAAGGCCTTTCAAGCACAAGGTCACTGATCCTAGCACATTGCCCTTAGCCTTTAGCCCTCTTCAGGCATTCAGGGAATGGGAGAAAGACAAGCACACCAACAGTCGGGAAAACCCTGAAAGAAGGCTCCCTGCTTCTGGAAGTCCCCCTCAAACTCATGGAGGGCAATGGGATGGCCTGTATGGAGCTTGCACCATTGTGCCTGCAGTCTCCTCCCTCATGTATTGCTTTTTCCAGTTCTCCAAGGTTCGAAGAGGGCTTTTATCTGTCTGGAAAGCAATATAGGGTATTTTGTTTGTGTCAGGAAATGGGGGTGAGGTTCAGGTTATTCTTCCTCACAACATAATCGTCAAGTTGACTTGGGGCCTATTTTTGTATTGCTATACATAAACCAAACTTCTCATTACAGGCTTTATGCCCAGTTTGGGGAGATACTTGAGCCATATGGGCCCCAGGCTCATTTCCCTGCTGAGGCATTTGCAGCCTCGGTTACCTGACACTCCTGTGTCAGTCTGCACATCGTGTCACTATAACTAGATTACTGGTGTATTTCCATTTAACCAAAACTTCTGAGGAACACAGATGACTCACATATCCCTCAAGGCAACAATTCCACAATAGGAACAAATCATTATTTCTTCCCCACTTTTTTCCAACACAAAATCTTGCCATCTCCCACCCAGATACCCTAGCAACAGTACTTAACTCATTGAGTAGTCCAGCTTAAACCCGGAATATTGAGAAACAACGTCACTGTAAAATTCTATACGTAGAAAGCTCCCAGTGGAATTGAAAGATGGAACCTCTGTCTTCCCACAAAAAGTGCCAAGAAGTGGAGAGCTGATGTCGCTGCCGTCACGAAAGACAAGTCTGTCATAGTTGCACCCAGTGGCTTCCTCCAGGTCAAAAAAGCCCATCGTTAGGGAGATCTGAAGGAACCATATAAGGGCACCAATTTCTATGTGTAGCATTTTGTCTAAATTCAACAACATAGTATGCACTAAAGCCAGTGAGCATTATGCATACCCATAAATTAACAAGGCAGATCTGGAGCAAGCTAGATTTCATCACTGAATGCAGGAGTAAACAACACATTGGCTACCCCTGATCTAATGCAATCTTTTCTGAAGAGAGATTGAGATCAGGTCTTTAGGGGGAAAGTAATGAGCTGTATAAAGTTGTTGCCCTAGCCAGGAAAGCCCACCCCCCCTCCTCCTGCCCCTTACCCTGCTTCCTGCTGGAGCACTGATAATCCATAGGCATTTTTTGTTTGGAGGGTATTTTCTTGGGAAGTTTGGAGAAGTGACCACTCCATGAGTACTTGTGAAAGTCCCTCCACATATCACTGTGATGAAAAGAATGGGGGGGGGAATCAATGGAATAAAAGGGGGGGATCAGTATGTTTAAAAATAATGTTCACTCTAAATGAAGGACACTCGTATGGATGCAAGAGTTCACCCAAGCCAGTATGGTGTAATGGGAAGAGTGCTGAGGTTGGATATGGGAAATCTCATTCATGAAGCTGATGGAGAGCCTTGAAGCTCTCTCTTAGCGTAGCCTTTCTTACAGGGTTGTTGTTAGGTGGAGGGTAGGCAGGATACAAAATCAGCAAGAACATAAGACACTAAGAGAAGAGGAAGAGAAATCAGCATTAGGAAGGGTGGTGAAAACTCTGCCAGTTCTTGACTGGTCCCACCATGACTGGTGGGTGGCAGCAGTCTCCACCAATGAACATGTTGAGAAGCAGGAAGAGGATAACTGTGGTCTGGCACTGCTATCCCTCCATTGGGCCATGGAGTTGATTTTCTTCTTCTTTCCTAATCTGAATCCAGTGGGGAAGGCCTGTAGTTTAGCCATAGAACATCAGCTTTGCATGCAGAAGGTCCCAGGTTCTCCACCCCTGGCAACTCCAAACAGGCCTCTACTGACCCCAGAGAGCAGCTGCCCATCAGCATAGACAATACTGAACTAGGTGGACCAATGGTCTGACTCTGCAGATGGCAGCCTTCCTATGTGCTTCTCCCTTTGTTATATTTATCTATTTATTTATCTCACAAGATTTATCTCACATACTTGATTGTAATGTAACCTCAAAGCGGCTTACAAAAAGAATAGAATTATCCACAACAGAACAGTTAGAAGCAACTATATTAAACTTTCAAAAATACTTAAAACCAGTGACAAGTTATAAACCAGATTAAAGCACATGTCAATACTGTGCATGTCTGGATAGGCTTGCAAGTGCTATTGAGAGTGCAGGGAAGGCACCTGCCTGGTGAAAATAGGCAAGAATTTCCAAAGGATGGGTGCCTGCAAATGTGGAATGAGGATTACGTGGCACCTGCAACAGGACCTGGGCTGCAAATTGAAGTGGTTGTTGAGTGGGCATTTATATAATAGTAGTAGTAGTAGTAGTAGTAGTAGTGGTAGTAATAATAATAATAATAATAATTAATAATAAATAGATTTTAGTGGGCTTTATTTATTTATTTATTTATTTTTAATTAATTAGATTTGTATACCCATATATCTCAGGGCGTATTTAGGGTAAGGTATGTCTGAGTAAACATGTTTCAGATGGGCTCAGACATGCAAAGATGAGCAAACAGTTTGAGGTCCATAGACTTCTATGTGGGTTGTTGTGAGAGCAAATGGATTTAGAGAATTTGGGTAATTCAGATCCAGGGAAAGACAGCGCAAAATTAAAATACCCTTGGAAAACTGTTCCACCAGTGCTTGTTTTTATTTTGCATGTACTGTATGTGTTTCTTTCCTAGCACTGATGCTTTCAGCAAGTAGTGAGAGATAGAGCCCTTCATACCATGTGCATAGGAAGCTGTGAAACCCTTTGATGCAACAGCCTCATCACTCACAAACTCCACAAGCATCATGCTTCCAGAAGACACCACTGCTGGCAACTGCCCCTCTCCACATAACTTGTCAACAAGAAGACGGGCATTTCTGTTGTTTCCATCATAAATTCGGATGTAGTCGGAGGCACAGTTTGGAGAGCGCTGGAGATCCAAAACATGAAACTTAAGGAAGACCTAAAGCAGAAAAAGAAAGCCAAATACATTTTAGCTTGGCTGGGCCCTGATTCCCAGGATTCTTGGGATGGGGAGATGTGCTTCAAACATAGCCTGGTGTCACGTACTTGAAACTAACCTGAAGATTAATGTTGTGTCAGTAAGTTCAGAGCATAAACAGACTGCAACTCCCAAAAGTATACAAGTAGCAAGAAGGAAGAAGAAGAAGAAGAGTTTGGATTTGATATCCCGCTTTATCACTACCTGAAGGAGTCTCAAAGCGGCTAACATTCTCCTTTCCCTTCCTCCCCCACAACAAACACTCTGTGAGGTGAGTGGGGCTGAGAGACTTCAGAGAAGTGTGACTAGCCCAAGGTCACCCAGCAGCGGCATGTGGAGGAGCGGAGATGCGAACCTGGTTCACCAGATTACGAGACTACCGCTCTTAACCACTACACCACACTGGAAAGGTCCATTCCCTGCCCTCCTTTTATCTGTTGTGTAATCCTGATACATTAAACAATGATTTGAGCATCCTTACCTTTCCTTCTGGGATTTGGATCAGCCATAGGCATGTGACATTTTTGGGGTATGAATATGGGTAATTAGTAGAGGAGAAGTTGCCCCTTCGATTACGAAGCACAGTGCTACAACAGTCTAAAGAACAGAACAGAACAAAATGAGGGGGAAATGAGATGTGCAAAGGGAAAATTCCAACACAACTTTCTGTTTATCTATCCTTGCACTCTGTGAGGGAGAACTCAGCGCTCATTAAATATGTCACTGTTCAACCTAGTAAAGGTTACTCCTGCTGAATGAAGAAATTAAAATATGCCTGTTAACAATATCACACACACCAGACAGCAAATGATTGTGATTCATGACTTGAGCTCATTACATTAAGACCAACATACAGTGCAGTATACAGTATTAGCAAAATGTTCCTCCTTATGATGAGTGGGGTGGGTGTATAGAAAAAGGAGGGCTTGTGTTTTAGGACTGTTGGGGTGTGCAGGGGAGTGAACTCTGTACACTGAGCATACAGAGGCACATTAAACACCCCCCTTCCCTATAGGTTCCCAATTGGCAAGGCAATCCAGTGATAAAGGGTTGGTCTTGCCTTCAGTGCGGCAGCATCCCCATGTAGGTGCCGACTGCAAGATCCAAATGATGATAGATGACCAAATACTGCACATTCATACACATACTGCACCTGCATGGGATAGCACCTTGGGAAAGGCTCTCCTTCCCAGCACAGGGAGCTTGCAAAGAGGGCCAAGTGTTGACCAATTGGGTTGGAATAATATGTTCTTGAAAGGGGGGGAATGGCTACTAGCCATGATGGCTATGCTCTACCTCCCTAGCTGGAGGCAGCGATGCTTCCGAATGCCTGTTTTTGGAAAGCATGGAAGGGAAGAGTGCTCTTGTGGACTTCCCCACTCCAATGGTTTTTTGTTTTGTTTTTAGTGTATTGATAGAGGTGCCCTTTCAAGTGCAGAGTAAATGATTCACTGTTTTCAAAGCATGGCATTGGGAAGAGAAAGTATGTTAAGGTGAGGTGATGCCCATCTAGGTCACGAAATCTGGCAGCACTAGCTAATCTCAAATGTTATAAAAAATTAACAACATCAGATGGGAAACTACCCATGTAGCATTCTGAACACTTACTGCATCTGTAGAGCTTGTTGATTTTTTTCACATCTAGGTCGCTGAGTCCTATTCTCTGACCAATTGGTACAGATGCATTTGGGATGGGGACAATGGTTGCTTTCCCGGGAGCACTAGAAAAATCGTATCTGCAGAAGACAGGAATAGATGTGATCATCAAACTCTGTCGGGTCATTGTTTTATAATGCAACATCTAAAATAATATTTGCATGGAAACCATCCTGGGAAATGAAGAATAAAAACTTCACAGACATTGGGTTGTCTATACATACATGCAAAAGATTTGGGGTTCAGCAACAATAATGTACCAATGTGGCAATGAAACACTTTTGTTCAGTCCCATGACTTTTCATTTGTATGGTTCCTCAGGGTTCTATACTGTCCTTTTTAACATCTACATGAAGACATTTGAGAGAGGTCATCTGCAGTTTGGGGTACAGCTTCTTCTCTGTCTCTCCCTATCCAGCAATCCCAAAGATGCTGTAAATGTTGTAGATCAGTTCTGGCTGTTAGTGGGATGAAGTGGGTGGGATGAAGACTAACAAACTGAAACAAAATCCAGGCAAGGCAGAGGTTCTTGTGATAAGTAGGAAGGGTTTCAGTTTGGATGTTCAACCAGTGTTGGAAGAAGTTGCACTCCCTTGCAGCTTCAGCGTGTTCTTGCACATTGCTCCAAGGAGAAGACAGAGATGAAATTATATAAAAGAGGATCCTTACACTACAGTTAAGAGCAGTTTTGTCTGAAAAGAGAAGGTGCCCTGAAACACAACTTACGGGCCATAATGCATCACTGAACCATAGTCATACGGAAGACCCAGATTATTAGAGTCCACTTTCTCGAAATTCCCCTGTTCTCCTGTAAAATATGAGAGTAAGTGAAGCAGGCACTCAAAGGAGAGTTAGAACACAGGGGGAGAAAGAGAGAGAAGAATGATTTTAACAGGTACTTGTGAAAATAAAGATGTTATAAACTTAGCAACAGTTTCTCTGCTGAAGCCCTTGTGAATTTCTGAGTCCCTTTAAGAACAAGTGCTTGGGTTTGCTTGTTTCCCCACTTCCACTTTTAACCTTCTGTTGGAAGCCCGGAGTGACTGGGGGAGAAATAAATTATTATTATTATTATTATTATTACAGTGGTTTTTTCCTTTCGTAAGCTTGAGTGTAGGGGCTAACTACTGATATTTGTAAGCTGCTCTGGGGAGATTATATATATATATATATATATATATATATATATTTAAAGTTGTTTGTTGTTTACTTGCTTTAGTTGCTTATTTGTTTATTTTTACATGGTTTAAATGCACCCTCTGCTCAGAATTGAAGCTATATGCACAATATACAATATAGAAATGTTTTTGTTTAAATAATCCTCTACAGCAAGCAAGGGTTAAAACTGTTACTTGAATGCTGGTGGACATACCTGCTGTGACATACTCCAAGTGGATTTTAACATACTTGTCTCGGTCGTTCCGGGCCTGTTCATGTATGAAACCCAGGGCATGGTTGATTTCATGCTGAATTAATCCTTTATATATGCAGCCATTTTTTGCCAAGCCCAACTGCTGTTTGCCTCCAATCTTTCCAAAGTAAGACCAGCACCTGAGAACATGGAAAGCAGTGACCTGTGCCGTCACATAAAGCCATGGCATACAGTTTCATTTAGTACATTTATAACTTGGCTTTCAGTGAGCACAAAGTGTCATACTCTCTCACATTTTACCCTGTGAGGTAGGTGTGTATTTAGTAGAGCCCTGTTCCTGCGCATGTCCACTCAGAAGTAAGCTCTACCGAGTTAAATGGGAAGTAGGTGGGTATGAATGCAGCCTCTTAAGCCTCACTGAATTCAATGGAGTTATCCAATTACATATTAATGTTGATATCTTAAGTTGTGAGCATCACATATGATTAGTTACAAACATCTAATTTCCAGAAAATATGAATGTCCAGGAGCGCTCTAGAAGACAGCACATCTTTACTGACTCCAAAAACATAGACGTCATCTCACATCTAGTTCTCTACTATATATTTTGGAAAGTGCTATGTCTGTCTGTCCGTCTGTTCTCCATTGGTTTGGCTGCCTCTCAAGATATCATTACAAAACTCAGCACAAAGGTCCTGAGGTGGGGGGTGGGGACTCTGTCACTGTTTTAATGCTGGCCGCCACTTTGAATCAAGGTGGTGCACCCAAATGCAACTTTGGTGTGATTTTTTTGAAATAGGATCAGCCGCCTCTTGAGATATTGTCACCAAATTCGATACAAGGATACCCAATGTAGGGGCAGTGGACTTCATTGATGCTTAGAGGCCCGGTGCCATTTTGAATCCAGACGGCAGACTAAAAAATGACTTTGGAGTGACTTCACCTGATTTTTAGCATGACAGGTCCAAACTCACAAACAGTATCATCCATTTAAAAATCACAGTATTTTGTGGTTTCTACAGATTCATAGGCATTGCCGGACACTCCCTTATGGACCACCTTAAAACATAAAGCAAGGAATTCAGCACTGTGCTATGGCAATAGTTCTGTCAGTGCAAGCATTTCAGGCTGCTAGATGCAAAGTTCCCTCATCTCCTTTGCCTGTTTTGGGGCAAGGTCAGGGTTTCAACCACCTATAAAGCATCCTGTTTTGGTGAAGGCTGTCCCACTAACACCAGCTTTTACACGCTGTTGGACTCCAACTCCCATCTGCTCCAGGCAGCATGGCCAATGGTCAGGGATTATGGGAGCTGGAGTCTGCCAATATCTGGAATGCAACAAGTTGTGGGGAAAGCTTCAGCAGAAGAGAAGAAACAGAAAGACAGCATAATTCCAAGCAATAGTAGTATTCTTAGATATCATCAGGAGAGATAAAACTTACCTATCTGCAGGGGAAATATTTATGTAGTCATGTTCTGTTGAACGCCTGATAAACTGAATACATGTCAGTGTGACAAATTCTTGCATTGCTTCAGCTATCACAGTCCTCTCCTCCACAGCTAAAAAAAAAAAAAATGCAAGGGAGAGAAAGGAATGCATTGAAAGTTCCCATATTATGTGTGTGGAGTTCAAACAGAATATGTTTTGCCAACATGGGGAAGTTCCCTGCACTCCTGGGTATACCATTAAGAAATATTTCACGTAGAACAGGGCTCCTGGGAAATTGTGAATGTGTGTGTAAAGGAGGATTTTTTTCATGTAAACCTTCTTCAAAAATTATCCACCTAACTATGGCTACTCTCTGCATATGGTATAGCAGTGAAAGAGTGCCCAACATTCCAGGGAAACATGAATGCTGGAAGCAAGTGGGTGCCAGCACTGTTTCTATTGCTTACAGTACACAGACCACTTCAGCGCTTGTTATATCTGTTGTGTAAATGCTTTTTATCATGGGTTTTGGGGTTGTTGTTTTTTTGCAATTGTACAAAGATATCAAAGTATAAAATGGGTATAGCAGACTTGGTTATGTCATATACAACTCAACACATTTGCTGTCTGATTCATGTAATTGATGCTGCAACCCGCTGCCTACCAAAGCCTGTGCCACAAGAAACTTTAGGGTGCAAATCCAACTCAATTCCACTTAAAAATGTTTGGCCTTCAGATCCCTCTGATGATGATCTTTCCAGTCATCTTCAGACAGGGGTAAGGCTGTAGCTCAGTGGTAGAGCATCTGATTTGCATGCAGAAGGTCCCATGTTCCCATGTCCCTGCCATCTCCAAGTGGGACTTAAATAAAACTGCTGACTCTGGAGAGCTGCTGCCAGTCCATGTAAGCATTACAGAGCTAGATGGACCAATAGTATAACTCAGTATAAGGTAGTTTCCTATGTTCTTATGGCTCTTCTGAAAACGATGACCACAAGCCAACATCATTATCTCAGAAGGTCTTGTGGACTCTCATTCTCATATAGAGTCAGAGGCCAACTGTACATAGGAGGGGAAGGAGTTTCTATACTCCAGATAATGGAGCAATGGTTTAGACCTTAGATTAAAATTTGACTCATCCCACCAAATTGGTTTGCTGTCCTCAAAGTCCCTGCTAGAGAAGACAATGCCAGAGGCTGAGGCTATTCATTGGTGATAAAGTGCATTGCTCCATGGCAAAGTTGCAGCTTCACTTGAAGATCAGGACTCTGGCTGTCAATTATTAAGATGCACTTGGGGATAAAAGGACTCCCTTGAGCTTTGGAATGTATCAGCTATTGTGTGGTGGGGTGGCAGTGCTCCCCTGACCTCGTGACAGTCTCATCGCTGTTGCCCATTAGGAAAGAGAAGGGGAGGGGTAAGGCAATGGCAAGGTCAGCAAAGTGCAAGCACACTGCTGGAGCCAATTCAGCACGCCCATTGGTGTGTTTGCACCATGCTGACCTTGCCCCACCTCTACATCCTGGTAAGTTCCAACAAAGCAATCCAAGGCTAGGCGAGTGCCATCACCCCACCATACTTTCCGCTGTTGGCTCTGCTTGGGAGCTGTCCTGGGTCCTGCAAGACTGTAACCTGCTGCCTACTCCAGTTTTGTGCTGTCTGTGGTGATTGCACCTCAATCAAGGTTCCCAACAGGAATAAGGCACCAGCCTGATTAAGAAGTGGGTAGTATTACCAACCCAACTGGGACATGGGTGGTGCTGTGGGTTAAACCACAGAGCCTAGGACTTGCCGATCAGAAGGTCGGCGGTTCGAATCCCCGCGACGGGGTGAGCTCCTATTGCTCGGCCCCTGCTCCTGCCAACCTAGCAATTTGAAAGCATGTCAAAGTGCAAGTAGATAAATAGGTGCTGCTCTGGCGGGAAGGTGAATGCCATTTCCGTGCGCTGCTCTGGTTCTCCAGAAGCCGCTTAGTTATGCTGGCCACATGACCCAGAAGCTGTATGCCGGCTCTCTCGGCCAATAAAGCGAGATGAGCGCCACAACCCCAGAGTCAGCCACGACTGGACCTAATGGTCAGGGGTTCCTTTACCTTTTATGGTGTTGGAGGAGACTCTTGAGAGTCCCATGGATTGCAGGAAATTCAAACCTATCCATTTTTAAGGAAATCAGCCCTAAGTGCTCACTGGAAGGACAGATTGTGAAGCTGAGGCTCCAATACTTTGGCCACCTCATGAGAAGAGAAGACTCCCTGGAAAAGACCCTGATGTTGGGAAAGATGGAGCATACAAGGAGAAGGGGACGACAGAGGATGAGATGGTTGGACAGTGTTCTCGAAGCTACCAGCATGAGTTTGACCAAACTGCGGGAGGCAATGGAAGACAGGAGTGCTTGGCGTGCTCTGGTCCATGGGGTCACGAAGAGTCGGACACGACTAAATGACTAAACAACAACAACAACATCACCAACAACCATGGCTCACTGATTGCTACGGAAAAGAGCTATCTGGGGTTTTTTGGAGGGTTATATATATATATATATATATATATATAATGGATTTTCATTATACAAAAATTTCATTATTAGCAAGAATGAACGCTGGAGAAGGCCTGTTGTAAAGCTTTAAATAACATACAAAACTCTGTCGAGACATTAATTGGAATGTTGACCAGCCCATCTTCTGATCTAGGCCAAACACATCTCTGATGGCATTTCATGGCACTTCGCTGTGTTCTTCGTCTGTAAACAATATCATCCTGATGCATAAATGTTTCTCCTGCAAGGATATTATTATTATTATTAGTAGTAGTAGTAGTAGTAGTAGTAGTAGTATGATTTCATACGCACCATTCAGCATAAGGTTCCAGAGTGGGTGACATCAATATAACAATGCAATTTTAAAATCAGTTAAACCAACTTACAGTCAGAAGAATAGGTAGATCCTAAATATCTCCCTCTCAGATGTCAAACACCAGTGTAAAGCAGTGTGGAAAGTTGCCTGGATGCCAGGTCTAACCAGAGATGAACAGCAGGTCTACCCATTTAGAAATAATGGAGGGCTAGACTAGGAATGCAAATTTCTCAGAGCTCATTTGAACAGCAGGCAGGAAGAAATATTGCCTTGTAAAACAAAACAAAAACCCAAACCCCAGAAAACAAACAACCAATCCTGTTTTCCTTCCAGTTTATGAACTGAGAATGTTCATGAAGTACCAAAGACCATATGACCACCCATCAATAAATATGTTATTTATTTAGCACGCTAACCAAGTTCATCAGTATGTTGCAAGATTTAATAGTGATGAAGACCTTGTGGAAAGTAAAGTTAATCTCAAATGTATAAAGCAGGAGGTGCTGAACAATGCACTCTTTTATTAAGGTCAGCAACTTTGAGATCAGACTGCTACTCTAAAGGCACCCAGGGTCAAAATCCACTGAGCATTTCCCTCCATGAGCTCAAATAAAGTGAATGGGAGGAGCTGAGTGACAACATTACTCCTGTTGTTGAGGAGCTCCCATTGTTTTCAATGGAAGTCATGCTGTGGGGCTTCCCAGAAGACCTTCCTCCCCTAAGAGTGGAATCATAGACACCCAGGTCTGAATGCTATTTTCTCAATTACATAAGACAGAAAAACTCTACAACAATCTATAGAACAACAGCATGGCATAAGCACAACATTGAGAGCATGACATCTCATAAAACAGGCATAAATCAAGCTCACCTGTGGCCTTGTCTTCCTGGATTCCCTGAAAAAGAATGGGACATCTTTTTAGGGTGCAGTATACTTAATCACTGAAATGCAAAATCACAACAGAAAATGCAGGAAGCGAGTTCTTCGAGAGAGAGGTCTAGACAGCATCTTCAGCAGCATCAAGGACACACCTGGACAGGTTTACCTGGTGTAAACCTAGGAAAGGACAGTAATAAGGTTGATAGTGCTAGAAGATTCATCTTTGGGTTGCTTCATGTGTTCTTGTAGGTTTTCAGCAGCTTCACTTGTTGAGCCCTAGCTGTGTGCAACTTGGATGAGCTTTTTTATATGGAAAAAGGCTGGCTTTAATCTGCGCAGAACAGCTAGATAACACGATGTATTTTCACAGAAACAAACAAGCTGTGGGAATTCCCAGAAGAGCTATCCGAGTATCATTTCATGCTACTTTATCATTGGGAGGAGGGGAAAGGATAAACAAATGTTGCAATATGAGAAAAGCTAATTGTTGGGTGACTAACACAAAATGCACTCATCTATAAATAGGTGAGGACTTTTTATTTTATTTTAATAGTTTGAGTATTGGAACTATGAAGCTACCCTTTGAGCTTGCATGCATACAGAGCAACGTCTCTGAACACTTCCCCACTTGGAGGGGAAGGCGATTGCCCCTTGGATCCCCACTTGCTGACAAGAGGGAGCTGTCCACTGCCAACACAGCAGTCTCACAATGATTCAGTTTGCTATACATGGGCAGGCAGATGAAGGCTTCCAGATGAAGGCTTCCAGGTCTGCTTCTACTGAAAACAACAAAGAGTCTTGAGGCACTCAGACAAAGAGACTGGAAGATCTATTGAAATGACTTGTTATGAGTTTTCTATTGGATTTCTGTGAATGTGTTTTGTATCAGTGCGGGTTGCCTGAGGCCTTGGACCTAATAACAGACCTGGCAACTTGCCAAGAACCTCTTTCTTCGGGAGACTGGATGATTGTGATCAATTGCCAGTATTTTTATTGGCCAAGAGACCTATGAAGAGCGGGTGGGATCTCTCTCCACCATTCTCAGTTGAGGAATGTTGGGATCCAGATATCTGTTAAGTTGCAGCTTGAGGCACACTCAGGGCCCAAACTACATATGAAGTTTACAATAATTTGTTATTGAATGCAGACATTCTTGTCAGCATGGGAGAGGGGCTTAATCTGGATTGGGGGCCTGGCACGACATGGGGAGGAGTAGGGGACGCTTTCATCTTTTGCCCCCATGCTAGGGTCCTTATCTGGCTCAGGACCCCTATACTAACAATTTAGGAAAGAGAAAGCTTGTACTCTTGGGGAAACTCCATGATTTATATCATGCGTAGCATGGCCCCGAGAGGAGGATGGAGAAAACAGAGTTTTGGGAGCTCTGAAGCATCTTAAGGCCCATTGTAGATCTGATGTGGAAGCACTAGATGTCAAGGCATCCGTTGGAGCTTTATGCTGGGAGCTTCCATCTATGCTTCACCCGTATAATTGTAAATAAATGCAAATATTACAAAATGCTGTAACCCTCCTGTGACCTCCTTTCCAAGGAAACTAGAACTGTACAAGCACCACTTTTCTGGAAATGCTTGCCACATGGAAAATGTAGGCACACAAAACAGCCTGTTGTCAGATCCAGAAGTAACATGAGATCATACGAAAGCTATGTCAAGAGATGAATGTTTTCACTTGATACTGCTCATGCAGGGGCTTTGTTCAATTCAACCCATTGCCTGGAACCGCCTCCCCTTCACCATGCAACAGGTTTGCTGCTTTTCTGCTTTCGGTCTTGTTTCAAGTCCTAGTAGTATGACAGCTTTTCTTCAGTGATCCTTGCCTTATTGTAGTTCTTTTCTTTCATTGCCCCCAGTCTCAATCCCACATCTGTGTACATCTACTCAGAACCAAAGATAATTGTCTGAGGCCCTTCCCCATGAATCCCCACCAGGTGCTGACTAGAGAGGGCCTTTTCAGTGTTGCCAAACTAGTTATCAAACATCTCCCTAGAAAGGCTCACCTGGTACCCTTTTTGTGGCCTTTCTGATTTCCCCAGGCATTTGAGTCTTCAGTATTTTTAGTACTTTTTAAAATAACTGGTGTACTGTTACTCTGCTGCTAGGTTTATACTGCTCCTGGTTTCATTCTGTTTAAGCTTCTATTTCCAAGCTGTTATTTTTTGTATTTTATGGGTTTTGCTTGTAAACCAGAACTGTTATAATTGGGCAATAATCATGTCCCCTTGGTGGGCTTAACAGCACCTATTGTTGCTGGATAACAGTAATGACAGATTCCCCCAACCCATGCATGTTGAGGATCCTGATTACACTTACACATATTTCAGTTTAAGACTGGTAGGAAATGTCTTTAAAACTTACTTGAACTATACTAAGCATTCATTCCACTGTCCTATACTACGGCTGTCTATACAGTACCGTATTAAAATACAAGCCCAAAGGGCCCAGAGTGATGACAAAAGAATCAACACCCTTAATATTATGGTAGCTATAAAGCTGTGTACCTCAGTATAAACCCTGCAAACAACACTCAAAAGACACAGAGAACCATACTTTCACAGCTGCACATTATAAAACAGCTGGGCAGACAATCTCAAATAGTTAGGCATGAAAAACAAAAACCAGGTCACTGCATCGAACACAGCATGGGTCACTCTTCCCAGCTGAGGGCTGGAGTGGAATTTTGAAGTTTGGTCTTGGAGTTCAGCCGGATGAGTCTGTGGAATGCAATTCTTAACCTTCTCTTTTGACTCCACTTGCCTGGGAGCTAGATTGGATGCTGAAATGAATTGCTGGAGGTCCGTGAGTCACTTATTCAATTTGTGGAAACATTAGAAACTTGTCCAACCCGATGAATGGTTAGTTAACTGCTCTCATAGCACTTTGTAAACAAACATCTCCATAAACAACTTTTCTTGTGCAACCTTCTTCCCATTTACTTTTATATAATGGGCAGTTTTCAGGAATGAGTTTAATTATCTGGCAAAGCAATTCCCGTTCCAAAGCTGTAGTCTACCATCCACATCCACTTTAATTCTCCCCTTCCCCCGCCATCCACCCCGGCTCTTTTGGCCATATTAAATTTGGACCAAAGTACTTGTAGTATCTACTGCTCTTGCTTAGATCCTTCAACAAAGCCTTTTAAGATGTCTTTAAAATCTAAAGTAGAGACGGGATGGATCCTGATGTGGGTTACAGAACAGGCCACTCAGCAGAGTAGGAAATTCTGTACCAGCGAGTTTAATGTTCCTGTTGTCATGAACTGGCAAGACGATGGTGAGTAGGTAGAAGATCCTGCCGAGGGGTGTAGCCAGGACTGAAACACACCGGGGGCAAGTAGGGGATGAGGAAGGAAGAACTCACAGGGTGATGGAGAATGGCGAAAGGATGGGGATCCATGCACAGGAACCAAAGCAGCAGGACCCATCACCAGAGCCAGAGGGGCCCCTGTCTTCATGAACATGGTGGGCTCTGAGGTATAGGGAGCAGCAGGCAGGGTTCTCCAGGAGGCTGAGGCAGACAAGGGCCCACAGCCCAGCTCCCTAGCTGGCCAGGTGGGGCTCACTAGCTCTGGGAGGTGTGTGGTTTCGGAGTAGGCGAAGAACAGGTGAGGGTCTCATGTCTCATCAAGCCCAGATGCTGCAATCAGCAGGCAAAGTATAAAAGGGAAGCAGCTGAGCTGCTGTGTTTGCTTAACTGCCCATGTTGAGGGAACTTGCTTTGGATGCTCCTGGGCCTCTCAGGACTGTGCTTTGGGTTTGACTCTGGTCTATATCCTGACTGCTGGACTTCAGATTTGGCTACTTGGATTGATCCTGAACTGTGTTTCCTGACTTTTGGACTTTGCTTGTATGGATTGACCTTTGAACTTTGAGCTCTGGATTTAGCATACTGACTTGCTGCCAGGTAGGCCAGAGGTTCAGGACACCTGTGCACCTACTGTACTGAGGAGCAATAGTAAGGTGAGAAGAGAGGGAGAAGGAGCAGGCAGGTTACCAGTATTTTCCCACCTGTTTGCTAAGTTGCACTTTCCACCGTTTCACAAAGGGGAGCTGCTCCAATCACTTGATCGTTTTGGTTACCCTTTCCTGCACCTTTCCCAGATCTGCAGTATCATTTTACAGGTGCTGCAATATGATGTGCTGTACACCATAGATCTGAAAGGGGTTCCAAAGTTCCACAAATCCTTTCTGTCTGAGGTTGAGGAATCTTCTACACTTCAAGCCAGCCAATGTTACATTTTATATGAATTATTTCTTTTGCTATTTTAGCACTCAAATATAAGTAGGTGTCTTACCTATATTCTTTTTGGTGCCTGAAAAAAACTTTTTTGTTTAGGCAAGCCTGCACAGACATGCAGGATGTGGACATATATTCTGGTTTTGGGGTTGTTTTTGATTTTTTAAAAGTTGGATTAACGGATAATTTTATTGTTTTATCCTTTTAGTAAACTGCTTAAAATTTTATAACAATCCAGTATGCAAATCCTGTGAAATAAAGTAAATGGCCTTTAATGTCTTGGCAGAAAGAAGGCTTATGTAGGATGCTCAACGGACTGCAAGAGACCTAGAAGTCTCTTTGTGGTTACCTACACATGCACGTTTCACAAGATCTTGGAACCAATCATGCAGGATTCCAAGGACTCAAGGCCATAAGCACATAGGTGTCCCCTCACCAACATCCTTAGTAATGTGGACACCTTTGGCAAGACTGGGCGAGCTGATGTACACCCACATAGCCCCTTTAATCACACCACACTCACTGCTTCATGCTCATTGTGAACAATACTGGTTCCTATTTTGCCAGTATTGAAATACACCCCATTGACTTCCTGTGGGTTTCTGATCTTGGAGAGCTGGTCTCAACTTTTAAAGTCCTACATAACCTAAGATCCAAACATCTGCTGAGCCAGCTTTCCTGCATCAATCTGCCTGCCTACTGAGATTGTCATCTTGTTTAACTTGACAGGCTTTTAGTCTCCTGTTCATGTTGACTCCCTCTGCTTCACAAATGCTCCTCTCTTGATTTCTTCCCCTATGTAACAGCAACTCAAAACAGTCTGTGGTTGCCCTCTAGTGGCACATTGTGTGAGCTGTACTATATGTTCAGTTTTGAAAAGCTTAGTTTCCATTTCCAAATACAGTACAGTGGTACCTTGGTTTACGAACTTAATCCGTTCTGGGAGTCCGTTCTTAAACCAAAACTGTTCTTAAACCGAGGAGCACTTTTCCTAATGAGGCCTCCCGCCGCTGGTGCCCTTCCACCGTTCGGATTCTGTTCTTAGACCGAGGTAAAGTTCTCAAACCAAGACACTATTTCCTGTTGTGCGGAGTTTGTAAACCAAATCGTTCTTAAACCGGACTGTTCTTAAACCGAGGTACCACTGTACTAGGCTCGGAAGAGTTGCTAATCACAGTCCCAAAACACAAAAGAATTCCGTTTTGTTTGTTTGCATAGTATTATTTTGGATTCAATGTTTGTAATTTTTGTTATGATTCTGCATTGAAAATAAATAAATAAACTCTTTTTTAAAAAAAAAAAACACACAAAAGAAATACCGGGTTAATGGTCGTCACATGGGGCATATTTCAGAGATCTACACATCACAGAAGTTCACATGAATATGTGCACCTTTCCACATTCTAAAGCTTTCTTACAGAACATTTCCTAAAATGTGAAGTTGGCATCCTTCCCTATGTGCTGAATGCTGGGTGGCAGACCACATGCTCTGCATGCCCAGGCTGACTATTGGGACACCTTCAGGTAAGACTGGGAAAAGAGTCCTGCCTGAAACCCTGGACAGCTGCTACCAGTCAGTGTGCAGACCACAGGTAGCCAATGCAGTGCCCTGAGAGGCTGTTGCACTCCAGTTCCCATTAGCCTCAGGCAGCATGACCATTGGTCAAGGAGGATGGGAGTTGCAGTCCAGCAAAACCTGGAGGGCATCATGGTGGCTTCCCCTGCAACTGTCTTTGTATAAGGCAGATTCCTGTTTGCAGGGTGTTGAACGACATGACCCCTGGGGTCCCTGCAAGTCTACAATTCTATGATTCCTATAGACTTTATAAAGTTCATTAAACAAAAACTCCAAGTACAGCAGCATTCCCAGCAAGGACATTCCGTGCCTCTGAAGTTGCTGCACACAGGGCCCTTCTTCCCTCAAAGTTGGCAACTCCCCGCATCCTCTAGGATGCTCTTGCCCACTAGAAGATGGCGACCACTACCCCAGGCCCCCTTGCCGGACCCACGCGCTCGTTCCTCTTCCGGCGTGGGTTGCCATGGCGCCAGTCCCCTCCTTCGCCCTCCTTCCCTTCTCCAGTGTTTACATCCAGAGCTGGAGTAGGAGGAGGAGCTGGAGGCTCAGTGCCGGGGAAAAGGCTCTGGCAGCCGCGGCGACCTTGCGCCGCGGCCGCTCCTCCTCTCGAGTAAGCCGCGGGGAGAGCCAGGGAGCGCCGCCATGAAGGTGAGCGGGGCGCGCGCCTCGTCCTCCCGAAGGCGCACGGGGCGGGCTCCCTCCTCTCCCTGGAGCCAGGGCGGGTGGCGAAGAGGGCAGTTTGGGGGGGCAAAGGGTCGGGGCGGCGGCTGGTTTCCCCAAGCAAAGAGTCCCCCCCACTCCCTCCCACCACCACATAGGGAATTCCCATCCCTGTTCCAAAAACAAACCCAAGTTAACCTGTGCGTTATCCTTGGAAAGGAAGGGTGCTCAGAGGGTGGTACAGTCACTCCCCACCCCCAAGCTCATGGGACTCCCATCAAGGGTATACCTCGGGGCACTGAGAACGACCATCTCATCCAGTCATGATGATATTAAAACGTACACACAACACATTGCCCGAACTTGGAGGTTTTTAATCAGAAGTTGGCTATCTATTTATCTATCTGCCAGGGATTCTTTAGCTGAAATCCCTGCACTGCTGGGGGTTGGACTAGATGACCCTTAGTATCCCTTCCGAATCTACAGTTCTATGATTCTTTGAAATATTCCTGAACTCTGGGCATAGTCCAGGTTTCTTTTTGAATTCTTGTGATAATAAATTTAACTGGGTTTGTTTGTTTTTTCTGTTCTCCGCCCCACTGAGTGAACTGTAAGATGGTGTAAATTGAGTTTGACCCAGTTCAGTTTGACCCAGGCGGCTGCGATTCTGTTGCATTGAGTTAATTGATTACAACATGAGAGACCCAGAATGAAACCGACCTAGGCTGCAAACAGGATCTTTGCGCTCTCATGGTAACCTCAATAATAAAACTGAGGACCTTGTTTCAAGGAGTTTGCAAAAGACTGCAGTGTCCGTTGTTCATTGCCTTTACACCATGCGTTTGTTTCCCACTGTGTTTTTTGATAGCTGTTATGTGAGTTCATGGGGCTGGAGTGAACTTGGCCAATGCTGCCTGCTACGTATCCCGTGGTGATGGTAATTTCATCCTTGGTTGAATTACTTTGTGGCAGCCTATGGAGGGCGGTGCCATACTTTCTAAAACAGACAGGTGTGCTCTTCAAATACTGTTGGACCCCAACTTCCATCAGCTCCCATCAACATGACAACTGGAATTGCACAACATCTGGAGGGACTACAGATTCTCAGTCCCTGTTCTACAATCACATACTTTCTATCACTTTTCTATATTCTATATTGGAAGGGGAAATCAGCAAGGTACTTTTTACAACTATGTCCTTTTAAAAATCATTCTATCACTTCCCAGTGATCTATATTGCAGGGAAGATCAGTAATAGCGGACTAAGGGCTAACATTTCAGGTAGACCTATCTGTCATCTGTCAAGTAACTGCTGCTCAGCTTCCAAGTAACTCCCAAGTTCCTAGGAACACAATCCAGATTGGGAAAAACCCCACTGCTCTAGTTTTCTAGGTTGGTTCACGACTGACAAGAATTGGGATGGGAGTTGTAAAAGTCAGTGACATTGTAAATCACAGTTTAGCGCAGGAATGGGGGCTCTCTTGAGGCTGTTGGAGTACAACATTTGTAAAACATAACAAAAGCTAAAACTATAGGTGCAATTATATATGCATATATAAGTTGTGATTTGTCTCAGTGGAGAAACTGACACTGGTTTTAATGGGGTGGATTGCATCCAACCAAGGAGAGGACTTTGAATTTGAGGTGATGGGGAGGTTAAGTATCCAAGCTAGGACACAGAGAACCTTCTTACCTGACTTCTTAATGTTGTAGCAGGGAAACTGATGTGCATGTAATAAGCTCCCACAAACTAGGAATGTTTCCACAGTGTGAATATGCAGTGTACCAGAATTGTTCCATAAGACACATTACCTGAAAACTACTGCTGCATAAGAGCATCAGGCACAGCAAACAAGGGTGATAAGCATGGAGCAGATTGCTTTCTGGTGTGTGATGATGGCTAGCTGAAACGCAGCTGTTTTCTTCTTCCCTCCACCTCCATTGCTCTTCCTGTCTCTTTACCAGCATGGAGATTTTCTAGGCTGAATATCACTGTATTCTGCAGCAAAGGGAGCAGGCATGCTGTTGCAGGGGTAACATCAGACTAATTAGGGCTATTTTAATTTTAATTGATTAATGTTGGAGTTCCAGTTATATTTTTACCTTGTTTTGAGGGTCATGAAACACCAGTAATTATCACTTGTAAAATGCTTTACATGTGTCACAAAGCTATATTTTAATTAAATGACAGTTTCATTGTTTTGCATCACATTCTATTTTCATTTGTCTAGTATGTAAAGAGTTCTAACTCTAGTGTTCAAATTCCCTCTGGGCTAAAACCTAGCAACAAAGTTCTCATTAGAAAACCTGGTTTTGTAAAATTAAGAACAAAACATCCATCAAGAGATTTGTAAACTCATTTGAGTACCAAAAACAAAAGAACAAAAAAAACCTCTGCTAAGTGCGTAACGAATGACTTTCAGTCATCTCTGTGGAATATGAACTTGATTTTAGGCCAAGATGCAAATGTGTGTTTAGTTAGGACTCATCATTCTCAATTTGAAACTGCAGATTCTGCTTAATTAGGCATCCTTTCTGAGCAAGCTGAAAGCCCTCAATTTTGATAGAGGTATATGTTCACATATGCACACATTTTTCCTTGTTCACACACTTCAAAATACCATGAACATCTGTTATGGGGATGTTTGTAACTTTTTTCCTCACTTAAAAGTACACACCTATAATACTCCATCTGAAAGAACAGACTGGATCTTTTCATTCATTTCCATCCATTCTGTCCACATTTACCTTCTGCTCTGTACTTTCTAGGGACAGGTTCATGCTTTAAAGTGCTGTGTCCAAGAGCTTTCTTTTTGCCCCGGTGCTTTCTCCATGAAAACCCGCTCTTTAACACTGAATCAGAACAAATGACAATTTGGGTTTCTATGGATTGCCATTTGCTCTGATTCAGTGGTAAAAAGTAGATTTTTTTGTGGGGAAAGCGGCAGGGGGGGAAAAGTGCTTGGACATGGTGCTTTAAAGCACAGATCTGTGCCTAGAAAAGCATTACAAAAGGAAGTCTGAATGAGACCTTAGTTATGCCACATCAATCACACACACCTTTTTTGTGGCTCTGTGACACTTGCTGCTTAATCAGAATACTTGCCCATAATTGCAAATTATGTATGTATGTTTGCTTTGAAAACAAAGGTCATAAGTTTTTACGGCAATACTTTCCCCAATATTGATGTTGGTGAGGAGCCTTGTTCTTACTAAGCAAATCACTTTGTTAATGGCCCTTTGCATGTGACTTAAAGAAAGAAAAAGCTGAGGAGATAATTTTGTCTGTTTCCCCTTCTGCTTAAGGATCCCTTTCTTCTGTAGCGATCACTCGTAGCCGAGTAAGATTGTCTTCCATGAACATGGTCTTAACAGTGAGTCCGTAAGTGACTGTAGAAGCCAATTCTGGATCCACATGTCCTTCCACAGTGGGGACATACGGTAGATTACCAGGCAGAGTTGATCACGGTGAGGGTTTGCTAAATGTGCCTTCCTCTTAGCATGTTTTTCCCTTTCATCCTGAGTTTGAGCATCTTCAAAGTCCACAACACCTTTGGTAAAGGTTGTTCTTCAATTGGAGTGCTCACAGGCCAATGTTTCCCAATTGTCAGTGTTTATACTACTTTTTTAAAAAAGATTTGCCTTGAGAGCATCTTTAAACCTCTTTTGTTGACCACCAGCATTACGCTTTTCATTTTTAAGTTTGGAATAGAATAGTTGCTTTGGAAGAAGATAATCAGGCATCTGAATGACATGACCTGTCCAACAAAGTTGATGTTGAAGAATCATTGCTTCAACACTGGTGATCTTTGCTTCTTCCAGTACACTGGCATTAGTTCGCCTGTCTTCCCAAGTGATATGTAAACTTTTTTTTTTTTGGAGACACCGTTGATGGAATCTTCCGAGGAGTTGGAGATAGTGTTTATAAGTGGTCCATGTTTCACAAGCATACAGTAAAGTTGGTAGTACAGTAGCTTTGTAAACAATCATTTGGTTTCCCAGTGAATGTCCCGGTCCTCAAACACTTTGCACTTCATTCGGGAGAAACTGCACTCACAGAGCTCAGGTGATGCTGGATTTCGGCATCAATGTCGGCCCTTGTGGAAATACAACTGCCCAGGTAGAACGGATTGATCCCAGTGCAAATGCCACCACCACCTCCCATCCTGTTCTGCAGGTTCCCCTAGTCTTCCAGAACAGATTTTCAGGGGCTGCAGGGGGTTGCACCAAGAACAAGGAATTAGCAAAATCCTCTCCTCTCCACTTACATTAGTGAAGACATCAAAAGCTGCAACTTCAAGTAAACAATTTGAAGTAAGTTGTGTATATTTGAAGTCCTTGTTGTTCCAACTTTGTGTAAACTGGGAGGGTAAACACCAAAATTCCTGATTCAAGTATGCAGTTGAAAATGGATGCAGCTGATGGTTTCACAGAATCATAAAATTGTAGAGTTGGAAGCGACCATGAGGGTTATTTCAGGTATCTCACTTCAGTGTCTTGAGAATCATTAGGAAAATATGATGAACTCCTCTTTGTTTGCTTTGGAATTGCTTTGGAAATTACACCTAACCTTTGGCAGGAGGAGGAACACCTCTGCTTTGGCGAGGCTCATTTGACAACAACAACAAGAAGAAACTGAGCCTTTAGTATCATCAGCCCAGTATTGTGAGATGCTCTGCCAATAGAGATTCAGAAGGCACATTCTATGCCAACTTTTAAATGCCTGCTGAAAACTTTTCTATTCTGCCTGGGCAGACAATTAGGAGTACATCCTTCCACAATGGTTAATTGATGTCTGATTTTAACTTTTTTATGTAATTTTTTATTGTTTGGTTTTATGTTCTATTGTTGCAAACTGCTTTGATTTTTAAAAAATGAATTGCATTCAGTTACACTGATCCAGAGCTTTCACAGCCTCTTCTGCTTGAGTAGAACTGTGTGTCATCAGCAATACTGGTGACACCTTGCTTCAAAGCTCCTAATGACCACCCACTCCCAATAATTTCATATAGTTGTTAAATATCATTGGGGGGGAGATAGACCCTACAGAACCCCATAGCACAAGTGTCAGGGACCTGAGGAACACCTACCTAAGTGCTGCTTTCTGGTCACAACCCTGAAGATATGAACAGAACCACCATAATACAGTGCCTCTGATTCCCATTCCACTAAGTTGGTCCAGAAAACCATGCCATGGTTAATGGTATCAAAAGCAAAATATATAGGCAATAACCACACACTGAAGGGTTGAAACTGAGAAACTGAGCATAGTTCACTTTTCAGCCAAAGTTGAAATAGTGGATCCATTTTGACAGAGTATAGTTTAAAAGTCATCTTGTCATCCTGTGCCCCAGATATGAGGAGGAAGGCAAGATATTCTCAGGTTTTTATGGAGTGTAATTATTTTTCCTAAAGAGGTGATGAGAACAAGTTTAATCACTCTGGGAGAAAGGAAAGTTACCAGCATTGATATCCTACTATATCCGAATCTGAAATGGTTCACATACCATTTTTTATAGATTAGCTGTAGGTCTCCACAAATCTAGTTGCCAGGGCTGCTCTGTGACCCCTGCTCTGGCCAAGACAACTACAAGGACATCCTTTCACGAAGTTCCGGGATCCTCTGTAGGCTCTTCCAGACATCCTTTTAGTTACATATGTCTCTTTGTGGTTTGCAATGATGCTTCTTCTATCTTACAGGGGCCTAGTTCAGAAGCACAGATGGTGGAAAGCAATGCAGAGGCAGCTGCTGAAGAACCACCTCCTTATTTGCAGGAAGAACCTCCTCAAGGTAGAGTGCTTAGACTGCCACTGTGAATTTCTTATAACTTTTCAAAGGGAAACAGGCCATAAGTTTCAAGGTCCATTCTTGTGATCCAAGGGAGTAGTATGTGATGTAGAATGCTTCATGCCATGATAGCACTGTTAATAATCCTAACTGAGTCCTTTGACTTCTCAAATACGTATAAAACAGGATTGTAAACCAAACTCCGTTGGCATTCATTAACAATATAGTTCTAGTTTGGCCTAAGCTACTTATTGGGTGATGGCATCTTCCCCCTTTCCACAAAGTTGAATTATCTGTAACGTTAAGCAAGTGATTCCTTTTTGATTGGATTGACTTCTGTTGGTGAAAGTGCCCCAACTGAGAGGTTTGGAGGGTGGCAATACAAGAACAGGTCTTTTGGATGGTGGGTCCCTGTTGGTGGAAAGCTCTCCACAGAGAGGCTCGCCTGATGCCATCATTACATGTCTTTAGGTGCCAGGCAAAAACATTTCTCTTTACCCAGGCCTATGGCCATTAAATAATCTATGCCAGACATAGGCAAACTCCGGCCCTCCAGATGTTTGGGACTACAATTCCCATCATCCCTGAGCACTGGTCCTGTTAGCTAGGGATGATGGGAATTGTAGTCCCAAACATATGGAGGGCCGGAGTTTGCCTATGCCTGATCTATGCCCTGTTAAAGCTGCAGCGGTGCTGGTGGGGCTGTTACTATGATTATTTTTTTATTATGCTGCCTATTATTATGCTTTATATTATGTGTTTATTGTTGTGCTCCATAAAGTGTGTTCTTAATGTTGTACACCACCCTGGGATCTTTTGATAAAGGGTGGTATAGAAATCGAATAAGTAGTAAAAATAATAACTGTGAAGGTAGGCCTGTCATCTCACTCCTAAGGGCATGTATGGGACTTTTAGCATGGCTGAGCCAAAGCCCATTCTGATTCCCTAAGAAACCCAGCTCCCTCTCCTCTTCCCAGTCTGTTGCATGATCCCAGGAGATCATAGGATCCTGCAATTAATTTTCATCACCCCCACCTTCATAGGTGCTCAAAATCACAATGGTGACAGAATGCTAAAGGTGTGGGGTTCCCCTCTCCCCCATATGTTTAAGTGGTAAGTGAAGATTCCCACAACATTATGGATAGAATTGAATCAAGTGGTTGCGGTTATTCTGGATTAATTAAACTGTAGTGACAGAAGGGGAAGGTGATTTGAATTAAGGACAAGTGCTTATTTAAATGGTCATCCAAGAGTTGGACTTGAGTCACTTCTTTATTTTAAATCTGCCGTTTTTATTTTATTTTATTTCTGCTGTGGAAAAGACCTCTTAATAGCAACTACATTTCAAATCCAGAGCTTTCAGACTCTATTCTACCAGCCCTCTTGGAAAGCTAGTTAAGCAGCCTGAAATGAGATTGAAAAAGGGTGTCAGCGGGAGGTTCACAAATGCCAATCTTAATTAAAAACCTGGTTTCCAGTTAAATGACCCAGATTACGATGAGTATGAATCTCTTTCTCTCTGTTGCATGAATGTTTCTTTAAGTAAACTTGACTACTGTTTTCTTTGGAAGAAGGTCCTCATATTCAAAGGACAGAAGATGCTAATTGGACCTTTTATCTCTACATTCACGGGGACATGCAAAACTGCTTTCTGGTTCATCTAGTCCAGGGGCAGCTGAAGTGGTACTATCCGTATGTTTTTGGACTACAATTCCCAGCAGCCCCAGCCAGAATGACCAATGGTCAGGTATAGTGGGAATTCTAATCCACAGTATCTGGATGTCAGGGACTGGCTGGATGATGAAAAATGGTGGGAGACTCCAGCCAGAGAACCCCCTAGGGAAGCCACAGAAGAGGAAGGCTCAGAGCAAGGGGAGGAGTGGTAGGACATAGTCAGAGGATGAAGGGGGGTGGAACAGAATGGTTGGATGCTGAACAAGCAGCTGGCTTGAGTGAGAGAGGAGAAGAAGAGACAGAAAACACTGCAGACATAAGACAGGCAGCTGAGGAAGAGGGAGCCTGCTGGTATTCACCATAGGTTTTTCTGTTGGTATTCTGTTTCCTTGAATAAAGAATCAACCTTACTGCTCGTCTCTGTGTCTCTGTGATGACCTGTGGCTGAACCAGCCCTAACACTGTAGGATGCTTGTTACCCCTGATGTAGCCTATTGCTCCTAACCCATTTGGCAGCATCATGTGCTGTACCACTGATTCCTCTCCAGCTTTTTCTATCTCATCCATTACTTTTTGGGGGGACAGGCGTGAGAATACTATTAAATTTTTAGAGAAAGCTTTTAGAGAAAGCCAGGTTGCTTTATTCATGCTTTATGGGGGAAACTGGTCTCTGTCGTGTTGGATTATGATTGCAATATAACATTTTTACCTTGGGCTTTTAATTGGTTGTCTTAAAGGAAATGAACATATCTAATGCAAACTGTATAGTGATACCATATATATATATATATATATATATATATATATATATATATATATGGTATAGAGATGGTTATACTTGGTACAATACAATTTTTAACATGCTTTTTAACAGAAGGCCGCAGAGCATTTTGCAGATATGAATAATGCAAAGCTTCCATATAAGATAATGTAAATTTTGTTAATTAAAAAACGCATGAGAGTCGTCACAATGAACATTATTGATTCAATAGTGTCTTAGGATGTGTATAATTTGGGATTCAATGATAAAAGTGATCATGCTGCTTGGTTAAGTGGGTGGTGGGGGCATCAAAAAGTCCTGATGATGTTAAATTAGTTTTGCTTTCATTTCTATGACCCGAGCGAAGGCAAGGCATCATTTAAACTACCTTAGATTCCTTAAAGGTCTGTGAGTGAGAAAGGAGGGTTGGGAAGAGTGTCTTGAAATGTGTTCCTTATTTTGTTTAATTTTCAGCCTGATGAAGAGCTGTAGATTACTCAAAATCTTGTTCATAACTTTGTGATGTCTTAGTTGATCCATTACTAGGACTTTTAGGGTATTTTTTGTCTTCTTCCTAATTTCAGCCTGATTACCTGTAATACGCAGTTTACTGAGAAAGTGCCACTGAGTCCAGTGGGATTTGTTCCCAAGTAAATGTGCATATAGGGACGCGGGTGGCGCTGTGGGTTAAATCACTGAGCCTAGGACTTGCTGATCAGAAGGTTGGCGGTTTGAATCCCCGCGACGGGGTGAGCTCCCGTTGTTCGGTCCCTGCTTCTGCCAACCTAGCAGTTTGAAAGCACGTCAAAGTGCAAGTAGATAAATAGGTACTGCTCCGGCGGGGAGGTAAACGGTGTTTCCGTGCGCTGCTCTGTTTGCCAGAAGCGGCTTAGTCATGCTGGCCACATGACCTGGAAGCTGTCTTCAGACAAACGGCGGCTCCCTTGGCCAATAAAGCGAGATGAGCGCCACAACCCCAGAGTCGGTCACGACTGGACCTAATGGTCAGGGGTCCCTTTACCTTTACCTTTTTAAATGTGCATATAATGCTAGCTCTGGGGCTCTGTCAACCAGTATCACCCATGAGTTCCACCCACACCACAGACTTGCTTCTGCAATGCTTTCCCTACATACCCTACAGAAATGCAAGCTGAACCTTCTCTTCTTCCATCTTTCACTCACTGATTCATCAAAGTAATTGAAATACTTAACACTAGAAAGCTTTGGTCAGCTTTCCCCCTGTTGTTGTTTTTTCTCCAGCAGGAAGCTAGTGCTAGAATTAACATTCCCCGTGGAAGTACATCTTTGGCTTGACTGTCTACAACTGACCCACACCCACCATTGTGGAAAAATGCAAGAAATTTAGAGAGATGCAATAAATTAGTTGAATAGCTCAGTTGGTTAGAGCGTGGTGCTGATAATGCCAAGGTTGCAGGTTCGATCCCCGTAAGGGACAGTTGCATATTCCTGCATTGTAGAGGGTTGGACTAGATGATCTGCAGGGTCCCTTCCAACTCTGATTCTAATGCACCAAAGCCAGAAGGATGCATGCCATAGTCCTAGCTATATATGTTTGTTTGGCATCTGTGCCAGGATGAAATGGGGCCGGTCGGACTGTGCATATTGTTGGAGCAGAGCGGCGGGGGGCTGCCCTGTTTATTTCCAGCACACAGCAGTAAGACTTACGATAGATCTTCTAGGCTGTGACACCAAAGCCATTAAAACAAAGTGGCCCGCAATGAGAATAGATTGCTGAAGTTCTTTTAATAGAAAAATGCCATTATGCACTATCTCTTTTGTGCCTTCCCTTTTTATTGCTGCTTGCTCCTCTTAACAGCCCTTTCCCTTGTAAAAATCAGAAGCTTTTGAAGGAAAGAAAGAAAAAAGCACATAAATAATAAAATACAGTAAATTGTATTGTTCCGACTGTGCTGTGCTTTGGTTTCCTGGGCTGTACGAATTCGACTGCTGTGTCTGCTCACCTTCCCCTAATGAGAGCACCAGGGACCTCGGGCTCCCTCTGGAGGCCTCGCTCTTCTGGTTTGTTCCAATATTTCGTGAAATTGCATCATGACGATGGCAGCTTTTCAGGCTGCAAAGCACGTGCCTGCTGCTTCTGGAGGGAGAGAAATTGGACGTGTATGACACATTCTCTGCAGTAAAATGAAAGGTTTTGCCCTACAGGGGTTACCTTTCCGTTTCAAAGCAATAAGACTGCAGTCTGCTCCTCTGCGCACGGAGGCCTTGAACTCCATTTAGATTTTCCTCTGTGTCTTTATGGTGTCATCACTCATCAGAATAGAGCTGCCCGGTCGTACAGCACCTTTCCCTATGCACATGAAGGCTGTTACTTTAATGAGCTCATCATTGGTAGTGAATAGCTTGAAGACCGTTCCCAACTAAAGCTAATCTGGGGAAAGTTTATCTGAGGCCAAAAGGGTCTTGGAACTTTGCATTCTGATGTGCTCCTGATAGCCTTTCCAAGAGGGCTCCCAGCAGGGCAGGTGAATTGCACAAGGAAGAAATTTTCTTGAGGAACAGCAGTGAGATCTGTGTCTAAATCAGAAACCAGGAATAATTTTGCTTCCCTGCCCACCTCCAGCCCACTTATTTTTCCTCCCATCATCATCATCATCATCATCATCCTCCTGCTAAGAGTTAATATTCTAGCACCCTACATGGCTTTGATTTTAATCCCCCTTGAATCATATTGTGATAGGTGACCCTTATAGGCTGTCTGTTAGCTCATGGTGACAAATGACTCTATTACCTGCTGTCTTAACACACAGCACCCGTTGATTCTGAACACATCATGGAGAATGGAGAAAGAAAACCTCATCAAGGAGAGCAAGGGGGCTGAAATGAGGTCAGCCCCGATGGCAGGACATTTCAACAGATTAGGTCTGCAAAGGCAAGGCACAAGCTCAAAGGCAAGGCACAAGCGCACTCTTTGAACACCCAGTTTAAAGTAGGCCATTTTAGACATCTCTGCAGAGCCACATGGGGGTGCTACTTGCCTGATAATGTAGCAGCTGCCGACTTGCCAGCCAAGCCCACCGCTTCCTATACTAATCCCTTTGTTGGAACATTATTACAGACTGAGGCTTATAGGGACGCTGTGTTACTAGAAGCTTTGCATTATCTCAGCCACATCCACGACAATGAGGAAAATGGTGTTTAGTCTTCCTAGTTTTTGAAGGTGCAGCTGTTTGCCTCAGCGTGTCTATTCCCCTTTCCAATCTCTGCTTGTTCCATTGTTGCTCTTTAAAATATTGTACCAAAACTCTGTTTGGTTGTTCATGTAGTGTGTTAATTTTACTGTGATTGTCCAGGTTCTTGCAAACCAATCTGTCACTATCGGGTTTTGTTTTTTGGAACAATTGTGGGGTTTTTTTATTACGTTATGGAGCAATTAACAACATGACAACATGCAGCCATGACAAAAGCTTTGCTTTGTTGTACATTTTTCTTTCAGTATTCTTTATCCTTTACTTTGTACAAGCTATCATTATTTATTTTTGTATTGGGCAATGTTTTAGTTACCATGAAATTGGACTCCTGTGAAAGTACTATATATGGGAAAACTGCAGCCAAACAAAAGGTAGGGGATTACACATCATCTGTAGAGCATGCCTTACTCCAAATGAACAATAGGCACATGTTAGCATCAGCACCATCTTGAAAGAGCAGCAGCCCCGTGGATAATTTCTGCTTTAAAAATCCTGTCTCCACAGCCTCTTTCTCGCTTTGCTTACTTTCTAACTCCGTGGGTGGAATTCAGTGTCACACCAATGTGATGCAAACATTTCTGCTAGCAAGATGGTGCAGTCTCAACTCTCCTCCCCCTTGCATGCTGTTCTGTGGATTCCCCCGACCCTCTGGAGTGGATTTGGGGGGGGGGTGCCCATTGCTCTCGAAGGAGCCCTTCTGCTGACTTTCACTCGTGTACTGAGTTAGTAGAATCCGATCCCATGTTTCTGAAAATAAAGCCATGAAGTGGGGCCATAGGTTAAAATGGATGCTAGCTGGACAGTGGAAGGTGTTGTTTGCTTGCTCCACCCTCTGCCTTCACATCCACTGTGGGAAAGAAACTGTGCCCCTGTATCTTCTTCCCACGTATGGAGAAAAGCACTTGGGGGGGCACTTTTCGGGGAAACAATTTATTAAATATTGCCAAGGGGGTGGTGTCTTCCCAGCAGCCCTTAGATCACAAGGCGCCTCTATTGCAGGCAAACTGAACTTACTGCAACACTTTTCTGGGAGACGGTTCCTTATGAAAATAGTGGCTGCTCTTATCCAATGTACTGTGCATTGTGTCTCAGGACATGGCGCCTCATGCATTTCACAGCTTGTTTACACAAGCAGAGAGGTAACAGTGGTTAAACACTGACAGATGATCACTCTGTACCTTTGCTTGTGCGGGAAAGGAATCCATGGGTATGTTGTTAGCTTTTTTCCTATTCAGGCAAGTGCTCTTCTGCACAGTAGCTACTGATAATAAGGCTTCCTAAAAAGTAGGTTAAGTTAAGTGTTAGATACTGGAAAGCAAGAAGGAAAGGTAAGTGTGTGATAACCTAAATTTGTGAGTAACTATTAGTCTCCTCCCCCTTGCCTTTATTCCTTGCCTACATATCTTCTTTCTGTTGAGAGAGCTAATGTTAACCATTATATATGGGTTTGCTGTTGCCAGTTTGTCTGATTGGATCATGCTAACTGGATTAGGCTAACTGGCATCTTATAAATCAAGTTATTTCATTATCTGTCTCGGGAGAGAGCCTGTTCATAAGATCTGAGCTGCTATATCCCATGTTCACAAACGCTTGAAGGGGCAATATAGCTGAATAACATTTCCCCCCAGCTTGCTGGAAACTCATTGCACTCATTAGAAAAATCCACAGGGAGTTCTTAGTAATATATATATATATATTGACCTCATGATACTGTTCTTCAGGAAAGAAAAGAGTTTATGTACCGTAGTCTGTAAATCTGGCTTTAAGTGAAATGTCTTACATGCCACGCACTAAGTATTGTGGAGGGTAAGGCAACAGCATGGCGCTAGACTGAAAAGGAAGGACCCAAGGACCCAACCTCTCTTCAGATACAGTGGTGCCCCGCAAGACGAATGCCTCGCAAAACAAAAAACGCACAAGACGAAAGGGTTTTTCGGTTTTTGCGTCGCTTCGCAAGACGATTTTCCCTATGGGCTTGCTTCGCAAGACGAAACTTCTTGCGAGTTTTTTTTCCTTTTTCTCAAAGTGACTGCAAAGGTGAGCTCCGGTCGCGCGGCCAAGGGAAGTCCCGCTGTGGGTCGTCCAAAGTCAGCCCGAGCACGCCACTCACCTAAAAGGCATGGAGAGACGGAGGGAGCGCGCGAGGATCCCGGTGCAGAGGAGGCTCCTGCAGCAAAATAAAGGCAGTCGGCAGCCGGAGGGCTCCAGGACCCGGAGCTGCGGCGGGGCCGTCGATGGCGTTGCCGGAGACTCCTCCCTCTGGGCCTCGCTCTCTCCACCTTCGCCGCCGCTTGCCCTGCCTGCGATCAGCCGGGCTCATCGCTCCACTCTGCAGAGCGCTGCGCAAAGGCGCGGTGGGACAGGTGTCCGGGGACGCTTTGGCTGAGCGCGCCCCGGGATCGGAGGTGCGGGGTGCTTGCTGCAGATCTTATCTTCCAGGGTCGCTGGGATGGCGGCGGTCGGGGCTTGTGTTATGTAAGCGCATCAGGAGGGACTGCTTAAGAGGCCGGATGAGGCTTATGCAATGGCCAGATGCTCCCTAGGGGTCGAGGCTTGCAGTTGCGGGAACGAGTTTATACCTGTAGCCGCTAAGCCGCGAATAGCCGTGCTTCGCAAGATGAAAAAACTGCAAGACGAAGAGACTCGCAGAACGGATTAATTTCGTCTTGCGAGGCACCACTATAACAGTTCCAGACTCTGACTGTAGATGATGAATCAATTGTTTGCTCAATGGATGACGACTTCAGACTTTCTGTGCATGTTTGTAGGTCAGGGGACAATTTCTGTTCTCAGTTGTGCCTTTGAAATTCCAGTGGACTCAAAGGATGGGTTTGTATGAGAGAGTGTGAGAGATGGGCAGGGCCTTATTTTTTCATTTATTTAATAAAATGTATATACAATATTGTTGACAGGGCTCTTTTTTCTAGAAAAAGAGATGCCGGAACTCAACCTTTTTAAGGGGGAAGCACCCACCCAAAGTGGTTGAGCTCCCCCCCTCCCCCGTTCACTCGCTCGACCCAACGCCGCAGGGAAAATATAAAAATTGAGTGCTGTGCAGGGGGACGCCACCACAACTCTAAAGACCTGCCAGAACGTGCCAGTGAGGTGCTGGAATGCAACAAAGAGGAGCTGGAACTCAGTTCCTGTGAGATCCGGCTCAAAAAAAGCCCTGTTGCTTGATGGCAGAAAACCTCATAGCGTTTACAAGAAGACTAAAAGAATAAAATTTATTAGTTGAAACAATTAAACATTCAAAAAAATGTCTTTTTTAAATATAATTTTTATTAAATTTTCTGTTTTACAATTTTAAGTACTCATTTTTACATCCTTAAAATATCAATGACTTTGCTTCTTCTCTTTCCATGGTTCATTTTGCATATCATAAACCCCTGCATATTTTACGAAAAACTATACCATTCAGTATTCCATTATTGTATCCATCAAAACTTATTTACACTGTTGAATTTATCTTAATGCTGCCAACGTTTGCAGCTGCACACAGTTATTTCCCATATATTCAATAAACGTTTTCCAGTCTTCTCTAACCGCACGTTCTTCTTGTTCTCTTATTCTAACATATAGAATAACATACTGTATAGAACATACAACATTCAAAAGATTTAAACCAGCAGTAAACAAATACAATGGTACCTCGGGTTACATACACTTCAGGTTACATACGCTTCAGGTTACAGACTCCGCTAACCCAGAAATAGTACCTTGGGTTAAGAACTTTGCTTCAGGATGAGAACAGAAATTGTGCGGCGGCGGCGCGTCAGCAGCAGGAGGCCCCATTAGCTAAAGTGGTGCTTCAGCTTAAGAACAGTTTCAGGTTAAGAACGGACCTCCGGAACGAATTAAGTACTTAACCAGAGGTACCACTGTAACACATTGGCATTCTGAATATCTGGATAGGCTTGCCTAAACAGAAATGTTTTTAGCAGGTGCCAAAAAGAGTACATGGAAGGTGCCTGCCTGGTGACAATAGGTAGGGACTTCTAAAGTGCAGGGGCAGCCACACTAAAAGATAGATTCCCTACAAATGCAGAATGGATATTATGTGACACCAGTAACAGTGCCAGCTGTGTGTGCTCCAGCTTGACATGCTAATGGGACCATTGCAGACAGCAGTGTAGCTAGTCGCTCGGGTGCCTGGGGTGGCGTGCGCACCCTGCATCCGGGGGTGGAGTGAGCCAAGGCAGGGTGCGCTGCATGGAGCCTCTTCGCAGCCTCCCCCTCAGCTGTAGGGTGGCTGAGGTGGTGGGCAGACGCAAGCCCCGCACTGCTCAAAAAAGCAGCGCGGAGCTTGCAGGCAGTCCGCCCGCCACCTCCCCCTCAGAAGAAACACGTGGCTCAGGCATGCTGCAGGCCCCGTGGTGTGACGCCCAGTGCCCCCAGCCTCACCTAGCTACGCCTCTGCCTTCATGCTCACCTAAGTGTGGATCTCCAAACACTTCGCCCTCAATTCCCCGAGCTCTCCCCCCATTGCTCTTGCTCCCTACCATAGGAGAAGAAGAAGAATTTGGATTTGCTTTATCACTACCCTACGGAGTCTCAAAGTGGCTCACAATCTCCTTTCCCTTCCTCTCCCACAACAAACACTCTGTGAGGTGAGTGGGGCTGAGAGACTTCAGAGAAGTGTGACTGGCCCAAGGTCACCCAGCAGCTGCATGCGGAGGAGCGGAGACGCGAACCTGGTTCACCAGATTACGAGACTACCGCTCTTAACCACTACACCACACTGGCTCTCAGCGGCTGGACTGTGGCTGGATGTATACTGATGGTGGCGAGAGGAATGCAGCCTGCTTATGGAGAGGGGAAGAAATGGGTCCGGATGGTGGGTTTCTGGCTAATTGCAGAGATTCAAAAGCCGCTTTTTAGGGCAACGGCTTCCACCATACAGTCATAAAATCCAGAGCAACCCGGACCCAGCAAAAAGTATTAACTCATGCCCACACTGCCTCCGGCAATATCAGAAAAGCAGCCCTCATGGAAACCTGTCCCAAGCAACCTCAGCCCATTTCAACCCGATCAAGCCTTGGAAACCTTCCAGGCACCTGAAACCTAGCAGGAAAATCCCCGCCGCCCCACCCCCCGGCTTCCAGGGGGAGCCTCGCTCTCTGCCCAGCTGGCCGCGCCAGGACTCTCCCGGTTCTTGCAGAGGGAAGTGGCTTTCCTCCACGGTGACTTACTGTGCCAAAGCGAGCAGGTGCGAAAGAGGAGGAGGCAGCTTAGGCAGATTCATGGAGGAGAGGGCTGTCGAAGGCTACTAGCCATAAAGGCTGTGCTCTGCCTGCACAGTTGGAGGCTACAATGCTTCTGGTTTCTGGAAATCACCCGAGGGGAGAGTGCTCCTGCAGTGGGTGTGGGGGTTATTTTTTGTCACCCCCTCAGTGATTACACCCGGGGCGGCCCGTACCCCCTGCACCCCCCTTCCTACGCCACTGATTCCAGGCACATGCTCCTCCAGGTGGCTGTTGCATCCCTCTGCTAGTATGGTATTAATACAGAAATGGTGCAATACATTCCCCACCCTCATATACTATAGGGAAAGAAGACTGGCTTTGCTACGGTAACTGAAATATGTAGGAGGATTGTTACAGTCTCTTGAAACTGAAAGCGACTGGTTTTAAGTCTCCTTTCCTGTGTTACAAAGAGTCATTAGTAAAATTCCTGACTTCTGAAGTTCAGCCAGTAAATTGTGTATTCTGGCAGGTTTTCTACTGGTCCCAGAGACTAGCAGTTCTTCACAAATGCTACAATCAGGATGATCTTGCATACAATCAGGATGATTCACAGGGCTCATACGGATGCCCCTGAGCTCTGCATTGTATCATGTTCTCAAAGTACATGTATGGCTCTACGAACCAAACAGCATGGATATTGATGCTTCATGTAACTGCAAATAACTCCTGCTTATGGAATGTCCTCAGTTCTTATAGCTTAAGCCTTTACATGTTTACTCAGAAGTGAAGTCCCACTTAATTTTGGTGGGACATGCCCAAATGCCTTAGGCTTAGCCTTCCAAGTAAATGATCTTGCTGAGTACCCTTGCATATGTACAGAAATCTCTCATGTCTTACTCTGAGCAGTTATTATTATGCAGTGCATGTGAGCTATATGACCAAAGATTTTAGAAAACGCTCTTCAGTAACTACTCCATTTAGTTCAAAAGCAATGTTTTTGTTTTTTTTATTGTTGTAGCAACCAATCTGAATGCATGCGTGCTTGCTTGCTTATTTATATTATTTATATTCATATCTCACTTTTTTATGTGTGGTACCCAGGATATGGGGACGCGGGTGGCGCTGTGGGTTAAACCACAGAGCCTAGGACTTCCCGATCAGAAGGTCGGCGGTTCGAATCCCCGTGACGGGGTGAGCTCCTGTTGCTTGGTCCCAGCTCCTGCCAACCTAGCAGTTTGAAAGCACGTCAAAGTAGATAAATAGGTACCGCTCAGGCGGGAAGGTAAACGGCGTTTCCGTGCGCTGCTCTGGTTCACCAGAAGCGGCTTAGTCTTGCTGGCCACATGACCTGGAAGCTGTACGCTGGCTCCCTCGGCCAATAAAGCAAGATGAGCGCCGCAACCCCAGAGTCGGCCACGACTGGACCTAATGGTCAGGGGTCCCTTTACCTTTACCCAGGACATGCTTGTCTAGGAACTGTATGCATTTCACAATGGGACATTTTATTTAAATCCCCACTGAGTTTAAATCCCTTTGCCCTCCCCTGCTGTAGATGGTGGCTAAATGGATTCAAGGGATCAGAGTGTCAGGTTTCAAGGTCCACATTTTACACTGACTCCTCACACTGACTTGCTTTGCAGGAATCCATGGCCTTTTTCCCTTAAGGCCAGCCTTTGGTCTTCCTCTCCCGAATCTGCATAAGTATTAGGCCTGTGCTCTTGGGGACTAGGACTGTGACACTAATTCAGCCACTTTCCCCATAGAAAAGCAGCTGTGACAACGTGTTGTAAGAATCTCCCTTTCCCAGCAGCCCCGGTTAGAAGGCTGAGACAAATTATTTACCAGAAATAAGACAGCTTTTTTGTGGAGAGACATTGTCTGGGCAGGTGTGGTGGTGTCTGTACCTTCTGTCCTGGGAGGAGGTGTGTCTGAGAAAGCGCTCTGTGTCTGGCTTTTAAACAAATTATCTTCTCTAGCATAATCCAAGTTTCCCTTCCATATGCAATGAGGTGATATTTACAAATCCCTGGCACTGGAGGCAAAATGTGTAGTCACATGTAATGTGCAAAGAAAATGAGGTCAGGCACTGGAGACTTCTTCAGAAATACAACTGCAAATGATATTTTGGGCAACAGATTTGATCTGGATTAAGTTTATGTGCAAGTTTTAATTCTCTTAAAATTTAATCTGTTGTCAAAGCATCTCTGAAACATCTGCTTTAAAAATTGACAACATTACTATTGCTCTTATTTATTTCTCTGTTTAAAGTGTGAATGGGGAACTTGTAGTCTTCATGCAGCCTTTATTTCATGCAACCTGCAGAGATGTGATAGCACAGTGTGTGTGTGTGTGTGTGTGTGTGTGAGAGAGAGAGAGAGAGAGAGAGAGAGAGAGAGAGAGAAGGCCCTATATCATCCTGCAAACTCCACCCATCTTTGGCACTGGTTTCTAATTGAGTTTTCCCATAGGTCAAGAGCCCTTCATGGGGCAGAAATTTACCCCAACTTTAATTTAAAGCATGTGGAGATCTGCAACTGCCACCTGGCCCAGCCTGAATGGGAACCCACCAAAAATGTCCTACAGCCTTTCTGGGCTAGAGAGGCAAGACTGGAAAGGGAAGCGAAGGTGAGGGAAGTAGGTTTCCCTCGTTTTCACTTACTACCTCCCAGGAGAAAGAAAAGACATTCTGTCCCCTTCTCCCACCAGGTGCAAGTGAAGACAAAACTCTTGAAGTCAGGAAGCGAGATGGATTGGCAGTATGGGTAGCACTTGATATCAGAACATAAATTAATTTCAGGAGGAAGAAACCGTTTAATGTGGGGCTGTCTTTCTGAAGTGGGCCCTCCCTTTTATTACATCACTCCGGGTCTTAACTGTCTCTGGAAGCTGGTTGGTGTGATTCTACAAGAGACCTTTTTTTGTGGGGGGAGCTATTTTCCTTAAGACTGCAATTAAATAGAAATAGATTGGGATTGCTGGAGGTGCGTAGCAAAATTAAACTTCTCAAACAAACCAAAACAGAAATCCTATCACCCAAAATAGCTGTTAGTGTTGAGCGCCCAGAAATCCCACCAGGGCATGGAAAGCAGCAAAGATGGCAGATCCTTCTGAAGTGCCAGGTACCTGCTCTTTGGGTGGAGCCTGTGAGTGTAATTGAGATAATTTCTTGGTATCCAAACATGGCTATAGATGCCTTGTGTTAAACATCCAATTATAAGATCAGTAAGTGCTTTCCAAACAGAAATATGCAGGATTTGTTCCAGCCGCCATCTGAAATGCAGTCACGTTGCATGTGAATTAGTGCAGCTGTTTAACAGCTGAATAGCAGTAACACCCCACCGAGTTTTATTCTTCATATTTCCATTTTACATAATGTAATCACTTGACTTAGAATGTTGCCTGGAGTCTAGAAGTAATGGTTCTGCTTGCTGTGGGGGGATGTTAATGACCACAAATGAACAGTACCTTGATTCCACAGCCTCCTCCCACCCCTCTTTCGCCTTCCCTTGCTGCAGTGGCTGAAATTAGTCACCTTTGCCACAGCATGGTTCTTTCAGAGCAAACTTGGGCATTACAGGGAAGTGGTAAGGTTTTCCGGATTAGCTCCTCAGAAACTTCCATTTGTTGCATGCTGGCAGAGGTTGCATCTAATATCCACTTGTCGTGACAGCCCATCAGACATATGCATCCAGTGGTGAGCTTTATCAGGACAGCTGAAGAAGGGAAGCATCTTTTGCTCCCTCGGAAGACTGTGTACCTTTCAGGGTGCTTTGCTGTGAAGTAACAGCCCAAGAGCTTACTTAACAGGCCATTGGACCGATAAGGCCATGCCTTTGCAGGCCACATTGTAAGATGGATCATTGTTCGTTTGCTGTAAATAGTATTCTCTCTGGAGGCACATGTCTCCAGAGAGGGGACACCTCAAAGCCCACCCCCAATCTCAACAAGAGGTGCTGTTTTCCTGCTCTGTATAACTCCCAGTCTTGCATAGTGCATTTTTAAACATCTGCCTTTTCCTCCCCTTGTCTAGACAGTAAAAGATTCAAGTGGAAGTTATGGGCCACCTGGTCTGCTTGGGGGAGCCAAAGAAAACTCGTCCCTGATTCTAGTGCAGGATCATGTGAGTTCATAATATGGCTTGGAGGTGAGGATAGCACTTATTCTTGTGAGTGTTCCTCAGTTCAGAAGCTTTTTTGAGGGAGTGGGAATCAACATATGTTGTTAGCATTGGTGTTTTGTAATCTGACTCTATTTTGGTATAACTTTCCTTGTAACCCAGCCCAGTCAACCATCTTCATCTCTGTAGTCCCAAAGACAGTTTAAGGTAATGCTGAGTTGTCTTCAGTCGACCATCATGAAGCACTCTTTCTACCACCAATGCCCTTAATTTTGCTGATGTTCTCTGAAGCGCTCCATCTTTCATTAGAGAAGCTGCAGGTGCTGTATTCCTTTGGCTTTGGCTTTCCGCTTTGTTAATATCCTCTTTGTTCTCCAAAGCATCCCAAAGCAAATAAGGAAGAATGGCTTTTGCTTAGTGGATAATGCTGCACATTTCATTTCCAAAGCTTTCTATTGTCCCATATCAATTCTTTTGAGGTCCTATACCAAGGATCTGTGGCTTTAAGGCTCAGTATAACAAAAGAATATCAGTTGTATCTGAACAAATGATCGCAATCATAAGAGAATTAGCACTGTGTGAGAATTAGGAGGTGTGCTGGAGACTGTTTCTGGGAGGAAAGTTAGGATCCAGGCCACTGCAAATCTGTTTCTTCCTAAAGATGCCAATTCTCTTATATATTACAGGAGCTATGCAGCTGGATCACAATAAAGTTCTGCCAGGGGGCATTTGTCAGAAAACAGCTCTGGACACTCCTCCTCCTCCTGTGTCTTGTCTCTCAGCAAGGGGATCATGATTTGGGACATGCTCTCCGCTGCTAGAATTTAGCTACCTTAAGTTTGGTTATTCATATTTTTATTAAATGGCGGCTTCTCTGTTTATCTAGCAGGGTAGGTACATTGGCACATATACCTAGAAAGAAGCAGGAAAGAATGCACCTCAGAATATTGAACTGGACGGGGTCCATTAAGCCTTTTCTGTATCTAAAATCTGTAATTTCCTGTTTCATCTGTTCCCCCGCCCCCTGCACAAAAGCAATGGATTTCCACTTAGAATTCCCTGTGGTTATACTGAAATTGGATTATGAAAGGGTGGTGCCAAGTGTGTTATCCTCATTCGATTCAGGGCTGTGCCCCCAAACGATTTTCAGTGGCAAGCCTCTGTTACATAGCCATCATCATATATTCACCAGTTCCTGGCTTGTATCTATCTCCTTGTCACACTGGGATGTAACTGGAATGGGTGGGTGGGTGGTGGCATCAAGGCAGTGTTGTTGTTTGGAGAGAGTACAAGGTACCCTGACCAAGCTCTGAGAGGCAGCAGGGCAGGGAGAAGCCTTTCCACCACCCCACCAGGTCATCGGGACCTCTGGAGACACATGCCTGGAAAACTGGCCCTTTACACTTCTTTGTCCAGTGACAGTAGCCACTGTGGGATGGGTGGGTTTGTGCCCAGTCCCTTTTTTCACTGAACCCCAATGTGGGTTCAACAAGAGTCTACACCCAGTCCCTTCCATGGTTGGCAACACATGCTCCTCTTTGTTGCCCCATCATCCCCATTGTGAAAAAGGACTTTTGAGCCAATTTAACATGGGGCCCACGATGTCTCAAAGAACTAGCTGATGACACATGATGCCGTGTGAACTCTTAAGCCTCTGCATCAGTCAGTTTTGTTTTGAAGTAGCAAGTTGGCTGGAGAGTTTTCAGCCGCAATAATTTTCCCCACTCTAATCCTCCCCTGGCTATCTTGCTTTTCTCCTTGCTGTTACGGCAGAGTAGCCTGTGGGTGGCGGCAGAGGCCAGAGTAGACAATTGCCAGGCAAACTATTAAAGCTGTGCTTAAACCTATCATGACAGTTATGATTAGAATAATAGATTGGCATTTTTTCCCCTTAGATCGTTGAGCTTACATTTCTCACTTGCCTGAGTTTAAAGCATTAAAATGTGTCCTTCCGTTTCATAATTAATTCATCTCAAAGAGAAAAATACGAAGGTGGCAAATGAATTTCCCACCCCCTGCTTTCTCTCGCCTTGCGCTGGGTGTGAACCAATTTTCGTATTAATGCTGTGGAGGTCTGAATTCTTATCAGAAAGAGACGGGCTCCTTTCTTTTCTTTGCAGGGTTGGATAGGGGCGTGAAACAGGAAGTGTGTGTCATGTGGTGGTGATGGGGGGGAACCTCTGTAGGATGTGCAGAAACACAGATCTTTCAGGTTTGACACAGCACTAAACGTCATAAGTCGCCCTATTCCCCACCTTTCCTTTATGCTATCTGGCCCATAGGATTCCGCCCAGGCCACACACCCTCTCGCAAGCCACTCCCCCTTTCGCCAGGCCACGCCTCTTCCTGACGTGGCTTCACATCCTCCTCGAGTGCTTGCCAGGAATGTGCTCTTGAGCAAAAATGAAAAGAAAGGAAGATGTTAAGTGATTAAGTAAATTTTATGAGAAATTTGTTTTGGAAAATCGTTACAATGATATATACTGAAATTCAGTCAGGGGAATTTGAGGAAATCACTTAACAATGTTAATAAGATTGGATTAAGTACAGTTATGATGTATGTATGTTTGTTTGTTAGTTTAAAAATTTGGGAAAATTAATTAAATAAATTGGGGGGGAAAGGAATGTGGTCTTGAAATCTGGTGATGACTCTTGCCTGTCTGGATGAAGGATAGTGAGGGGAGTGTGAGTGCATATATATCTAGCATACTGTGCAGAGGAAAAATAATAACAATAACAATATAATAATAATAATAATAATACCCTGCCCATCTGGCTGGGTTTCCTTGCAGCATCCCCATTTGCCCACAACTGGCATGTGGCCCCTAGAAATTTGTGCAGAGGGGAATGTGGCCCTTGGGATGCAAAGGGTACCAGCTCATAATTAGAGCCCATTGGATCAGGCCAGTGGCCCACCTAGTCCAGCGTCCTGTTCTCATGGTGTCCAGCCAGATGCTTGTGGGAAGCCTGCAAGCACCTCTTTATGCCGTCAATTTCACCTTCCCTGTTTATCACACAGCTTTTCAATTAGGCTCCGACACAGCCCTGTGTTTCTAAATCATGAAGTGCCTCTTTGACAAGCCTGTTTTCTAGTATCGTTCTGAGGAATTGGGACGTTTGCCACTGGCAGGAACCATGGTTATTCAGTGGCAGTTGCTAAGGTCTACAGGCCCCTATGAGAACAGGATGATGGGCTAAATGGGCCATTGGCCTGATCCAGCAGGCTCTTCTTATGTTCTTAATGAGTTCATATTGCCGTGGTGGTTGCGTGGCAGTGTGGTCAAGGCATCTGAGGGCAATGTTTCAACAGCTGTACTTGGAGGGAGGGAAAATCTCTCCCAGAGCCTTTAGTGGACTGTGGAGGATTTCCCTGTTTAATAACCTTCCGCTCCTTAGGCCTCTGTGTTTCTGCTTCTGTACTAAAGAAATGCGAAAGCAAACAGTTTCTCTGAGGGCATCTGCTTATTCCTGTCCTCAAGGAGAACTAATCCCCTCTGCTTAGCATGGTCCATTTCCAGAGCAACAAGTTGTATAGTAACAAAGGATTATGCTACTAAGTAAAGAATGAGAGGGGAGGGACACTGCTGAAATAGATGAAAGTGTTAAGAGGGGCTGCATAACTGAGAAAAGTTGAAGTTACCCTAAACCAGGGGTCAGCAAACTTCTCCAGCATGGGGCCGGTCCACTGTCCCTCAGACCTTGTGGGGGGCCAGACTATGTTTTTTGGGGGGGAAATGAATGAATTCTTATGCCCCACAAATAACCCAGAGATGCATTTTAAATAAAAGCACACATTCTACTCATGTAAAAACACCGGGCAGGCCCCACAAATAACCCAGAGATGCATTTTAAATAAAAGGACACATTCTACGCATGTAAAAACACGCTGATTCCCAGACTGTCCGCGGGCTGGATTTAGAAGGTGATTGGGCCGGATCCGGCCCCCGGGCCTTAGTTTGCCTACCCATGCCCTAAACCTTAGGGGTGAGATACAAATAAGGTTTTTTTGTGTGTGCGGAACAAGGTCTTCTGACAAAATGAGCTTCCTGCCGCCGCACCTCCCTCACGCCCCCTAAATCTACTCTGGAGGGTTGGGGAAAACAGCAGAAAAGGTTGGGGGAGCTCACAGGAGAAGAGAATGGTAAAGCCTTGTTGCATGAATAGACCTCTCCCCATGTGCACATCCCCCACTTAAGAGAGGGAGGAAAACTTTTCTCTGTCCATCCCATTTCTCCATGCCATGCATAATCTGGCAAACCTGTTACTTGCTTTTTCTCTAACCTGAAAAGCCCCAAAGAGGCTCCCTTTCATTGCAGAGGCTTTCTTCCACCCCCTTGATAATTTTGGTCACCCATTTCCAACTCTGCAATATCTTTTTGGAGGTGAAGCAACCAGAACAATACACAGTATTCCAATGCAGTCACACTATAGATTTGTATAATAGCATTATGATATCAGCAGTTTTATTTTCAATTCCTTTCCTAATGATCCCTAGCATGGATTTTGCTTTTTCACAATCTCTGCACACTGGGTCAACATCTTCATCGAGCTAATATTCCCCTGATTACTAGTTGCTTGGGGAGAGGGGAGAGAGAAGTTACGTTTCATTGTGCCCTGACTGTGAGCATCCTAGGAGATCTGCTTTGAAGCCATGAGAGAAGAGGCTTGGATCCTCAGTTCCCACAAGCAGACCTCCGCTCAAGAAATGCTCCCAAGACACAAAGGGGCCACACACACATTTCTTCTCTCTCTCTCTCTCTCTCTCTCTCTCTCTTTTGCAAGTTTGCTCATCACCTTGTTTCCTGTGTCACCTGAAAATCTTCTCTGGAGGATTCGAAGGTTTGGGGAAAGCACAAGTGCTAGAGCTGGGGAGGGGGGGCGAGGATAGGGGAACCGGCAGATATCTCCTCCCTCTGCTTTCCACTGGTGGGATTCCCCACTCAATGGAGTCACTTCTGTTAATCATAGAATTGTAGAGTTGGAAGGGAGCCCTGAGGGTCATCTAGGCCAACCCCCTGCAATGCAGGAATCTCAGCTAGATCATATATGGCAGGTGGTCATCCAACCTCTGCTTTAAAACTTCCAAGGAAAGAGAGTCCACCACCTCTCTTGGGAGTCTGTTCCACTGTTGAACAGCTTTTACTGTTAGATGCTTAGTAGGTATCTCATTTCTTGTAACTTAAATTGGGAAGGATGCCTTCTGTCTGTGAAAGGGCAACTGAAATGCAGGGCAGAGAATTAGACTACATGGTCCCCTGGTCTGACTTAGTAAGGCCCCTGTTAAGAGTTAATGATGTATTTTCTTTCTCGGAGGTTAGCCTTCCTCTTCAATATGTGTCTTTATTCATATGCTTTAGTCATCTGCATAGAATCATAGAATTGTAGAGCTGGAAGGGACCCTGATGATCATCTAGTCCAGGGTTTCCCAAACTTGGGTCTCCAGTTGTTTTGGGACTACAGTTCCCACCATCCCTGACCACTGGTCCTGCTACCTGGGCATGATGGGAGTTGTAGTCCAAAAACAGCTGGAGACCCAAGTTTGGGAAACCCTGATCTGACCCAACCTCCTGCAATTCAGGAATAGGCAGCTGTCCCATACGGGAATTGAACCTGCAACCTTATCAGCACCACGCTCTAACCAGCTGAGCTATCCAGGCATCTACATGCATCATTTGGACATAGGGACATAGAAAGCTGCCTTCTATTGTGTCAGCTCACTGGTCTGTCTAGCTCAAGATTGTCTACATGGACTGGCAACAGCTGTCCAGGATGGTTTCAGGCAGGAAACTCTCCTATCCCTGTCTGGAGATGCCAGGGATTAAAACTAGGGTCTTCTGCATGGAAAGCAGATGCTCTCCCAATGAGCTATGGCCCTTACTCATTTGACTACTACTTGGATCCCCAGATGTGGTTGTCTACAATTCTTATCAACCCTGACCATGCTTCCTGGAAGAGTGGTCCAGGTTGTGGTCCAGTAACATCTGGGGATCCAAAGTGGAGGAAGACTGGCCTATATCATATGCAGACTTATCCAGAGCTGGTGATGTGAACAGATTCATGTATGATTCGACCTCATGGGGGCATTGACTGTGGGAAGGACTTTTGTCTGTTCTAACTCGGGAGTCTACCTTTTGTGTACATAGATTCAGGTAGGTAGCTGTGTTGGTCTGATGCATTTGAAATATATATAAAAAATTTAAAAAATGCCCCATGCACACACGAAAGCTTATACCAAGAAAAAACTTAGTTGGTCTTTAAGGTGCTACTGGACAATTTATTTATTTTTTATATATTTTGTGTACATAGTTTGAAGAATAAAATTTCCTCCCCAAAACAGAAAGCAGTAAATAGAACTGCTTAGCTGATTGCAGAAGATAAGTAGATATGTAAAGTGACCCATTCAGGTTTTTTCCGGGAATGTAATAACCTCAAGTGAAGTACTGACTCCAGCAGACACTGAAGACGTTCTCACCTTATTTAACTCTTATTTTATTCATCATAGGAATGGGTTTCATATCTCTTTCAATCTGCCACTGACGGGTAGGAATAATTTTTCAGGCAGTGTAGATGAGTATGCCGTGGTAGAGTCCATTTGCCACCTTGACAAGCGCTTAGTGCCATCAGCCATGGAGTAAGTTGGAAAAATGTTTTCCTTTACAGTCTGACTTGAACATGAGCATGATGTATGTTCAGATGTGGTGGTGGGGAGGGGGAAATGACAGAGGAAGGTCGCTGAGTTGTGTGAAGCTGAGCAGTGAATCCCTGCCACTGATTTCTGTCCCTCTCATAGCACAAGCAGAAGCCTGAGACAATTAACTTCTTGTTTCTTGTGGATGGAGTGGAAAATGGGGTTCAAGCTAATACAGTGAAATTCAAATGAGACGAATGTAAAATTTTGCATTTAGGGAGATTTAAAAAACAACAACGCACAAGTGTAAGATGGGGGAAATCTGGCATGTGAAAATGGAACTCAGAATTGCAGCTGAGTGCAAACTGAACTTGAGTCAGCAGTATGATGCAGCTGCAGTAAAGGCTAATATGATTATGATGCTGCCTTAATAGAACCACAGTTTGCAAGTCACAAGAAGTATTCATGCCATTGTATTCTGCCATAATCAGACTTCCTCTAGATAGAGCACTGTGCCCGGTCTTGGGCACCACACTTTGAGAAGGATGTAGACAAATTGGTAATGCATTAGAAGGTTGGTTAAGGGTATGGGAAACCATTCCTATGAGGAAAAAGTTTCAATTAAGTGGGCACAGTTAGCCTGGAGAAGAGAAGACAAAGGGGAGATACTGTATGCTAGCACTCTTCAAACACCTGAAGGGTTATATTAATGAAGAGTACATCTCTCAACATCCATAACCATTGTCCCTGCTGACTGAGGCTGAAGGTACTGTATTTTTCGCTCCATAAGACGCACTTTTTCCCTCCTAAAAAGTAAGGAGAAATGTCTGTGCGTCTTATGGAGTGAATGTGTGGTCGATCGCTGGCTCCCTTTCCAGCCCCAGCCCCTTGCCCAGGCCTCCATTGTTGAATGTTCTGCAGATGGAGGCTGTTTGTTTCCCCAGTGACATGTGACTGGCTGACTAGATTATCTGTCTGGAAACTGTAGAAACAGCTCCCTTTCCTTTCCTAAAGAAGCTGCAGAACTGTGAGTTGAGCCCCATAAAAACAGGATTTTTTCCCCTTTGCAAAATAAGCTGCACAACTTTGAGCTGATCGTCAAAAAACCGGGGCTTTTCCCCTTTGCAAAAGAAGCTGCACAACTGTGCGCTGATTCCCCCCAAAAACGGGGCATTCCCCCTCTAAAAACTAGGTGTGTCTTATGGTCAGGTGCATCTAATAATAATAATAATAATAATAATTTTATTTATATCCCGCCCTCCCCAACCGAAGCCGGGCTCAGGGCGGCTAACAACAATAAAACAGTACAACAGTACAGCACAACACTCTAAAATCATTCATTGTAAAATTAATTCAAATCAAGCCACTGGCAACCATTGGGCCAGAGCTCCGCGAAGATTGCCGAGGGAGGGAGTCAGGCTGTGCCCTGGCCAAAGGCCTGGCGGAACAGCTCTGTCTTGCAGGCCCTGCGGAAAGATGTCAAGTCCCGCAGGGCGCTAGTCTCTTGTGACAGAGTGTTCCACCAGATCGGAGCCACAGCCGAAAAAGCCCTGGCTCTAGTTGAGGCCAGCCTAACCTCTCTGTGGCCTGGGACCTTCAAGATGTTCTTATTTGAAGACCGTAAGTTTCTCTGTGGGACATACCAGGAGAGGCAGTCCCGTAGGTACGAGGGCCCTAGGCCGTGTAGGGCTTTAAAGGTTAAAACCAGACCTTAAACCTGATCCTGTACTCCACCGGGAGCCAGTGCAGCTGGTATAGCACCGGGTGAATGTGATCTCGCAGCGAGGACTCCGTAAGGAGTCTCACTGCAGCATTCTGCACCCGCTGGAGTTTCTGGGTCAGTCTCAAGGGCAGCCCCACGTAGAGCGAGTTACAATAATCCAGTCTAGAGGTGACCGTCGTGTGGATCACAGTGGCTAGGTCAGGGCGAGAGAGGTAAGGAGCCAACTGCTTAGCTTGGCGGAGATGGAAAAATGCCGCCTTTGTTATAGCTGCAATCTGCGCCTCCATGGAAAGGGAGGTATCGAAGATTACACCCAAACCCTTAACGGACGGTGCTGGCACTAATTGCGCCCCCGCAAGAGATGGGAGTTGCCCCCCCAATCCCATATCATCCCTTCCCAGCCACAGGACCTCTGTCTTCGAAGGATTTAGCTTCAACCGGCTCCCACGTAACCATCCAGCCACAGCTTCCAAACATCTGGTCAGTGTGTCTGGGGCCGAGTCAGGATGGCCATCCATCAACAGATAGAGTTGGGTGTCATCGGCATACTGATGGCAACCCAGCCCAAAACTCCGAACAAGCTGGGTGAGGGGGCGCATAAAGATGTTGAAAAGCTTCGGGGAGAGTATCGCACCCTGAGGTACTCCACACACCAAGGAGTGGCGCGATGACAATTCCCCCCCAAGCGCTACCCTCTGTCCTCGACCAGAGAGAAACGAGCACAGCCATTGAAGGACTGTGCCCTGGATCCCCACGTCGGCAAGGCGGTGGTCCAGGAGTTCATGATCGACCATGTCGAAAGCTGCTGACAGGTCTAGAAGAATCAGCAGCCCCGACCCGCCTCGATCCAGCTGTCTACGAAGATCATCTGTTAGGGCAACCAGAGCCGTCTCGGTCCCATGACCAGCGCGGAAGCCGGACTGGAATGGATCCAGAGCCGATGTTTCATCCAGAAACCCACCAAGCTGTTCAGCAACCGCTCTCTCAATCACCTTACCCAGGAACAGAAGATTCGAAACCAGGCGGTAATTGGATAGATCTAAAGGATCTAATGATGTTTTCTTTAAGAGCAGGCGCACCACTGCCTCCTTCAGTTCCCCTGGGAATGTCCCTGTGCCAAGGGACAAATTGATGATATCCCCCAGGAGGGCCCGCACCTCATCTGGACACACTCTAATCAGCCAAGACGGGCACGGGTCGAGAGGACAGGTGGTGGGCTTTCCAGCTCGGAGGAGTCTGTCCACATCGGCTGGGGATATCCGGTCGAAGTGGTCCAATACTGGACCTGAGGACAGTCGAGGGGCCTCCACTTCCTTTATTGTATCCAAATTGGCAGGGAGGTCATGGCGGAGCAACAAGACCTTCTCCTCAAAAAAGCTCGCAAATGCCTCACAGCTGTGTGTCAAATTGTTATTTAAATTTGGCTGTCCCTCAAGGGACGTTAAAGACCTAATTATACTAAATAATTGCGCCGGGCGAGAGCTAGCGGATGCAATGGAGGCCGAGAAGTAAGACTTCTTAGCAGCCTTCACCGCCATCTGGTAGGTTTTCATAAAAGCCCTATAAGATGTTCTTGAGGCTCCATCATGGGCACCCCGCCATACTCGCTCTAGCCGTTTGAGGTCCCGCTTCATTTTCCTGAGCTCCTCGGTAAACCAGGGAGCCCGGTTTCTGCGGGGTCGCAGAGGGCGCTTAGGTGCGATCTCATCGATGGCTGCCAGGAGCTGGATATTCCAGCCCTCAACAAGCTCAGTCAATGAGTCGCCAGGGGGAGCAAGGTCCCGCAAGGCTTGGCGGAATCTATCAAGGTCCATCAGCCTCTGCGGGCGAGCCCAAATCGGCTCGCCACCTAAGCAGGGTGGGGGTGGAAAGTCAATCCTGGCTTTCAGAGCGTAGTGATCAGACCATGGCACCTTCATTGAGGAGACATGATCACATCTATACCTATGCCAAAGATCAAATCCAGCGTGTGGCCTGCTTGATGTGTGGGGCCCGAAACAAACTGGGAGAGCCCTAGTGTTGCCATGGAAGACACCAGGTCCAGAGCCTGTGAGGAGGGAGTGGCATCAGCATGGATGTTGAAGTCCCCCAATACCAATAGTTAGAGAACTCCAAGGCCCAGCCGGCCACCGCCTCCAGTAGGCCTGACAGGGTGGCTGCTGGTGCGCTAGGTGGCCGGTACACCAGCCAGACAGCCAAGCTCTCCTCGGAGCCCCACACTAGGCCAACACATTCAATGCCGGGGATCGATGGCGATGGTAGAGCCCTGAAAGGACAATCTTCCCAGATTAATAATGCCACCCCTCCCCCCCGGCCCACAGTCCACGACTGGTGGAGGATGGAGAAACCCGGGGGCGCCATCTCTCGTAAGGTAACTGTTTCCCCTTCACGCACCCAGGTCTCCGTCACACAAGCCAGGTCGACCCCCTGTGAGGTAAAGAAATCTCGCAGGGTGGCGGTTTTGTTGCCTATAGACCTGGCATTGCACAGCACCAGTGACGGAGGTGGGTAATCCTTGCTCACCCTACCCTCGTCCCTTGGGATGAGGCGCAGATTGGAAGGGGTACGAGCATATCCATATCTCGATCCCCTTCGCCTATAACATCTGCCCCCACTGCCATACCTCCCTCGCCCCTCCACGGTAGGAATCCCAAGCCTCATATTAGCCTCCATTGATGGCAATTAATGTTATTCTTTCGCAGCCTAAAACAATAAAACCTTAAAACAATTTTAAAAAACCCGAGAAAACAATAAAACAATACAAATAAAAATTGCAAAAATTACAAATCCATCAAAATCCAACAAATTCCCAAGCCCACCCAAACATCCATCCCACCCCCATATATAAAAGATCTAAAGGGAAAGGGAAATTTTAAAACATGTTAAAAAGAACTCTGCACCCCTCCGGATCCTCCTGGGCAGTAGCAGCACCAGTGGCAACAACCGTCCTTGTGAGGCCCCACCCTGGGCCTGGGCCTGGAGCGAAAAATACGGTAATTGGGGTTCACCTGTCCTGTACTGAATGAGGTGCAAGGCCAGTGACTGTGGGAGAGAGGGCCTTTTCCATGGTGATGCTCCTGCTATGAAATGCCTTCAGAGATATTTGCCTTGTGCCTACTTCAGCACCAGGCAAAGAAAGCCCTTATTCATTTCCCCCGACCATTCAATCCGCTTTAGATTTAATCTGTCCTTACTCTCAGATACTGCTTTTGTATTGTATTTATGATTTCATTGTTTTTGTTATTACTGGACTTTGCATAGGGCAGCTTATAAATTTTGTAATTAGATGCACTTGTCTCATATGGTTTTTAAGGACTGGTCCTGATATTGTGTGTGTGTGTGTGTGTGTTTTAATCTGCTGCTGTTGTATTTTGCTGTAGCTTAATTCGTTTTTTAAATTATATATTGTTTTAAAATAATGTGCCCAGTCTGGAGTGCTGGGAGGGTGGTGTATAAATGCTTTTAAATAGATGCACGTTTATTTTCCTTGTATGTGTATGTGTGCTCAGAGTTTCTCCACTTTAGGATAAGTTGCTCTTCTTGAATCACATCATTAAAAGTTGATCTCTTTTTCTTTGCACAGTATTGTAATTTCCAGCTTCTGCATTTGGCCATACGTTCCCCCACCTCCCCCAACTCTAGGCTTGCACTGCAAGTACTTCTCTCTGTACTTCTCTCTGATTTCAAATCATTGAGACTAGAGAGGGTCCATAGTACTTGCAGTGCAAGCCTAGAGTTGCCTACTGAATTCAGTGGGACTTACTGCCTTATCCTTATGCTTCAACCCTCTACCCATTGGCTTGTGACTAAGACTCTTTGAACTCAAGAAGCCTTAATCCTGTGTCGGCTTCTATATGACTGCACTGTTTTTGATGATTGCAGTGGAAGGAGAACCAGGATAAATAGGGCCTTTCTTGTGGTAGTGCCTGCTATTTAGAACACTCTTCCACTGGAAATAAAGCATGTGCTGATTTTCTTTTCACCCAGAGTTTTATTTTATTTCATTTTTTTGTTGCCCAAGTATGTGGCTGGTTACTGTTAATGTGTGGCATCATTATATTTTATATCAACTTTATGTATCTCTTTTGTTGTTGTTGTTGTTGTTGTTGTTGTTGTTGTTGTTGTTGTACATACAAGTATTACAATAAAATAGTTCTGTAAACCACACTGGAAAATTAATTGCCCAGGAACAAGAGGAGGCTCCTGGAATGACAGGAGCTACTGGGGCATAACCAGGAACATTAAAGAAAAGCCAATCTCAAAATGGCTTCCCTGAGTGTCAGAAGTTGCCACACACCCCTTTTATTTGATAATAGGAAATTCCTCCTTTCTTCTCTGTTATGCATTATCAGTAGAAATTGCCTGGTGCATGAAAAGTAGAGAAACTGCTTAAAATAGACTGAATTTCACTGGGGGAGAAGAAGAAGAAAAGATTGCTGAGTTCCCTGTATCATTCATTATTTCATCTTTAATTCAGTGATAACCTCATTTGAATAGCTGGAGGCTTATCACAGAATTTCCATTTGAGCCCTTCCAAAGCCAGGAGCTCTGCACAATTTAGGGTCCATTTTGTGTACTTGGCCACTCTTTGAAGGTTGCTCACAAATGGACTGCAGCTGTCAGTGGAAGCTAGGCTAGGCAGATGCATGGACCTAGTCCAAACAACACATGACTTAAAATGTTTGTGATCACTGCCAGGGGTTGCTGTTAACTGAACTCAGCCATTTAAAAAGAATAATAATAATAATCTGTGCCTACATCTAAAAACATTTAGCTATCCACTAATGATTAGCATTTATAGCAGGGAGTACTGTAGCTCATCCTATGTATGGGTTGCTGTAGATGGAAGCATGTCTTGGTGCTGCTAGAGCAAGACCAGGGAAAGGTTGGTAGCTGTGGGGACTGGGGCATGTCCAATGCAGAATGCAGGTGGTCCAACAGTAGGCGGAGCCAAAAGCCATCGACAGGCAGAGACAACTAATTCTCGTTCCCCCACTGCATCCTCACCCCTACTGAGACTAAAGAGGAGGAAGCCGACAGCCGTTGCCACCCTCTGAACCAGATGGAAGAAAGAAGGCAGACAGGGAGCTGGCTGGCTAATGATGCTCCATTTTGTCCTAATAGGCCAGAATCCTCCAGTTGGCCGTCAGTTTCTAGGTGTAAATGCATGTTCATCAACAGAGAGGGAAAGAGGAGGCCCTTGCAGTTTAGGGAGATGCGACTTGAACTTTGGGAATTGCTAGTATATCATAACTTTCCTACCATAGCTGCTCTGAACCTCCCCTCTCCCACATTGTCGTTAATTATCCCACATCTCTCCTCACGAGCTTTTGGACCTTGTTACTGAGTCGGAGTGGTTCGTCTGGTCTGCATTGATTTCCCCCACTCCCTGCCCCTCCATCAATCATCCATCAATAAGAAGTGCTGTGTACGGCCGTGCGATACATTGCTAGACATTAAAGAGGTTCTTTCTCTCTTAACGCATTTAATACATTTGGGTATTTAATTTCAAGCTTGATGTTAAATTTAATAAGTTCAATAATTCTTTTGGAAAATGTTCCTGATGAAAAGGTTTTACAACGCTCCTCAAACAGATTTCCACTCTCTTTCTGAAATGTTGTAATGCCTCTGCTTAGCTTGAGCATTAAAGCTGTAATGGCCTATGAGGCGGAGGCTGGCACCGTGTGACATTCCCAGTGCTTAACATTCAGAGTTCTTTTTTGAGGGCGAAATTCTATTTGTAAACAAATGAGTGACTTGTATATTAATGAGCCGCTGAGCTCAGTAGTGCTTTTCCTTCTGACATGGGTAATGAATGTATTGTTAATGGGATGCTGATTCCCCGCCCGTCCCTCCTGCTTCTCCGAGGCCCTAAACGATCTTTCGAAATCACCTCAGGAATTCCTAAATCTTCAGTAAGCACAACAATTATTCATTGGATTACTGGTTTGTATACAATTCTTCAATATTATTGCATCTGAGATCAGGCCCAGGCATCTGGTACATGCACTGGCTCTTTTGATCCTAATATCCTGAAGCTGTTTTTCATTAAAGGGAGAAGGAAAATCTATTTGGCTTTCAAGAACTAAGCACGGCGGTAAAGCCCAAGTGTTCATTGGGGGTGGGGGGGATCCAACTCTCAAAGACAATTTCCATCCCTCCTTTATAGGGGTGTATGCCAGACCTGTCACTTTCTGGGCCTGAATGTTTTTGGACTGGTCAGGACTTGCAGTGTCTCTGATACCTGTGTGGTTGCCATTATCTCCAGCATTTCCAGTGCTGCCGTATTTGGGTGCAGTTTGCACTGGCCTCTCATGCATGTGCCGCTGTCCACCTTGACTCCCAGCTTTCTTTCCATTATAATCATTACTTCCTCTCTTCTCATGCACTCACACCTCCCTAAGGACTCTGGCTGTCAAAGCTGGGAGAGTGGTTCTGTAACAAAAGAGCCAACCCTATCAGGTAGCCTAGTAGCCTGGTCTGTCCTGTTCCTTTCTGCCTGTAGCTTCCGCCAACTGATGTGTCACTTAGGGCCAAGGCTGAGATATTTCCACTGGGCTTATGGTGGTCTCCTTGGGAGTAGGGAAACAGCCAGCTGAATTAAAAATCTCTTGCTTGGCAAATTCAGTCTGCTCTCCCCAACAATTAACAACCAGTAGCATATTCCAAGCATGGGAGGACAACCAGCCATTGAGTTTGATCAGAAACCAGTACAGTGGTACCTCAGGTTAAGAACTTAATTCATTTTGGAGGTCTGTTCTTAACCTGAAACTGTTCTTAACCTGAGGTACCACTTTAGCTAATGGGGCCTCCCACTGCTGCCATGCCACTGCTGCTGCGCGATTTCTGTTCTCATCCTGAAGCAAAGTTCTTAACCTGCGGTAATATTTCTGGGTTAGTGGAGTCTGTAACCTGAAGCGTCTGTAACCTGAAGTGTCTGTAACCCGAGGTCCCACTGTACAGCCAGAAATCCAATTCAGCCATTTCTTCAAAAAGAGTATGTGTAGGAAAGAAGAGGCAGAGGAACGGCAACTATGCTGATCAAAACTGAAACAGACAGAACACTATACCATAATATTGGTCTAATTGTTCCTATGACATGGTGTCTGTGTTGAATTTTGGAAGTCCTGTGTTCCTCACCCTTGTTGAGCCCACCTGCATCCTAAACAGGAGATGCCTCCCCTCTTCCTCCTCTCTCATCCTCCCTTCCCCAAGTTTGCATTTCTTAGGGAGACCACACTTGGTTTGCGCAACAGAGAGGACCCACCAAGAAGCTGATGTTCCAGGGTTCTGGGTGCTGCCACTGATTTGTCAAAGTATACAGGACAGGAGAGGTTTTCTCAGCAGAGCTGCCTGCAAATGGTTGTTTGTATTTTTGCTGGGCGGTAGAGGAAAGTAGTAGAAGGCAAATGCAAAGAATTATTTGGTCTATTTCAGTCATATATTTATTTGCATATCAATAGACCACTTCTAAACAGAAACATATCAAGACAGGACACATAAAAATTGAACATCACAATAAGATCAAATACTTGTTGGTAAAGGAATTATTGCTGCTGAAGCTTTACTGGCAGGGAGTTCCACTGGACAGGGTCTGCTACCCCAAAGGCTCAATCCTTAGTGATTGTCCATTTGTCTTTGCATGTTGCTCCAGCCACTTTTGCCTCTGCCCCACTGGCCTGTGGCCCCACAGGAGGTTGTTCAGGATGGAATGTGGCCCTTGGATTGTAAAAAAGATTCCCCACTCTGGTTTAAGTGGACCATGGGTGCTGCTGCTGCGGGAATAAGAAAAGTCCCCCACCCCACCCTATCCATGTGTGTGTGTTGGGGAAGTGAGTGTAGAGTGGGAGAACAAGTGATTCACCCCTTAAACCACTTTAAATGCAAGTGGTTGGATGCTGATATTTTCAAGGCCCACCTCTCTTGGAGAACAGGAGGAGGAACCTAAAGTGTCTCTCCTGCCCATATCCCTGCTCAGAAAAGAAGACTTTGAAAAATAGAGAGAGGCAATGGTTCATGTTCTCAAACGCGGATACCAAACTGATAATCTGCCCTCCCAGTGTTGTGCTGGCTGGCTGTTTCAATCTGTATTCCTTTTACTACCTCAAATACCAGAGCAGAGGTGGATATCACAATAGTTGCAAAAAGTGGGAACACCTCAATTTTGTTCATTTCCTTGCTTTTTGGCATTTAAATTGCCTTCACATCTCTGCACCTAATGGGGGTTTCTTTTGCCATTGAATGTGATTGTTTGAATATGTGCGGAGCTGACAGTGGAGTCAGTGAAGTGAGGCTTCCCTTCCTGCAGTCAGAAATTGCAATCAGGGGTGATGGACTGGGTCAGAAATGAATCTGTATGTGTCACTGAACTGTCAGCTGTCAGCCCAAATTCCCGTCTTTCCATTAACCTATGCAATGCTGTGAACGTGGATATCTTTTTCTTCATCCCAGAAGCATCATTATAGAGCTGTTCAGTACAAACAAGCCACACACACACACACACACCTCATTTTTATCATCGACATCAGCCTGCTTACTCTGAAACTGGCCCTACTTTCTTAATTCAGTTCATTAAAGAAAGAGAGAGAAAGAAATTATCAGCATCTTATTTTATGCAGCAAATACATTTTTGCTCTTGTTTTAAGGATGCTGAGAATCTGGAACAAAGTATATGGAGGGCTAAAAGAAAATGTAAGGCATTCATTTAAAGATTAAATTACTCCATACCGTTTTATGGCTTTCCTATTAAAACGATTCCGCCCTGGATCACTTTATTAAAACAAAAATAGCACAGCATTTAAGCTTTCGGTTTCAGGCATCTAGCATTTCCGCTTGCATCCACCCTCCCCTCTTGGACTTCTTTGAAAGCAGCAAAGAAGCAGAATGGTACAAGATTCTGTTTAGTGCAGGGGTGGGCAGCATTTTGTCCCAAGGGCCACAGTGGTACATAGTGGTGGGCAGATGGTTGGGGGCCGCATGCCCAGGAGTAGGCACTGTGTGTCCTCCCCATCTTTTTAGGGATGGGCACCTGAGAGCCCATCTTTCTCATTTCCACGTGGATCTTTTTAAGGATAATTTTAGTCAATCTTTAAAAATCCACATGGAAAACATGTGAATTAAATATGTTTTAAAATGCAAACTAAGCCACATATCTATGTTCCATTCCAAGTACTGGTTCAAGGGTTATGACCCAGGGTACAGTAGCTCCGAAATTTCAGAGTGAACAAAATCCTCCACCATCCCCACATCCTTCCCCACAACCTCTCCGCTGCTCATTCATTGGCTCACACACATGGATACCACCTCCTGCTCACACATACATAGATACACATGTGCACACATGCACACCATTCCCCACTATTTGTCTTTCAAAGCTGACATCACACCATCAATCCTCAGCTGCATCAGGGTTTCTCAGGAGTGCAGACTTTCGCATAAAAAACATAAGCATACTCACCAACGGCACCAAATGCAGCACTAGCAACCCTGCTGTGTGCTGCGCTTGCAATAACTAGCTGTAATGCCCCATGGGTTAGCATGCCATGTTCCTGAAGTATCTTCTTTATTTGTAAGGACTGTTAAATACCTTGTCACTACTCTGTACACCAACCCAGGGTGCATATTTTGATCTGGATAAATGTATCTGAGCTCAGTGACATGCACATTACTAGTGCTATATAAATAACAACAATAATGAATTAAAATGTACTGGGCTGCCCAGCCTGTAAGCTTTGTACCTGAAGAAGCAATCTATATTTAATCACATTAATCTTACATATTTTGAAACCTTAGGTGTTTAGTGGGATATAGGTGGCTTTGAGTGTGAAATAAATGCAATTCTAAAGATGTTTTCTTCAGTGCAATTCCATTAGCACACATCCTTTGGCTCATGAAGCCCTTTCTTGGATGGAGCCTAGATTATCTTTGCTGTCTGAGTTCCTGGCTAAAATCAATGAGATCAAGTCCCATAAAAGTCCTTTCAACTTACAAGTTGGGTTAGCAAATAATGGAAGGAACCCATAATTGCAGAAGACAAATGTTTGCATTATGAACTCTGAATTGGTAGCTCAGAGAAGGCAGCCAGCTGGCTACAAGGGTGGTAACTGGTGGTCCTCCAAAGGTTGCAGTGGCAGGCAGTGTTCCCAGCACAGCAGCTACTATAAATTAAGATGCAGTAGTCACGTGGTTTTCTAGCCAGCTTCATGCTGAGCTCAGCATGGAAGAGGGAAATGGAGAGAATCCTGTGTAGTTGCTGAGCAACTATGCAAAAACAGTTGCTTCCGTGCTTTTCCTATTATTTCCTCTTTTCCAACTTAAACTGTGATTTTACTGACAGCAAGCATGAACTTGCCTGGGAAGTTATGCTTAATGTTTCATTAAAAATGGCTGTTGGTTTGGCAACCTCATTAGGGGCATTGCTCCTCCCCACACTATCCACTCCAAGAGCACCATTGTTTTGTACTAAGGTGAGGTGGAGTGAGTGGAAGGTTGTGAAATGTCAGGAAGTGAAGAAGATGATCCATTGATTCAGTATTTGGCTCCAGATTGGCCAGGCTAACTGAAAGCCATGGATCATGCAGAAGTCAGTTTCATTCTGTGCACAGATCATAAAGAGATGAGACACTGATATTTATGTTAGTGCAGGATTACTTGTACATCGTTGCAAACTGCAGGTGATGTACTATTTCCTTTCTTTCTCTTTTTAGAAGGTTGCTTCTGTTTATGGAACATTCATCCTGATTTGTTTGCACAAAGTTTGCAGGGAGGTTATACCATGTCGGCTGTGTATCAAGGGTTCATTCCGATGTGTTTGTGGGGAGGTTGAGTGGTGTTGTGTCAAGCAATTGTTAGCCAACACTTTCCACTGCACTTTTCCATACTGCTGCAAGTCTGGGGTGGGCTTTGGCAGTGGAGCTCTTGCACTAGAGTGCCACATCCACTTCAACTGTGAAAATTAAATTTGCCAGTATGCACGTGAATCCCGCCTGGAAAAATAGCAACAGCTTGAGAGTACCTAAAAGACATGTCTTCGGCAGCAGAGAACAAAGGCTGGTGTGCCATTTTTGAGGCTAACAGGTTTGTTGTGGTGTGAGCGTTCATAAACACAACCACTCCATCCATCTGGAAAACAGACTGTAACCTATGAAAGCTCCTGATGCAATAAATCAGTCAGTCACCAGGGTGCTACAGCCTTTTAATTTTTTTTGTCTTTTGTTGCTAGATTATATTTCATTAAAAGGCATTTGACTGTCAAGCCTGACCCACAGATTTATCATCCTTCATCAGCCCATGTTTTTGCTATTCCAAGCAGGTTTGTTACTGTTTGCAAAGTTGGGAGTGTACAAACATTGACTGATGCATATAGAAACCAAGTAACTGCAGTGCTGCAATGTTACATTTTAATTGGACTATTGTATAGCTTAGGGGATGAGCCGCAAGAGAGTAGCCAATTACTCTGTATATCTGTCTGAAAGCCTTTCCATTATAGAATGCTGATTGAGATTATATAGCTCTATATTGTTCCATGTTATTGATTTCTACACCCTCTCCCTCCCACACACGTGAATGGTCTCGTTAATTGACAATTACCTTTTCCCTGTGCTTGAGAAAATTGACGTGAGCAAGCCGAGGTGTTAAGTTTAATTTGGACCAGGCATCTTCACGTCTGTTTAATCTTTAACAAGATCCATTAGATTTCCTGCTTTTAATTTGACATGGGCCATAAATGCATCATGGCAGGGAAGCTGTGACCCATTCAGTGTGAGAAGTGGAAGATCTATGCAGAAATAATGGGCTATATCTGTGGTTGGGGTTTTTTGGCTCTTTTGTTATGACTGGCGGACGGAATCAGCAGGCAGAGCATTAGCTGTTAAGTAGGGTTTCGGTCTGTTAGGTGGCCTCCGTTCTTGCCTTACACGAAGAACGCACATCAGTGGCTCCTCATCACAGCGGAGGGAGGTTTTGACCAGGTTCCTGCACTGGATATGGCATTCTTCAACATTGTTATTAATGACTTGGATCGGGGTGGGCAACCTTCAGGCTTTGGCTTCCTCTCATGTGTCCCTTTGTATTAATTTCACGCCAGCGGCAATCGGAGGGAGATGGGGAGAAGAGGTGGCAGGAAGGGAGAGGAAAATGGGAACCATCGTTGAAGGGGTGGTGGGAATCCAGATTTGCAGTTAACAGAAAAGCGGGAGGCATAGCTAACACCTCAGAAAACATGAATAAAATTGGGGAAGGGCCACAGCTCTGCCACAGGCCAGGGCTAAATGTCATGTGTTTAAGCCATGAGTAAGAGCAGTTCAACAGTGGAAGTGATTATGTCGGGAGAGGAGTGGACTTTCTCTTGCTAGAGTTCTTCAGGCAGAGGCCAGACTGCCATCTGTTGGGGTGTCTCAAGCTCTGGATTTCCTGCATTGAGCATGGGATGGACTGAATGGCATACAAGGCTCCCAATCACCCTGCAAATTTATCATTTTCAGCTGCAGCACTCTTGAACATTGGGCACCTCATCTAGTGTTCTGTCATGTTTTTGCACAGCTGTATCCATATTCTCAGGCAGCCCTTCCTTTTGCACAGAAGAACCCAGGCCGCTCTAGCCTGTGAGCCACTGAGTTTGGGAAATTGCTGGTCTTATTCCTAACACTATTTCCCATATAAATTCCATATATAAGTTCAGTATGTTGCCAGACCACATTACAGCCCTATTTTCTGTACTCACAGCTGCTGCTGCTGCTGTTGCTTCTATTCCTCCATCAGGCCAGGCAATCACTGCAGTGATAGCCAACCTTTTAAGACTTGATTTGTGAGACACTTCCCAAAACATGAGATGCTGCTATTTTGAGGATGGCAAAGTACATCTGCAGCTGGACCTCCTCACTGTGTCTCTTTCTTGCTGTATTTCTGGCTGAGGAGGGCATCCAGTCTCCAGTTCGGCACTGCTTTTTCAGTTAAAGCCGACCTACTCTTCGGTGCTTGAATTATTGAGGGAAGACAGAGGGTGCTTAGCTGACCCCCTGACTTTTTGTGATACTGCCCTTTGCTTCCATTTTGGGAATGCTTTAAGGGGTTCCTATGATTGGTTAAAATTGAGGGGATGGGGCGGCTTTTTGGATATCATTAAGGGCTCTTTCCCCTTCTCATGATAGCATGACTGTTTCAGGGAGTCAGTCAACTGACCTTCCTCTTCCTGTCCAGGTTCGCCCTGTGCCATCAGTCGTTTTCCATTTCTTCCTTTCCTGCCAAAGGAGTCTTATGACCCTTTGAGGGGGGAAAATACACTTTCCCCCTACCACCTTCTTAACCTACTTCCCATTTTGGAATCAAATCTACATAGTCAATCAAATTGTTCTTCGCATATGAAGCGTAACTGAAACCTTTTTGATTGGCTCTAAATCACATGGTTTTGTAAAGTCTTCCTAAACTAAATCTCAGCAGGACTTTGTGTTTAATGAAATAATGTTTTGCCTCTGCCTACAGCAGAGAAGCTTTGAGTCTTCCCCCATCTGCCTATAGGATTACTGAGCACCACCTGCTGCAAAGACAGACCCCGGCTCATTTTATCTGACTGAAGAAACAGTTCCGTGCTCCTTTAATCAAGCCCTAATATTAGAAAATATATTGTGCCCATGGGAACTAGATCCCTGCGGCTCTTTATTGATCTTCCGGGCAGATTGTATTGCCAATCATCTTACGCTGTAACGATGGAAGGATCCGAATGCACCAGCCAATGGAGGGGGTGCTGAAAAAGGATGGGCAATTGAAAGAGGAATATAGAAGACTAGAGGGAGGGGAGAATGGGCACTTTAGTAGAGGTTTGGTCACATTCCTCAATGGCTGTGATTGGAGGATATTTCAGTTAGTTTTGGGTCACTCCTCTCCCCCCACCCATTTTGTCCCTTTAGCTGCACGTTTATTTTATTGGTTGTGGGTCATATGCCAGATAAAAATTGCATATCTTGAGCTCTAAGCAGTCAGCTCTAAATTTGGCATGTCTAGAAGGAAAGTGGGTGTTTGAAGGTACGACACCTGGATGCTAGAAAAGTATGGAAAAGCAATTAAACATGTTTTTTGTTACAATATTTAGGTGGATATGTGGTGATGCTGAATAGTCTGTTCAGCATATCATCTCATCCAGGAATTCTTCCAGCTGTATGCAGACATTTGGGGTGACCTTGTGTGAGTTTACAGTGGGGAGGGGCACACATGCAACCCCACATGTGTTAGCTCTGCTTGAGATCTGAAGGTGGCTGGCCTCAAAGTGCCTTCAGTTAATCAAACTTTGAGGCTTCCTGTGGCATGGCAGAGAGCCAGACTTTTTTTTTTAAAGTTACTCGAACTTCGTTTTAGCTTTCAAAAATTGCATGGCCCTAATGGCATTCCACAGCACCCTCCCAGGTTGTATTGCTTGCTGGGGTGTCAGGGAAGCTGTGGAGCATCACAGAGTGGCATGAATGTGTGCTTTTTAAGAGTTGTGCTGGCCCTCCAAGTCTCTATCTGGCCCTTGAGCCTCTCTCTCAAGCCACTCTCTTCCCCCCCTCCCAAGCCACACCACTTACCTTGTTTCGCAACCATCCTGAGTGTTTTTGTCTGGCTGGAATGTTCCTTTGCATTCAGATGATGACTCTGGCTTGCCTGGACAGAGAGCAGAGAGGGTTGTGTAGAAAAAACAGCCTTGCGGTAGAAAGGCAAACTTTACATTTGTTGCTCCTTTCACTTTTGCATCTGACTGCTCCATCACTGGTATGTGGTCCCAGAAAGGTGCCCAGAGGGTAATTTAGGGGAAGGGCCTGTTAAGTTGTGGGTGAACATATCAGACGACACAGCGATACCTCAAACAGCTCTTGTTTATTCACAGGCCAGAACAGAACTGAACTGAAAGGTTCAGCCAGCCTGCTTATATAGAGCTCCACTAGAACGCAACAGTAACCATTTTCTGTAACTATCCAATCACTGAATGTCACTTTCAATCTCTTATTTGCATATGTGGACCTGAGTGAAAACCATCTACAGTATCCCCCTGCTGGCCCAGGGTGAGAACTTCAGTACATAACAGGGCCCTAGCTCAGTGGTAGAGCACTTGCCTTGTATGCAGAGGGTACCAGGGTCAATCCATAGCATCTTCAGGTAGGGCTAAGAAGGACTCCTGCCTGAAACCCTGGAGAGCTGCTGCCTGTCAGTGTAGACAGTACTGAGCTATGTGGACCGATGTTCTGACTTGGGATAAGGCAGCTTCCTGTGTGTTCCCATGTTCCCTTGGCCTGAAAAAAGTTTTATCCCCCCCAGCTGCCTTGTACGTTTAACGTTAAGGTACGTATGCACTGGCTCCGCGCCTTGAAATTATTTAGGAGAATAACACCTTGCTCACCTCTTGAGGGGGGGTTTTCACCCTTAACCCCCACAAATGGCCCCAAATCAACATTTCTAAATGATCAGAACAGCCATAAATCAGATTATTAAGCAGATTAGGCCCAAGCCTAGAAGGTTTCCCAGTGATGACCTATTCTTTAAGGAATCTCCAAGAGAAAGGGGTTTCATTTTATTTCTTTGAGAAAATGTCAGATAAGGTTCACCGTTAAGTGCAAAGAAGTGTGCACTGTGAAGGCACACAGTGTGCATAACCAATCAGTTATCGCTGCTCAAGAATAATATCTCTCTGATCATTATGGCTTCTTTTTCTGAAAATACCAGTTTATTGTTCCTACAGTCATTTGAAGAGCAAATAGGGTGTTGGAAATATTAGGGGGAAACCTTTCTGTTTTACCAAGCTAAAAAATCATCACTTAAAGGGGTAGAAAGCATAAAAATACCTTAAGAACTTTGTAGAAATTATAACCTGAGCACTGTGTATATACAATCTCCAGAAAGATATCCAGGAACTGCAAAAACCTAGGATCAACATAAGTAGTGTGGGGAACTGTACACTGAAATAAAATAACACATTAAAATATGCTCCCTTTTTAGATGGAAAAAGACATCAAAGAAGGGGTAAGTTCATAGTAAATGCAAATGTACTTTGAGGACAAAACAAGCAGCAAACTATTGCACCATGTAATGCTAGAGTATATCCTGTAAAACTTAATTTTATTTATATTTTTAACGTGCTCATCCCACAGTTTTTGATAGGTCACTACATTTATAAAACCAAAGTAATAAAAAAATTGCCTGAGCTATAAAAACACCCAGAGTAAAACTCTGCCGTATCAGAGAGATTAAGATCTTTGCTAAAATCCTTCCAGCACCAGCTTAATTCCAGTAAAAGCAATCCTGAGGTATAATAATAACCTTTACACACTCGATTCCTGGAGTTGGCATTTAAAATCCGGCAGGTCTGTCATTTTTAGTCATTGTCATAGGCTGAATTGATGTGGGGCCTGAGGCCTTCAACTGCAGGATTTGTCTGGCGCATGAAGAATCTCATTACCGCAGACTGAACTCGCTCTGTAGGGTGTAGAGAGGGCCTGATGACTCACCGAGGGTTAACTCCTGCACCCTGTAAGTCAGTGTCATTTGGGTGCTTAATGGCGACGCTTCAGCCACTGTTCACATTCAATCATGTACTTGAACACTGGCGAATGAGGATGGTGACTCATGTCTTGATTACTGATGTCCCTCTCCCTTCCCTTCCTCTGCATTCATGGATCTTACATGGTGTCTTAACGAGCAATTACTGAAGAGGTCTGGGTGCAAAAACCTGGTGATGATACCGAGAAGAAAATGAAACGTGCCTGTTCATCCCTTTACGTACGAATTCTTTCTTTCTTTTTTATAAAGCTGTTGTGTGTATACACTCCATTTCCAGAAAGCCTTGAAAAGGAATTGGAACACCTCTAGCCCTTGGAGAGGGGTGATGGGTTGTAGAATATATATATATAGGCTCATGCATTCAAGCCACGAATGAAGAACATATAGGTGACAGTAATTAAATGGTGGCAGTAGATGTGTCTCACTATCAGACATTTCTCCAGGCCCTTCTGCCCTTCTTATAAGAATGTAGCATTATGTGAATAGCTCATGATTGATTATCATCTGAATCCTGAGAATGCACTCCTGATAGCGTGCTCAGTAGCTTAGCTCCCCTGTTAATGGGATATGGTATTTGAATTCTCCCATTATTTATCCCATATAGAACAGGCTGATTTTAGGATAAGGTTGGTGGTTTGAGAATGAAAAGGCCTACTGTGAAATCATAATTTATGCTTGTGGCATTGTGAGAAAGGATCACATTGAAAGGACGGCTATAGGAATACATGACTGGCGAAGTCTAAAGTTCAGCCGATTGCAGTAATTTAATTACAAAGCTTTGTGCTCACTTGGTGCCTTTTCAGAATAATGAAGTAGTTTTGCAACTTCTGAAGGGTTTCCTACCAGACAAATTAACTGCTTACCCTGATACACCGAGCGATGAAAAGCTTTCTGCAAGCACATTTGGTGAACTATGGCTAAAATCAGGAGTTTGATCCAAATGTGAAAGGAACGAACAGTCAACATTTACTGAAATTATACCTGCTGAAGTTGGACATAACAGCCCTAAGTTACCCCACACACAACCGCAGGAAAAAATCCACTAAGCTTTGTCTGATTTTGGCTTTTTGTGTCATTTTTTTACAAGTCTATTTGAGGTATCTAGCATTTGCCACAATTAGATTGTAGGTGAAATGGGCCATGAGTCTGAACTCCTGCCTATAATTCCTGTCCACTCCATGTGTACTAATGCAATATCACATATATACATGTGTCAGGGAACTGCCATCAGACGGAAGGGAGGTGAAAGGGCTCACACAGGTTGGGAGAGACGCAGCAGCTGAAGAGGGAACCAGCAGGGAGGTGAAAGGGCTCACACAGGTTGGGAGAGACGCAGCAGCTGAAGAGGGAACCAGCAGGGAGGTGAAAGGGCTCACACAGGTTGGGAGAGACGCAGCAGCTGAAGAGGGAACCAGCAGGGGAGAGGAGCTGAGCTGGAGGGATGGCTCAGAGACACTTCCAGCGAAAACAGTGGGGAGGTTTCAGGACCTCCTGTAAGAACACCCACTCCTCGCCGGAAACTGTCACGCAGAGATTCCAGAAGACGTGTTTCCGTTAAGGAGCTTTTATGTTGGAAGCGATTACGAAAGCAACCACTGTCGGAATCTGCTAGTGACTAGAGTAGCCATGTCTGAGGGGCTCCGTCACAGACAGAGGTTTGTGGACTTGAACAAACTCTGAGGGGATACGATTTTACGCACAAGCAGCTCATCATCCCATCACAGCATTCCGACAGTCTTTGAAAGCAGCTTGTGCAGGAGAAGGCATCATGAGCAACCCAGCCGGAACCGGAGAAGCAGGAGCTGGAGCGGGTCCAAGCCTGGAAGAAAGGTACCAGATGTTGGAGGTCCAGCTGGCGATGCAGGCGGCGAGGCTTGAGGAGAGGAGGGCTCAGGATGCAGACAAAAGGGAAAGCCACCCAGTTCGCCAGAAAGGTACCAGGATTGGTGCAGAAGTTTGGGAGGCCAAAAACTATCATGGCTTTCGGACAGAAATGCAATATGCCCTCAATCTGCAGTTTGATGAATTCCCTGACGAGGAATCACGAGTGGCTTTCGTGATTGAGCATCTTGAAAAGGGGGCGAGAGACTGGGTTAGACCCCTGATGGCAGCAAATAGTGACGTCTTAAAGGACACGATGAAGTTCTTTCGCGCCATGGATCTGATGTTTTCCAGCGATATTGAAAAGGGAGTGGTGCGCAGACAGTTAATGGGTTGCAAACAGGGAGCCGATCTGTCCGTGAGTACTGGACTGAGTTCACCATGCTTGTTCACAGATTGGGGTGGGACTTATCGGCGGAACCCATTCAAATGCTCTTTGAAGAAGGGCTTTCTTCGGCTGTGAAAGACGAACTTTCCCGGGCGCCCAGGGCGGAGTCTATGGACCAGCTGACCAAATCAGCGCTGGCCATAGGAGCGCGCCAGGAGGCGAGAGCATTGAGAGGCGGGACGGGCAAGGGAACGTTGGAAGGAGTTCCGCATTCCAGACATTCCAGAGCCAACTTTCCCACCGGCAGAGCCGATGGAAATCGGAACAGCGCGCGCGCCGCAGTTTCAAAGCCCAGTGAGGGGGCAAAGAAGGAGGGAAAAGGCGCCCGGAAATGCTATCTCTGCCAACAGCCAGGTCACTTTGCCAGAGTCTGCCCCCAGAGGAAAGAATGGCAAGGGATGGTAGGAGCTGTGGATGGAAGGGAGGAAGAAATACCGGAGCAAGTAATAGCCAACGCCTGGCTGCCACTGTCAGGGCACAGCAGCCAGGCCAAAGAGCAGTGAGAGTGCCCACGCCAGAACCTCCTAAACCCGCCCTAGTGATAGAAGTGACGCTAGAGCTGCCCACCGGACACCCTCTAACGATAAAGGCGCTGTTGGACTCAGGCAGCTCCTGCAATTTCATGAGCAAAGAGTTTGCAGCTGAACACCAGATACAGACAATCCTTTAAGCAGCCCCCTGCAGGTGACCACGATCGATGGCAGGGAGCTGTTGGGTGGAGAAGTCAGCTTGCAGACCGTCCCAATGATAATGAAGGTAGCAAGGCACACCGAACTGATAGCTTTTAATGTGGCCACCTTGGGAGGAGCTCCCATTATATTGGGGATGAGCTGGCTAGCGTTACATGATCCGCTGGTGGGCTGGCATCAGAGAGTGGTTTCTTTTGGTTCAGCACATTGCTTAGAACACTGCAAAGAGGAAAGGGTTTGGCAGGGGTCCAAGCCACCCTAGCAGGGACTGAAGTAACAGAGAACGTGAAGGTACCACGACAATATGCAGATCTCCGTGACGTCTTCAGCGAAAGGGAAGCTGACCAACTACCCCCGCATAGACCCTTTGACTGTCAAATCAACTTACTCCCTGGAGCACAGCTCCCTGTAGGCAAGCTGTACGCCATGTCAGACAGAGAGATGCAGGAGTTAAGAGAGTTCATTGACAAGAACCTGAAGAGAGGGTTCATCAGAGAGTCCAGGGCGGTGGGGGCAGCCCAGTGTTTTTGTGGATAAGAAAAACACGAACAAGCCGAGGCTGGTGTGTGACTTCAGGGCCTTAAATGCAGTGTCAGAACCAGTAGCCTTCCCTATGCCCAGGATTGACGACATTTTGACAAGGGTGCGGAAGGGAAGATTTTCACAAAGCTGGACCTAAGGGGGGCGTACAACCTGGTACGAATAAGGAAGGGGGATGAATGGAAAACCACTATGTTCACCCCTTTAGGGGCATTTGAATATTTGGTTATGCCCTTCGGCCTACAAGCAGGCTCCGCAACATTTCAATCGTTTATGAACCACGTCCTGGGGCCTTTGCTTTACAAGAATTGTGTGGCCTTTTTAGACGACGTGTTGGTGTATTCTGAGAATGAGGAGCAGCATGTGAGAGACGTCAGAGAAGTGTTGAGCAGGCTGCAAGCCAACCAGCTGTGGGTGAAACTGGAGAAGTGTCAGTTTCATACCAAGGAGGTGGAATTCCTGGGGTATCGCCTGTCAGACAAGGGATTGGCCATGGATCCCGGCAAGGTCCAGGCGGTGCTGGAATGGAAAACACCCAAAACAAAGAAGGATGTGCAGAGGTTCCTAGGATTTGGGAACTTCTATCGTAAGTTCATCCGAAACTTTGCCCACCTGACGGCGCCCATTACGGACTGTCTCAGCAGTAAGAAGAAGTTCGTGTGGACTGAGGAGGCGGAGCGAGCATTTGAGGAACTAAAAGGGCCTTCGCCTCGGAACAACAACTCCTGCATGTGGATTTACAAAAACCGATGAGAGTGGAAACTGACGCATCAGACAGAGCGGTTGGGGCGGTGCTTCTGCAGCCAGGCAAGAAGGGGTCAGAGTGGAGACCGTGTGCCTTTTTTTCGCGAAAGCTGAACAAATCCGAGAGGAACTACACGGTGTATGACCGAGAACTACTAGCCATTCATGAGGCGTTCCGGAGATGGAGGCACCTGCTAATTGGCGCACAACATAAGGTGCAAGTGTGCACTGACCACAAGAACCTAGAGTATTGGAGGACGGCACGAGTGCTCAACCAACGGCAAGTGAGATGGGCCCAGGAGTTCTCCAAATTTAACTTTGAGATTAGTTACGTGCCAGGCCCAGAGAACATTAGGGCGGACGCTCTCTCACGCAAACCTGAATATTTGGAGGAGGGGGCACCGAAGAGAGACATGTCATTCCAGAGGACCGCTGGGTGTGTGGGGCGGCATTGGTGGGACAAAGAGAACTGGTAGAGGAAACAGAGAATGATGAATACGCCCAGAATAAGCTCAGAGGTCTTAGGGGTGATGGAGAGGAACCAGGGGTTTCGAGGAAAGAAATGGAGCTTTGTATTACAAAGGGGCACTGTATATCCCTGAAGGAGAGTTAAGGGGAGGGTACTCAAGCAGTTGCACGACAGCCCTACGGCGGGGCATTTTGGACAACACAAAACCATGTGGTTGGTCACCAGGGAATTTTGGTGGCCTAAGGTGAGGGAAGATGTACGTGAGTATGTAAGAGGGTGCGAGCAATGTCAGCGAGCCAAAGGGGAAGGCGGGCGCCGGCGGGGCTGTTAGGAACCCTTACCAACCCCAGAACGACCTTGGGAGGCAGTGTCGATAGATTTTATGACTGATCTGCCGAAGTCCAAAGGGAAAACAGCCATCATGGTGGTGGTAGACCTACTAACAAAGATGTGCCACTTTGTAGCTTGCTCGCATGCAGTCACGGCGGAAGAGACAGCGAAGTTATTTGTAGAAAACATTTTTAGGTTGCACGGGGTGCCATTGAGGGTGGTCTCAGACCGAGGAAAACAATTTACTTCCAGGTTCTGGAGGAAGCTCATGAGCTTACTGCAGGTGGAGGTCAATTTTTCGACTGCCCGGCACCCTGAGAACCAACGGGCAGGCGGAAAGAGCAAACGGTGTCCTCCAGCAATACCTGAGGTGTTATGTCAATGACAGAGAGAATGACTGGGTAGAAAAGTTGGCGCTGGCGGAATTTGCCTACAACAATGCCGAGAATGTGTCCACAGGGATGAGCCCCTTCTTGGCTAATTATGGGTGTCATCCCAGGGCTTTCCCAGGGGAGATGGGGAGAGATGGAGCGTCCCGGCAGCCGAGCATTTTGTGGAAGAAATGGAAGCAATCCATCGTCAGCTCCAACTCAACTTAGAAAGGGCGAAGGAAGAATACAAGAGGCAGGCAGACAAGAACCGAAGGGAAGGTGAAACCATAAGGGTGGGAGATAGGGTGTGGCTGTCAACCCAAGGGTTGCCGTTCAAAGGAGGTTGTAAGAAATTAAGACCCAGGAGGTTGGGTCCCTTTGAGGTCATTCAACAGGTCAACCCAGTGGCTTTCAGGCTCCGGTTACCCAACCACATGAAACTGCACCCAGTATTTCACAGGTCATTACTGTCACCGTACGAAGGGGGACGAAGGGCTGGCCACTCGGGGACCGGTCGTAGAAGAAAGAGAATGCAGCAGCCATGTGGCAGAAATCCTCGACGCCAGGTGGAAGGGGGATCAGGTGGAGTATTTGGTAGCGTGGGAAGGAGAACCGGAGTCAGAAAACACTTGGGTAATGGCTGAAGATATCAATGACGAGGTATTGATAGAAACGTTCCATCAAAGGTTCCCAAGGAAACCTCAGCCTGTGGAGAGGTTCCGGAGGGAATACTTTGGGACCACTGATGAAGGGGAGGAGTTGGAAGGATTCCTGGACTCGGAAGGGGAAGGGAGATGGACTCTGAGGAGGAGGTGTACTTCGAGAACAGGAACCGCAACAGGTTGAGAGAAGTGTTCGAGACATCGGAAGATGAAGGAAGTTCATTCCGGGGTTTGCCTCCTCACCGCCCGTAGAGGAGGGCGAGAGGGGGTGAAGGGGGCCCTGGAGGGGAGGTGGATGTCAGGGAACTGCCATCGGACGGAAGGGAGGTGAAAGGGCTCACACAGGTTGGGAGAGACGCAGCAGCTGAAGAGGGAACCAGCAGGGAGGTGAAAGGGCTCACACAGGTTGGGAGAGACGCAGCAGCTGAAGAGGGAACCAGCAGGGAGGTGAAAGGGCTCACACAGGTTGGGAGAGACGCAGCAGCTGAAGAGGGAACCAGCAGGGGGAGAGGAGCTGAGCTGGAGGGATGGCTCAGAGACCCTTCCAGCGAAACAGTGGGGAGGTTTCAGGACCTCCTGTAAGAACACCCACGCCTCGCCGGAAACTGTCACGCAGAGATTCCAGAAGACGTGTTTCCGTTAAGGAGCTTTTATGTTGGAAGCGATTACGAAGCAACCACTGTCGGAATCTGCTAGTGACTAGAGTAGCCATGTCTGAGGGGCTCCGTCACAGACAGAGGTTTGTGGACTTGAACAAACTCTGAGGGGATACGATTTTACGCACAAGCAGCTCATCATCCCATCACAACATGGAAAGTGGTTCATGTTGTTCTCAAAGTGGTATACTTTCCTAAAGTGATGTAATAACCCTGAGTTTCCCCTTAAGCTTTGAAGAAGGAAAATGTTAGTGAAGGAAAGCAATGGAATACAGAATGCAGCACAGGTTCAGTAAGAAGGGTGGGATGGAAGAGGAGACACGTTGTGCCAGTTCCCTTGGTTTGGTTGTTGATATGGTGCTGCTTCTGCTAACCTGGTGCCCTTGAGATGTTTTGGACTACAAATTCCATCAGCCCTAGCTGCCCCCCCCCCAAAAAATTGTCCCTGTTTTTAATAGAAACAGAAGAAGCTGCCTTATTCTGAGTCATACCGTTGTCCTACATCATCTTCTTCTTCTTTCGTGATCACTCGTAGCCAAGTAAGTTTGTCTTCCAGGAACATGGTCTTAACAGTGAGTTTGTAAGTGACTGTGGAGGCAAATTCTGGATACACACGTCCTTCCACAGTGGGGGACATAGGTTTCCGGGCAGGAGTTGATCAGTGAGGGTTTGCAAAATGTGCCTTCCTCTTAGATTGTTTCTCCTTTTTGGCCTGAGTTTGAGCGTCTTCAAAGTTCATTACACCTAAATTGTCTCAACCTTTTTTTAAAAAATCTATTACCGTATTTTTCGTCCCATAGGACGCACCTAATTTTGGGGGGGGGAATAAAGGGGGGGAAATTTCCTTTATTCCCCCCCCAAACCAGGTCGGGGAACAGCGGGATGGCGGCGCTGCGCCTCCCTGCTGTCCCCCGAGCTTGTGGGGCTGGCCGATGTCTGCCCAGCGCGCGGGGCGCTCTGCTTCAGGGTACTCTGCACGCCGGGCGGCAGGCTGCTATCCGCAGTGTGGGGAGCCCTGTGGGAACTCCTGCAGGGCTCCCCACGCTGCGGATGTCTGCCCGGTGCGCAGGGCGCTCTGCTTTAGGGCATCCTGCGTGCCGGGCGGCAGGCTGCTATCCGCAGCCTGGGGAGCCCTGCGAGAGTTCCCGCAGGCTCCCCAGGCTTGCTGATAGCTTCCTGAAGCCTGGAGAGCGAGAGGGGTCGGTGCGCACCGACCCCTCTCGCTCTCCAAGCTTCAGCGAAAGCCTGTATTCGCCCCATAGGATGCACACAGATTTCCCCTTCATTTTTGGAGGGGAAAAAGTGTGTCCTATAGGGTGAAAAGTACGTTATATGTTTTTTAGAAACTGCAAGTTTTTACAATACTCTTGATAATGTCTTCACCTGTTTGCAATTTGTTTGTAGGTCTTGTTATCTTGATTTCTTATTCTTCTGATAAGTTTTGCCATTTCTGCATATTCCATTAATTTCTGCAACCATTCTTCTCTCGTTGGGACTGATGCTGTCAATTTACAGTGAGACCTTCTGCATGCTACACAGGGTAGGGCCTGAACCAATAGGTTCTTATTACCAGAAAAGGGATTTAGACTACTATACCACTGAGGGACGCGGTTGGCACTGTGGGTTAAACCACTGAGCCTAGGGCTTGCTGATTGGAAGGTCGGCGGTTCGAATCCCCATGACGGGGTGAGCTCCCGTTGTACGGTCCCAGCTCCTGCCCACCTAGCAGTTCAAAAGCACGTCAAAGTGCAAGTAGATAAATAGGTACCGCTCCAGCGGGAAGGTAAACGGTGTTTCCGAGAGCTGCTCTGGTTCACCAGAAGTGGCTTAGTCATGCTGGCCACATGACCCAGAAGCTGTCTGCGGACAAACGTCTGCTCCCTTGGCCTATAGAGCAAGATGAGCGCCACAACCCCAGAGTCGGCCACGACTGGACCTAACAGTCAGGGGTCCCTTTATCTTTTTACCACTGAGTCATGGACCTTCCACACCAGTTATTCCTAGTTGGAGATGTTCATAAAGTAAAGGTAAAGGGACCCCTGACTGTTAGGTCCAGTCGCAGACGACTCTGGGGTTGTGGCGCTCATCTCGCTTTATTAGCTGAGGGATCCGGTGCACAGCTTCCATGTCATGTGGCCAGCATGTCTAAGCCGCTTCTGGAGAACCAGAGCACGAACCGCCGACATTCTGATCGGGAAGCCCCTTGCTCTGTGGTTTAGACCACAGCGCCACCCGCGTCCTGGAGATGTTCATAGTATTGTTTATTAGGGTTCACACCTTTTGTTGGGTGCCCCTTGCTCTGTTAGCTGGCTATATGAATTTTACTGTGTACTTTTCCTCTTAAGTTGCTTGAGCTGGTCCCCCACCCACCCAATTTTTATCCCCACAACAATCCTGTAAAGTAGATTAGCCTGAGAGGTGGTGACTGGGTGGGGATTTTAGCCTGGGTTTCCCTGTTCCTAGCCTGACACTCAGTGGTTCTCAAAGGGGGAGGTACCAGGTACCAGGGCGGGTGCTAAGAGGCAAGGGGGGGGGAGCTGAAGGTGTAAATGACTGTCAGACTTTGAAAAGCTGGTATCACTGGATCAAGTGTATCAGTTGTATTGAATGAATTAAACTAAATAGTCATTAATTGTTGCCATTTTGAATTTTATTGTGCTATTATCTACTGTGCAAACCACTATTTTGAATAGTGCTTTTTATAGGGGAGGGGGCACCTGGGGATGAGTTTATGGAACCAAGAGGGTGCTGACCCAAAAAAGTTTGGGAACCACTGCTCTAACTGATATACCACACTGGCTCGCAGAAGCTGGCTTCAGAGGCACTGGCACTCTGCCCGTTTTGGCATTTGTTCCTTTTTCTGTTGTGCTTGAGTTTCCTTCATTCTGTCTGCTGTGCTGCGTAATGGGATTCATACTCATGCAGCTTACAGAGGTGTTTTGTGTCTGTGTGTCTGTGTGTGTGCTTGTTTATCTCCGACTCAAAAAATAAATAAATTGTTAACATGCATGTTGTGCTGCGATGGAGCTGCTGATGGCAACTTCTCACAGTGACCTTTAGCACCACTGAGGCCATTCAGCTTTGGAGCATCCACAGTTTTCCAGCCCCGATAACCTCCAACAACACAATTTGAAACATTGCTCTAAAGTTAACAACGTTGCATCATGGTGAACACACACACACACACACACACACAGAGAGAGAGAGAGAGAGAGAGAGAGAGAGAGATTAGTTCACCTGTCTTCCCAAGTGATGTGTAAAATTTTTTGGAGATACCATTGATGGAATCTTTCAAGGAGTTGGAGATAGTGTTTATAAGTGGCCCATGTTTCACAAGCGTACAGTAAAGTTGGTATTACTTCAACACTGTTAATGGGGCAACACCTTCTACTGTTCTTGAAGGCAGCAAACTAACTTAGGTGGCACAGAGCAGGCTATGTAGGACAAACAACCCTGCCCCCCCCCAGCACCTCAGTGCCGTTCCCCCAGCATTTGCTGCCTGAGGCACCTGCCTCACTCTGTCCAATGGTAGGGCCAGCTTGGGGAATACAACCCTTAACAGAACAATGGCGAAGCGATGCCAAAAGTTTTTGTTTTGACTTAACAAATTTCATTATAGCACAAGCTTTCATGGTATAAAATTTTATTCATCAGGCATATGGTGTGTGATCCTCAATCATCATTGGAGCTAAAGTATGAAAGATCATGGGGATGGTTATCAAGCTGTGCATAAGAAGAGGTGGATATATGCAAATGAGATCAGTCTTGATGCTCAGTGGCTGGAGTCACCAGGGCCAGGGAGAGACTCCAGCCCCCATCTTAGTGGTCTCCCTAAATACACCCCTTTACTTTTCCTCCATAGATGTGAATTGCAGCCATTTCACACATCACTACTTGGCAATGTAGTGCAAAGCTTTCCATCACAAACACAAATGCCCAGCAACTTGGAGGATAAGACTAGCCATGTTGGCTATGTTCTACCTCCACTGTTGGAGGCAGCAGGCCTCTGAATATCAGTTCCTGGGAACCAATGGAAGCCAGTGCTGTTGCTTTCAGGTCCTAGGCTTGTGGGCTTCCACAGGCATCTGGCTGGGCACTGTGAAAACAGGATGCTGACCTAGATGGGCCTCAGGCTTGATCCAGCAGGGCTCTTCTTATGCTCTTAAATGATTTGGGCCAAAGCGAGAGCATCCCTCAAGTACGGATGGAGAAGTCAAGAAAAAACAGGTCTCTTTGTTTCCTACCACCATTAACAGTTTGAAAACAGAAACAAACCCCTTCTGTATTTTCTTCCAACTCTGCTTGAGTTATTGTTTTATCCTCTGGTGGCATCAATCATTTTATTAATTGATTTGAAACATTATAAGCAATTATAAAGTTCTAATAAAGATGGAGCACCAGATAAGCCTGTAAAGCATTGAGGAGATTGCCAAGAGTGAGGACTTTCTATAGAGAATTAGTAATGGGGTAGGGGTGGAGAGGAGAGAATCCACAAGCTTCCCACAATTATCTGTATGTTGGGTAATGAAGCAGAAACTTACACAGCCATGAAGCAATTTGCTGTAGTTTCTCATGAGGCCTGCAATCCAGCTACAGGAAGGTAGTATGATTGCTGCCGTGTTTAAATGAAAACTTCAACAGTTGTTATCCTAATTTATGCCACAGCCCCCCCTTGCTTCTTTTATATTTTAAAATTGGAATGGCGTCATCAGACTTGTATGTCATTTTTGGAGGTTGCCCGTTTCGTCGTTTTTTAACATGTTGAGAAAGCAATAAAGCATCTAGCTACCTGAAAAATATGCTCTTCACACATTGTGGGAACTGAGCTAGCAGCTGCGTGAGCTGGAAGCCTGCTCTTTGGATCTGTGTAAATGAACAGAGCATGTTTATCAGAAGGATGCTGAGCTGTACTTCCTCCTGCACTCCTTAATTTTTAATGCATAATGAGTATGCTGAAAGATTTTCACATCTTTCTTAAGGCTCTGCAGCTTTCATTAATAAGGCCACAGATTTAAGGTGCAATCCATTGCTGCTGTATTAATATTTTACTACCGTACTGTAAGGTTGTTGGGAAAGGTCTCTTGGGTAGGAGTTTAAAACAAACACTTTTCGTGCCCCGAATCCACTCCACTCTCCTTTAGATTATGCAGAAAATGGAAACCCCTTTGCCGTATCTGCCCTTGCAGGGGATTAAGCAAATGAACTTGACAAACTTTAAAATAAAAATAGATTTATGTCACTGATTTCTTCAGTCTTTGTGGTTTCCAAACTCACCATCATGGTTATAGTAAGCGACACAATTCCATGTTTTATGTTCCTAAGGGCTCTTCTGATAAATTCTCCCCTTTGATGGCATGCATCCCCCCCCCTCTCCCAAGTAACAAAATGTAGTGTACCACTTGCCTCAACCAATTCTAGGCCAGTTCTGATCACTCACTTATATGGTGCACAGATTAGTTTATATAGGAAATCAGAGGTGTCTCTGAAAGCCTTTAATCCAGGGGCTAGCAACCTTTTTCAGCCGTGGGCTGGTCCACCGTTCCTCAGACCATGTGGTAGGCCGGACTATATTTTTTTGGGGGGGTGGGTGGGAATGAACGAATTCCTATGCCCCTCAAAGAACCCAGAGATGCATTTTAGATAAAAGCACACATTCTACTCATGTAAAAACACCAGGCAGGCCCCACAAATAATCCAGAGATGCATTTTAAATAAAAGGACACATTCTACTCATGTAAAAACACGCTGATTCCCGGATTTAGAAGGCGATTGGGCCGCATCCAGCCCACGGGCCTTAGGTTGCCTACTCCTGCTTTAATCCACTAACTGGCATTGAAGTACAGTTCTTATCTACACAGTCAACAATGACCTGCTATCTTAGGAGAAGAATGTCGCTGTTTACATGAATTAGAGTCCTAGATTTTCAGCCATCTACTGTATGTTATTTACCGGGATGTTTTGGATGCTTCTCACTTCATATTTGTTAAATATACTGTTGCCATATCTTGTTGTGTGTCTGTATACATGTGCCCATTAACTTTTCAGAAGTGACACATTGGGAATCTTTACTGGAGATAATTGCACACTGCATATATTATTTCAATATTGGAGTTCCAATATTACCTTGCTTACTTAGAAGAATTAGCAAGAACCAACCAATGCCAATATGAATGAAAAAGCAGGTACTCTTTGACATCATTCATGGAAGCCAGCTTTCCAGGCTACATTGGTTTTAGAGTCTTCCCTGTCAGTCATATATGGCAGGTAGAGGAACGATGATGAACCGAAGCTTGGCCTTGGCATTTGTAGATTCTTGAGCCTGAATAGGTTGACAAATGTTTATCTTCTTCTCAAAATAAGCTCTGTGGAAATAGACAACTTGCAGTTTTCACACTGAACGGATATCTGCAATAGAGGAGAGTCCCTAGACTATGACTCATTTCTGATGCCAGTGTTTTAGTATGTTTATTTGTATATATATTTTTGAAAGTCAAAATAAGGGTTGAAGATGAAAAAAACAAAGTTTCTGTAAAATACGCTGATGCTGCACTTCAAATCTCCCACATCCTGTTTCTTTGCATATCTGTAGCTGTGCTGGTTCCCTTTGATCTTTTTAAACAATATATGAGAGAAATATGGAGTTGGAGGGAAGAAGCAGTATCCCAAGGAAATGAGAGTGCAGTGACCCTTACACAAACTCGTTTGTGCAAACTAAAAGGAAATTATCTGGTTCAATTTTTTGTGAACACGTGTTGGTATCAAAAGCAATTGTTTTGTGCCACGCACAGTGATTTTTCATTTATTTTCATTTCCCCCCCTTCAAAATATTGATTCCGCAACATGATTTAACTAGATAGATATTGTGGTGGCTTCGCTACCAGTTTTTAAAAAGTGAATCCATATGATTGCACACCAGTTCCCTTTTGTTATGACACCTAAATGAAAATTTTCTCCGCAAAGGCTGTGTTTGAGGATTTCTCCTCTCTATGTAAACAACCAGGAGGAGATCCATCTTCCCGACATCTGTCAGGTGTTAACTTACAAGTCTGATTACAGGATGGCAAAGCAATAAACTGCTAGAGGCCAATTTCGTAGGGAAGATCCACGTGATCACCTGCCCCCACTTGGATGTGTCATTCACACAAAATACTCCAGCTGTATGGGAGTAAATCGAGGAGAGCATCTCCCATGCATCTGGACATGTCTTAAAAATATAATTCATCAGTAGTTTCTTCTGTGGGGTTCAGAAACTCTGAAATCCTAGAGAGCCTTTCAGTGTAAACAATACTGACATAGAATTGGACAGATAGCCTGCTTCAATGTAAAACATCAGTGTCCATCTACATGTGACTTAACAATGCTCTTTCATCCAGGGACGACTGTGTGGCACAATATGGCTCAACTACTACTTCACCATAGCCCCCACCTACCTATCTATGTGTCTGAAAAGATGCCCATCCTAAATAATGCTTAATCTTCAGACACTCTCAAGATTCCTCGCTGGACCCAAGATGTTTCAGCTTAAGGAAAGCTGAACAAACTGATTTGAGTCCTGTTCAAGTGTTTCCTTTAAGGGTGTGGAACTATTGTGTGAAGGGGAGCAGTGAGGATAAATGTGTGTGCCAGCTCCACCCACTCTCTTGCCAGCAGTTCCTGGAGGGTGACTGTGGGTACGTGGGTGGTGCTGTGGTCTAAACCACTGAGCCTCTTCGGCTTGCTGATCAGAAAGTCAGCGGTTCGAATCCCCACGACGGAGTGAGTTCCCATTGCTCTGTCCCAGCTCCTGCCAACCTAGCAGTTCAAAAGCACGCCAGTGCAAGTAGATCAGGGGTGCCCAAACTTTTTTCAAAGAGGGCCAGATTTGATGAAGTGAACATAAGTGAGGGCTGACCAAAGTTGTTGAGCTTTTTTTTAGGATTGAAGTTGTTGAGCTTTACCCCACGGGGGCTGGATTAAATCGACCAGGGGGGCCAGATTAGGCCCCCGAAATGGACTTTGGACATGCCTGGAGTAGATAAATAGGTACCTCTGTGGTGGGAAGGTAAATGGCATTTCCGTACGCTCTGGTTTCTGTCGCTGAAATATACTCAGAGTCGCAAAGTGATTTCATGCTCTTTATTCAGCTCATAGTGGTGAGGAGGAATGAATGAATGTCCCCTCAAAGTATCTGCCTTATATACATTATTTACACAATGGGCTGCACATGATTGGCTAATTCCGGAATTCTACTGTAAGCCAATCAGGTTGTGGATTCACTTCTATCTGGAGCATGATTGGGTGGTTCCTGCCAACCAATCATACTGCTGCATTTGGATCCTATTGTTCTAGGACCAATCAGACTGCTGCATTCTAAATTCTATTGTTCTAGGACCAATCAGACTGCTGCATTTGGATCCTATTGTTCTAGGACCAATCAGACTGCTGCAGTTTGGATCCTATTCAACTCAGTACATAACACCCCTCCCCTCTAAGTTCCAGTCCTGCCCGGGAGGTCGCATTCATAGTCCTCAAGGTACGCCGGCGGCCTACGTGTGCGTTGCGGCCTGGGGTGTTCCCTGGTCCGGGGTTCAGGTTCTGGCTCATGTTCCAAGGATGCTGGCTGTGATGGGGCTGTTTGGTCTGGCGCAACCGGCTCGCTCAGTCGTGGTTCTGGTTCCGGTGTCCGTTCGGCCTCGTGGGTCCTCTCTGTATTTACTGGTTCTGCCTCTCCTGCTGGCCCCTCCTGCTCTATGGGCCTCACTGCCCCACTGTTCCCTTGGGACTCCTCTGACCTGTCCTCCTCCTGGTTTTCTCCCGGGAATCGTCGCCGTATCTGGTCGCAGTGGCGGCGCCAGCATTGCCCCCATCCGTTAGCACCTCGTACGACACGGGGCCAGTGACCCTGGTGACTGTGGCGGGTACCCATGCTGGGCCTGCCCCAAAATTCTTTGCGTACACTGGGTCCTGGGCCTCGAAGGTCCGGGGTTCCTGCCTTCCCCCACCACTACCTCATCCTGAGCTCTATCGGGGTGAAGGCGGTCCAATCTGATTGCAAGGCGCCGACCCATTAGTAGTTCAGCGGGGCTCCGGCCAGTCGTTGAGCTGGGGGTGCTGTGCTGTGCTAGAAGGAATGTGGCAAGGCGGTACTCCCAATCCCCTTGCGTCATGCGGCGAAGGGTGTCCTTGGTGGTCCGCACCATGCGTTCTGCTTGGCCATTGGTGGCAGGGTGGAATGGCGCCGAACGGATGTGGCGGATGGCGTTCTGCGCTGTGAAGGTTTGGAATTCTCCTGACGTAAATGCAGTCCCGTTGTCTGAGACGAGAGTGTCAGGGAGCCCGTGGGTTGCAAACAGCCTGCGTAGTACCCGGATGGCTGCGGACGTAGAAGTGGACGGTACCAGTGCGACTTCCAGCCATTTGGTGTAGGAGTCCACCACTATGAAGAATGTTTTCCCCTGAAAGGGGCCAGCAAAATCCAAATGCAGGCGTGACCATGGTGCTCAGGCAGACTCCCAGGACTGGACTGGGGCCCTTGGGGGATCTGGGCGGGATTCTTGGCAGGCCTGGCAGTGTTTGACCCAGGCCTCTATCTCTCCGTCGATCCCCGGCCACCACACATAACTCCTGGCAAGGGCCTTCATTCTTACTACCCCTGGGTGTGTCTCGTGTAGGGCTGTGAGGACCCTTTTGCGGAGGGGCTGGGGAACAACGACCCTGCTTCCCCATAACAGGCACCCCTTGTGGGCCGACAGTTCATGTTTGCGGGTTGGGTAGCCGGCGAATTCTGGCCCAGGGCTGCTGCTGGGCCATCCCCTCCACACCCAGTCCAGGACCCGGGAGATGACCCTATCTTTCTTGGAATGGTGTGCAACTTCTTGTGCCTGAATGGGGCGGTCGGGAAGCAGCTCCAGGCTCATAACCTCTTGTGCAGGTGCTGGGTCGGGGCCTGTTTCCGGTAGTGGTAGCCTGCTGAGGGCGTCCGCATGGCCCATCGCCTTCCCAGGGCGGTGAATCAGTGCATACTGGTAGCTGGCAAGGAAAATTGACCACCTGAGGACGCGAGGAGACAGCACTTGGGGGGTCTGCTTTTCGGGGGCAAACAAGCCAAGCAACGGCTTGTGGTCAGTCACCACGGTGAAGGGCCGCCCGTACAAGAAATCATGGAATTTTTTTACTCCCTTCACGATTGCCAGACCCTCCTTGTCGATTTGCGAGTAGTTCCGCTCGGTTGCGTTGAGTGTCTGGGAAAAGTATGCCACCGGTACCTCTCTTCCATCCGGGAGTTGGTGTCCCAGGACAGCGCCAATGCCATAGGGCGAGGCGTCGCATGCTAGCACCACCGGCAGCCTCTCGTCGAAGTGTGCCAAGACCGAGTTTGAGACAAGCAAGTCCTTGACTGCCTGGAATGCGGCCTCCTGGCGCTGGCCCCACACCCAAGGGGCCCGCTTGTCCAGGAGTCTGTGTAGGGGCTCCGCTACCGCCGCCTTGTGGGGAAGGAAGGAATGGTAAAAGTTCAATAGTCCCAAGAAGGCCTGAAGTTCAGTCTTGCTCTTGGGCGCTGGGGCATCACAAATGGCCCGTACCTTGTCCCCAGTCGGGTGGACCCCTTCTGCGTCCACCATAAATCCCAGAAAGTCCACCTGAGGCACTCCTAGTAGACATTTTTCCCGCTTCACCTTGAGACCCGCCGTCTGGAAACGGTGCAGAACGGTGCGGAGGCGGTCCTCAAACTCCTCTGGTGTGGGCCCGGCAATCAACACATCATCGAAGAAGGGGGTGACGCCAGGAATCCCTTTAAGGAGGGAGTCCATTAGATTCTGGAATATGCCTGGTGCCACACTGACACCGAATTGCAGCCGCTTTACCCTGAACACTCCTCTGTGCGTCACAATCGTCTGTGCCTCTGCTGTGGCCTCATCTACTGGCAGCTGTTGATATGCTTGGGCCAAGTCCAGCTTGCCAAAAATTTTCGACCCAGCCAGGGTGGCAAGGACATGGCTGACCACTGGCACTGGGTATGCATGGGCCGTGAGGGCCTTGTTTATGGTACATTTGTAGTCTGCGCAGATGCGGACCAAACCATTAGGCTTGACGGGTGTGACGATTGGGGTTTCCCAGGGGGCATTAGGCACCGGCTCCAGCACTCCTTGCTCCACGAGCCGGTCCAATTCCTCGTCTATACGGGGTTTCAGGGCGAACGGGACCCGGCGGGCCTTGAGCCTGACCGGTCGTACTGCGGGGTCAAGCTGTAGAGCAATGGGGGGGCCCGTATACTGTCCCAATTTCCCATCGAAAACCCCCAGAAATTCCTTGCATATGGGGGTCCACTTGTAAGCTAGTGTGGTTCACCCCAGTGACGGCTAGCCCCAGTGGTCCAAACCATGCCAATCCCAGTAAGCTAATGTAGGGGCCCTTGACCACAAGCAAGTCCAGTTGCCGCTTCCGCCCTCGGTATTGCACCCTGAAGGTCCCCACCCCCCTTGTGGGGGCCTTACGTTTCTGGAAGTCCCGGAGGGTGAATGGGGCCGGCCTGAGTTTGGGACCCCCAGTAGGACACAGTTTCCTTAAGGTCCTTGCCGAGATTATGGATAGAGTTGAACCCGTGTCAAGCTCCATGCGGCATGGGGCCCCCTCTATCTGTACCTCTACATAAATTTTCTCTATGTTGGGGTGGGGCAACTGGTATACCTGGAAGTCCATGAGCTCCGTCGAGTTGCCTTGGTGCGTTGGGCCCCGGGACCTGGGGCTCTTGGATTGGTCATCTGATGCCTGGCGTTGGGTGGGCCGAGCTCGACACACCCGGGCGATGTGTCCCGATTTCCTGCACTGCCTGCACTCTGCGTTGCGGAAACGGCAGGTCCTCCTCTTGTGACTTTCCCCGCAGCTTGCACAGTTCCCTCCTTCTTGTCGAGGCAGCTGTGGTCTGTGCGCTGCTTGGGTGCGCTGCTGTACTCGGTGCACCTCCTCCCTGTCAGATCCTGAGTTGTCGGTGAGGTCTTCATGGTGGACCCTCGGTTGGGACGGCAGGCTCGGCCATACCTCTTGCGTCGACCTCTTTGCAGCTTCCGTTGCCAGGGCCTCCTCCAGAGCGACCTGGAACGTTAGGTCCTTCTTAGCGTAGAGGCGCCGTTGCAGCTTCTCATCCTTCAGGCCACCGACGAGGCGGTCACGAAGCATGTTCTCCAGCTCTGAGAAGTTGCAGAACCGGGCAGCTTGGCAGAGAGAGGTCACAAACCCAGTTATGGTTTCCCCAGGGGCTTGCCGCTTTGCGTAGAAGGCATTTCGACGAGCCACCACTGAGGGCTGCAGCGAAAAGTGCCCCTTCAGCTGTTCCATTATTGTTTTGTATGGAACAGTAGCGACGTCTTCAGGCGCAAGGAGAGCCCGGGCGATTTCAAATGTCTCCTCTCCGCAGACGCTGAAGAATATCGCCCTCTTCTTGGCGTCTTCTTCGTCGGTGACCCCTTTGGCTTCTAGGAGGAAGGTGAAACGGGAGGCGTACGCTTCCCAGTCTCCAGATGCTGGGTTGAACGGCGAGAAGCTGCTGTCGGTTGCCATTCTGAGTTCCTTGTGTCCCGGAGCTGAAGCCTGGATACACGGTGCGAGGCAGCGGTGCGGCAGGTGGTGGTGCTGCGGTGCTGAGTGTGGCTGTCAGCTCAGCGGGATTCCACCTTCGTCGCCAGTGAAATATACTCAGAGTCGCAAAGTGATTTCATGCTCTTTATTCAGCTCATAGTGGTGAGGAGGAATGAATGAATGTCCCCTCAAAGTATCTGCCTTATATACATTATTTACACAATGGGCTGCACATGATTGGCTAATTCCAGAATTCTACTGCAAGCCAATCAGGCTGTGGATTCACTTCTATCTGGAGCATGATTGGGTGGTTCCTGCCAACCAATCATACTGCTGCATTTGGATCCTATTGTTCTAGGACCAATCAGACTGCTGCAGTTTGGATCCTATTCAACTCAGTACATAACAGTCGCGGTGTTCCGTTGTGCCAGAAATGATTTAGTCATGCTGGCCACATGACCCGGAAAGCTATCTGTGGACAAATGCCGGCTCCCTCGGCCTGAAAGCTAGATGAGCACCACAACCCCATAGTCAGCTTTGACTGGACTTAACCATCCAGGGGTCCTTTACCTTTTTTTTACCCCAGGTGTTTTGGAGCCCCAGTTGTGTAGGGTTCTGAAATGCATGGTGAGCCTTCACGGATACAAGAGCTTCCCCTTCTACAAGTTGAAGACGAGGGAAGCAATGATGGGGAGGTGAGCTAGTGAGGTCAGCTCCACTGCCTGCACCCGTCTCCAACATGTTTTCCACACCCTTACGGAAACACTTGAAGAAGGCTTTGGGAGCCTAGATTTCTCGTGTCTGATTTAACCGTCTTTGTGTCTGCAGCACACAACAGTTGGGGTGGCAGCGAGAGTTTTAATGTTGTTATAGGCTAAGCCTTTCATTGCTTAGTTTTCAGATAAGCACTTCCAGTATTTACTTTTTAAAGCCTATTGAAGAAGTTGTTTTATTTCACAGCCACCTCTTTCCTCACAAGTTGTTTATGAAACCCATGTGGTGGTACCTCTGACCTTCTTAGTGCTATTTGTTTGAGTCTACCGAAATGCCTTCCTTTCAGTGATGAATTAAGCTTGACAGCTCTCTTGGAGGGCAAAATATAAGACAAAGCTGGTAATGAACCACCTGTGTTTTAATAGGGATTTTCAAAGAGGGATGACTTTCTTCCACAAGCCCAACCAGCTGGAACATGGCTTTGGATGATTAGGGGCCCAAGTGATAGTCTTCTAAGAGCCTTCATAGATGATGAGATTTTGTCTCCTGGTGTTTTAGGGATTGAAAACATGTTTCCTGTTAATATTTCTGTGGTTAGAAGGAACCTGAAACCCCCAGACAGGGGCAAGCTTGGTGTCCATCCAGCCCACAGTTCTATCACCGAAACGAACAAAGCATACATTTAAAGTACACAAACTCACAAAAAAGTATCCTGGGAACTGTAGTTTACCCCTTACAGAACTACAGTTCTCAGCCCTTAACGAGCTCTAGGAACTAGGATTCTTTGAGGGAAGTCATGTCCTTTCCCTGTTGTTATTGTTATTGGCCTTTATTGGCATAAGTTTAAACAAATCATAAAATCAAACAAAGTCATCCAAATACATTGATCATCCAAACACATACAATATATAAAAGACCACATAGCCATCATTGAATAAATCAGGCAACTGTAGATTTAGCTTTAAAGAACTTGGCTAAATACCCTGAAACAATCTTGATAGTTTCAGGAGTATCATCCCTCAACAAATATTGGATTACAGACTCTATGTACTTTAAATGTATGGTAGCTACACAGTCAAAGTCTTGGTACGTCTGAGGAATGTGCTTGCCCAGAGCATTGAGGATCTCAATGGCAGTGTCTTGTCCCTCTAATCGGGAGGGAGGCTTTTTAAGCCCAAGGGCTGAATTCGCTCAGGAGCAGCCTTCCAGGGACTGCCTGCAAGTGATGGTCCTGGAGAAAGTCCTAAGAGCCAGATACAAAGGCCTCTATCCCCCTTTCCCTGGGCGTGAGAATTCCCAACCCTTCAATAAACAGCCTTTTACTTTGAAGGCTGCCTTCACATAGACAGTTGTAAATCTAGATATGGCTGTCATCTTCTTTTCCCCTAGAATCTTACCAAAGTCTAAGCATGTGCTACATCCTGTTACAACGGATTCAGATATCTAATTATTATACACAATGTTTGTTTGTTTTTTAAAGTGGGAAAGGTTGCTTTGATTTCTTCCCCCCGACATCTTTTGCTGGTTGTAGAAAATTAGTTTCCAGGTCTGAGTCTTCAATTTCCTGTGGACATACAGTACTAGTGACTCAGGCTGCAATCATAGAATCGTAGAATCTGTAAATGCATCTTGGGGGAATAAGCCCTTTGGGACTTACTTCTGTGTACATATGCATATGAACCCACTACAACGGTGTTTTTTGTTTGGTTTGCAGTCATGTATCGCTTTATGATTAGGGCAATCTGTCTGTGAGCTGAAATATTGCACTTGTCTGAAGTAAATTCAGAACCTGCTTTAGACAGACCCTTTAAGGAATCATTCCCCCTCTATTTCCATGTCTTATAAATTCTCTGTAATTAGGTCAGTGCAATATTTAGAACCCTGGCCACATTCTTTCATCCCTCGGAAAATTATTTCCTGCCTCTTCTAAGTACTATAAGATCTAATACACGTTTTCAGAAGCCATATGGTCAACAACACAAAACAGGAAATGTAAGGTCGGAGTAGCCAAACATTAAGTTTATCCTGCATATCCTTATTCACTTGCTACATGACGTTGCATGGGTTTTCGTGTCTGTGATTCCTGCATTTCAAGGAGTTGAACTAGATGACCCTTGGGGTCCCTCCCAACTTTACAGTTCTGTGTTTCTGTGACCTCTGTGCCAATTGTCTTAGTGTGTCACCTCAGCATAGACTTGCTTCTGGGTGATCCTCTGTGCATAGTGTGTGTGTGTGGGGGGGGAGTGATAGAAGTTTCCTCTGTGCTACAAAAAAGCCATGGTATGTAGTGTGGTAAGTTCAGTGTGTATCCACCTTTCCTCTTGCTCATTGCATCTGCCGAGTGACATAAGCTACTTGGACAAATCTACACCTATCCAAACTCCTCTGTCTGGAACCCCAGTACTGTTTGTATGCACAGCTGCAATGGGGAGCAAAGCAGTCATTACAAGACAGATAACCTTCATCCTGTTCTAGGCTAGTAGTGGAGGTTCACCTTTTATGATGCGTGTTGGTTGCAGTTCTAATGAAGTGCTTTGACGTGTATTCCAGGAAGGCAGTGGCGTAACTTATACCATAGCAGCCACAATGGCTCTCGGACTTCACTGAAAAGAGTTGTCCTCCGATTCTACTGCCTCCTATTTACAGTATAGAGGACCATAGGGAGAGAGCTTCACATTTTTGCATGATTTTTAGACATACCTAGTTAGGAATAACTGCCGCAAATCACTGGTGCAGATTTGGATTAGTAAACATGGATTTTTTGAATGGGGGGGGCCCATTCTTTTGCCGGTTGAGTTGTTTGTTTAAAGTAGCATAAAAAGGCTAATAGTAGACATGAGGTAATTTTGAATATACCGTACTTAGGCCTAATTTTGACATCTCCTGGAGTCTTTGGGTGCTGGAGGAGCAGACATAGTTTCCTGTGATTATTGCCACTCCAAAAATGAAAGAGATTTCATTCCCATTTCTCCACTGCAAATAAGACTTTCACCAGCATAGCGTAAATGTCTGAAATAAACCTTAGAATATTTTGATTCTGCAAGAACTGACAAAACTGTTTGGGGCATGAGCAGACCAAACATAATTGTTTCAAAGAACACTTTAAATTATTATTTTTCATGGATTGTAAGCTGGAACAAAGCAATACATTCCCACCCCCACCCCCCGAATAGAAGCATATGTTTAATACCTCTATCAAGCTATCTGTAATTTTTATTGTAATTCAACTGTCAAAGCTGTGCCGGAAAAGTTGCTTTGTCCTTAACCCTTTCAGAATGACTTGAATTAACATTTCCCTGTGTGGCCGAGCCATTCATTCTTCTAGATCAGATGCTGCACCAGCAGACTATTTCTGGCATTTGTTGTGTTTTTTGGCAATGCTCTTCTTTCTGCTCCTTCCGCTCATTAAAATATATCTAGAGATTTGCTATGGACTGCAAAACAGGGGTGGGGGAATGTGCAGGATAAATGAATCACATCTCAGCTGCACTGAGATAATAAGTCAAGAAAATTCAAGAGAACAAAATAATCCTCAGTATTTTACAGAGCTTAACTTGCAATTTGAAAGGGGAAGCTGATCAATAAAATGCTGGCTATTGTTATACTGAGCCTTGTTCAGATCAATGTAATGAGAGTCCTCTGCACCCTAATATGATACCAGGAAACATCACTCTTTGTTCCTTAGAGCCACAGATTGATAATGCTTTGCTTATGGGTTTCTTGGACTGCATATTCCAGGGACATCTCAGCAAGCCAGATCCTTATTAGCACCCATCCTGTGGGTCAACTTGGACAGGTGGGCAGGACAACCTACCTTTCAGTCACCTGATGTCCTTCAGTTGTCTGAAGCTGCCCACTTGCCAAAGTCTGTTGTGCACCGCTTTCAAAGCACCCAACTTCCAGCTGGTTTTGGGGTGCTTGGGGATTACACTGCAAGGGGCTTTGCTGCTCCAGCAAAGGAACAACCAGGAGCTCACTTGAAGCTCTCTTCCTTTGTAGCATTATCTGCCCCACACCTGACATCTCATGTGCCACAAACTATGGGGCAGTTACGCATGATTTAGGGGAAATGAACTTGCAGGCCAAATGATCACATGCCCATTGTATGTTTTAGTGTTAGCCAGTAGTTTCAGCTACAGTGAATAAAATGGGCGTTGCATCAATTAATCAAATGCATTCAGGATGCTTTATAGTAATTGGAGCAAACAAGAAACCACAGTTGTTTTTTGTTGCGGTTATGAACCGAAAATACTATCCTAGGTCACATTTGTGGAGTACAGAGAAATGTCATAGGAGCAAAGGAACTGATGGGCACACTTCTACATCAGAAGGCTGATGCAATTGAGCAGGTTTGAATCTTATGCTTCTGTCTGCTTTCCCCCAGGGAAACTGCACCACAGTGATACAGGATCATGAGTGTATTATGTCACAGCTAAGGTCAGGGTGTTTGCAACTGGTGGCCAAAGCTACATCTCTATCTGTGTTGGGCAGTCCTTAACAAAGAATGGTGTTTGCTATTTTAGCAAGAAGTGATAATTGTAAAACATATCTGCTCTTGAATGTATACTTTTTGCCTGTGCGCTTGACTGTAACTGACTGTTTAGGAAAGAAAAAAAAGTGGGGGAATGGACTAACAGGATTTCATAGTGGGCTTTTATTTCCTCTTTCTGCTCTGCTGTTTTGCTTATTAGAGTTTAGATCTGGAATAAATTTGCATTTTAGGCAGGCTGCAATGTCCCATCTGTTCTCCTTGTTTCTCCCTCCCTCCCTTACCCTCAATTAGTTGGCTAGTGTACTGTGTGAAAAATCTGATTTGCTTCCTGATTAGTGTCTTCATTACAGAATTTTGATACAAAACCGTATGTTGTTTCATTACCTCCTCTGCGTCTTCATTTATTCCCTTTTCTTAAACTGTGACGCTAATGTTCGCAGATTGACAGAACAGGTGGATCAATAGCACCACAAGCTTATTCAGTAGATGCTGCCAATGTTCTATCAGCTGCGACTTGCAAAGAGGAATGGCAGCCTTCTGAAGACAAGGGGAGAGATGGAAAACTAGAAGCACTGTTGCTATGCCAGATTGTACTTAAAACAACAAGCAAACAACAAAGCGGGTAGTATATCTTAGGAAAAGATACAAGTATTGTTATTTTTTAGACTTAGTATTCCAGACCAGAGAAAACATGATACAAGCAAGGTTAAAAATCCTGCTAATCTTAAGTACAGTGCCCTGGCAAAATTCAGATGAGTGTGAATTTCGAAGAGCAGTTATGTTTCAGTCTGTATATTGTTTCAGAAAGTGCAGATCTGACAGATTCTTCTTTAAATGTGCACTGAATTGAATTTGTCCGTCCCTAGTCTGCACATAGTCTAGATTTGCTGCATATTTTTTGCCTCTGAAAAGCGCTTCTTGAAAAACTAGTTTTACTCCAAAGTTCATTGCAGATTGATCCTGTATTGCCCTGCAGTGTGTCCCTTTGAAAACAGGTGAAAAGAGGTGTAGGTGATCCTGGAAATGCAGGTTGTATCCACACCCACTGGTGGAGGAAGAGAAGTGTGGGGGGGAGCGAACCGCCCACGGCAGCGCGATCCCAGTGGGGTGCCATCGCGGCTGCCCCCCTGCCCACGCTGGGTGCCACGTCCCCGCGGGCAGCATGCCAGCCCCGCCCCCACCTGCTGTCCGCCCCCCAGTGCCGGATCATGAAGCTCCGCCACTGTCCACAACAGTATCTTTGTGGGTGAATGTAACTCAATCACCGCTTCCTTCTTCCTACACATGGGGAGGGGGTATGCAAGGAGGAAAAAGCATAGATAACCTAATCAAGGGGAGTATAAGTATTTATTTATTGAAAGTAGCATATTGAGGAATCAGCATGAGCAGTTCTGAACTGAGCGAAACTACATTTTTGAGCTACAAATAGGTTTGTGTGTATGTAGCCTTACGTAAAAGAACAAACCAGGGGCAAAAAAGTGACTTTTGATATCAATCATCATAAATGTGAAACATTAGATCATACATATTTGTTACTGTGCTAAACTATGAATATTTAGATTGCCATCCAAATAGCGTGAAGATTTATCTTTCCATTTTCCAAATAAATGCTTTTCTGACCAGTAACTACAAGCCTTTGCTTCTGAAGAGTTTTGTCACTTGCAGCCCAATCTGTATCCATGTTTCCACAGAAGTAAACCCCACTGAGTTTACTGGGGCTTACTCCCAAGTAAGTGTGCACAGAATCGCGGCTTTAGGTTCTGATCTGTCAAATAAGATTTACTTCTTTGGAAACATGTTTAGGATTGTGCTTTAGGTCTTCAACCAAGTTATCTCACCTAGACTTCAATCTTGTACACACTTACCTGGGAGTAAATTCCATTGAATTCAATGAGACTTGTCTTCTGAATAGATTGTATAGGCTTAGACGCTTGGTAGCTTTACATGTTTATGAAGAGAACTAAATATAAATCTTTAGTTTTACAAATGCCCCCCTGTTTCTAAGTCCATATAAATATCCTGTGGTGCAAAAGGCATGTGGCATAACCAGAAACTTTGGATTATTCTTCCCGGCAGTATAAAAGTTATTTTTGGTTTCAAGACAGTGTGTTTTAATGGGTATAGAAACCAATTACTATGCCACTTCCGGGTTAGCGCCATCGCCGAATGGCGGACTCCCTCCGAGCTCCGGAGGGAGTCTGCTCGGCAGGGGCTGGGTCCTACCGCGCCGGCAACGCGGGGACCCTTCAAATCCACGGGCACGGAGTCCGTGGACATGGGTGACTCGGCTTGCACCATTAGCGCCCTCCCGACTCGTGAAGGAGCCTTTTTAAAGGCTTCGGATCGGGTGCCGGGGAGTGGCGTGGTGCTTTGAGTCCACTGCTTTCCCTGCCGAGCGCAGCCGCATGCCATTCGACGGAGAGCGCTGACTTCTTCTATTGAAAATTTGGACTATTAACAACAACCCGTGAGTAATTGGGAAACCGGGTTCAAAATTTTGGATTTGGCACGAGCGGGGCGATTTAAAAGGAAGTCAATCCCCCCCCCCTATTGTAAGCATTCCAAAACAAGGACTGGGTAACCAAGGTCCAAAGGGAAGTATGTCTCTGATAAAAATCATTAATTTCACGATGGGAAATTATAAGAAATGTGCTGGAGGAGAAGAGTGGAGGGTGAGAAGAAAATGCAACCCCCCCCCCTGGGAACCGGGGCGATTCGTGGAGCCTGGTGAAGAGAGACGGAGACTTTGACAGCTGTCAAAGTGGCTGTCAAAGCTGGAGAATATAAAGAGGACTTTGTTATGAGGACCTTGCTGGTTAATTTTGTTACAATTTGCTATAATATGGATATAAACTGTTGGAAAATAAGCAACAATTTGACTTTTGGATTAGAGGATACAAAGTTATTACAAACCCCTAGAGGGGTTTCGGGATACTACAAGAACGGTCGTAAGTGGAAAAATACCCTGGGATTCGCACAGGATTTGTTATCTTCTGGGAAAGCTGCAAAACTGAAAGAGTATTTTGTCTACAGAGGAAGACAATGGAATTTTTATTGAAGAAAGAAAGGGACTGGACGTAAGTTTTTGTTCCTGAATAACAAACCTCTGCAGAGACACTAGATTTCTGAATTAGAAAGTTTTAGCAGCTGAACAGGACAAGAAACCTGAGAAAGTGAGGAATAAGAAGAATAAAGGACTGATTACGACACGGAAAGAACAACGGGAGGAGTGGTAAAGATCAAGGAAATTAAAGGCCTTTGTTAGATTGGACATTTGAAGTCAAATATTATTTAAATTAATAAACTAAAAGAAAACCGGCAAGATGGAATCGGGGAGAAATCTGGTCATGAAATGAGACTTCCAAGCTGATAATGTATAGACTGATGGACATGGGGAATTCAAACCGGGAAGGGGGGAGATTTGAAATCCAAAGGCTGTGTAACCATTTTTTGAATTTTTCTATATCTCTTATTTTCTATTTCTTTACATAACTTACGCATGTTATTTTACTTTGATCGGACGTGTTTAAAAAAAGGGAATTTGTGGAAGGAACTGGGGTGGATCTTGGGGAAAATCTTTTTTCTTTTTCTGTTAATGATGTGGGACGGTGGTAAGATTTGTACAATTCAATCTGGATAGTGGGTTAAACAAATTAAGCTTTAAATTGGGAGTGAGAGCTTGTAGAACCAAATTAAGGAAAGGGGAATACAATTGAGGGGGGGGGAGTCCCAGAAAGGAGGGAATGAAAGTAAGGTTTTTAAATATCTTCTTTCTTTTGTCTTTTTTCTTTGTATTTTTATATTTTTGGAAACTTTAATAAATATGATTTAAAAAAAAAAATAGAAACCAATTACTATGCGTGCTTGTTCAGGAAATATACAAGTTAGAAAACTAGAAACTTGATTAATGGTTTAAATTAGCCAAGGGGGAGTTCATTGGTGATTTAAATTATTGTTTAAATTGCTTTGATTAAAATCTGTCCACTCCTGCTTGGTGCCAGTGGCACCCATCTCAAACATGCCACTCTGTGTCACCAAACCTTGAAAAAAACACTCGCACAAAGACGTAAAATTGGGGCATTGTGAGTAAAAGGAAAAGCTGAGGCATTTTTTGGCCTGCTCAGGCTGCTCCACAGGGTGGAACTTGATGCCAAAGCTTGCTGCTTTTGTACTCTTTATCCTTGCCCTTCCACCTTGCAGCAAAGCGCCTCACCAGTGCTCAGCAATTATAATAATTTTCATTTATGATTCACTTTCCATGAGACATCCCAGAGCGATTTACAATATACTAACTTATGTAAAAAGAGTTACATATTCCCTGATGCTGGAATATGAACATTATTGACATGGCCAGTGCTAGGTTTGACTAAAGTGCTACCAATAAGCCTCCTTGTTGCTTCCCTTCCAGTGACCACAACACTGATCCCTAGTCTACTTGGGTTGGGGCCTGTGACCATTGCCATTGATGGGACCCCTAGCAGCACTGGTGCTGCCACCACCTGCAGTCTGTTGCTCCTGGGCAGGCTTTCTGGTGGTACTGTCTGTCTTAGTAGGGGAGCTGAGCAGCTGATCAACCCCTGTTGATCACCATGTTGAATTTCTCGTGGTGTGGAAAATACAATGCAGCAGCCTCCCAACGCTGATCAAACCTGAATAAACAGCACCAAGGCCATTGACTATGCCAGCCCAGTGTGGGGGAACAGTGGTTGATGACAGCAGTGACAATACCACCAAGGCTGGGAGGGGAGGTGAAGCAATGTTAGCAATGCTGGGGTGGGAGCAGATAAACCAGGCCAGTGTCTCCTGCTGCAATGGGTATGTATGTTGGGTGCTGACATGAGGCCTGATTACTGAAGTTAGAAAACGTCACATGAAGCATTGAGAACCATGCTATATATTACACAGAGGCTTGGTATTTTAAACCCTGATGCCTGATACACCTAGGGAATCCTAGCTTTTGGCATGTGGAAGGATTGCTTTAATATTTTCCCTACCTATCACATTTCCACTCCTGCCCCTAAGCCAAGCAAGAGTATTCCCTCTGCATCTCCTTTCCAATTTCCTCCCTTTCCCCTAAAAGAAGCGCTTGATTGGAGGTTAATACACACAGTTGTGTTCAATGTGTAGTCTGGACCTTGCCCTTCATGGTTTGGCTTGTGTTCAATACTTATGTTGCATAAGTGCATTTTTCTTTAATATAAGGACAGCTGTCTTGAAACTGTCTCATCTATTCCCTCATTGATTTAAAATTTATATTTGACATGCCAGTCACTTCAGTGAAACTAGATAGCAGTTCTTTCTATAATAGAATTATGTTGGATTACTTGGTTGTTAATCCTTCTATATTATCATTAAGTCGTGTTTTCAGAATTAATGTGGTTACAGAAATAAGTAACAAACAGAGGGCAATAGTCATAGGGAGACAAATTGGGCTTCTTGATAAGGCAGGAGGAAAAAACCATCCTCTGTGTAATAAGAAGGTGCACGAGCAAGCTCTTTATTGAGGCTTTCCTCCTTGGGAGAATGCCATTATGTAGACAGTAACTTTTCTTAGAATAACATTACAAGCGGAAATGCATATGGTCTTTCAAACTGCTTTGAATGTATACAGTGCCTGTCTTGGTCCAAAACAGGTTGATCAAATATTTTCAGCACTGAAGCAGGTGGGAGGTGGGAGGAAATAGGCAAAATATTTCAAGGGTTATCCCGCTTACCTTCTGTTTCCTCCTTTAAAGTAATGTTGTTTGTTTGTCCCTCATTAAAATTGCACTCTCCTGCATCTGGGGGGGGGGGCTTTCTCAGCCACCTTGCCAAAAAATAGCTAAAACAATCCTCCCCATTTTGCAGCCTCAAAATAGGTTGTTGAAATGGTTCAGTTCAGCCATGACACAGCAAGTAAACTTCATACATTTCCCATTTTCAGTGTGATTTCAGAAGCAGTGGAGACTGCATATTTGTACACTGTGCCATCAAGATTGCTATGAGGTGCCTTGCAAAACAATTCATGGAGGACTTCCAAAGGGTCTAAAACTTTTATTCCCTGATATAGAGTCCATTTCTGAACTCTGTTGAGCCTGCAGAGGGCAGGCACAACCCAGCCCTCTCCTCCATGTATTCTCTGTGCATGTCATGTTGCATGTGGCATTTTTGTATTAAAGTCATATTTGCAGCCTTATTTAATCCAGTACCTTTTGTGTGATGGTACTCCCTGGCATGGAGTACCAGCATTTATTTATTTCCCACAACTCCCCACTGATTTAATCTGTTTCAAGGTTAATTTTATGCTATGGTGTAAAGTGAGATTGTTGAATTAAGCATCATCTAATGCTGATTATAAGGGACGTGGGTGGTGCTGTGGGTTAAACCACAGAGCCTAGGACTTGCCCATCAGAAGGTCGGTGGTTCGAATCCCCGCGACGGGGTGAGCTCCCGTTGCTCAGTCCCTGCTCCTGCCAACCTAGCAGTTCAAAAGCATGTCAAAGTGCAAGTAGATAAATAGGTACCGCTCCAGCGGGAAGGTAAACAGCGTTTCCGTGCACTGCTCTGGTTCGCCAGAAGCGGCTTAGTCATGCTGGCCACATGACCCGGAAGCTGTACGCCGGCTCCCTCGGCCAATAAAGCAAGATGAGTGCCGCAACCCCAGAGTCGGTCACGACTGGACCTAATGGTCAGGGGTCCCTTTACCTTTACCTTTAATGCTGATTATGATTTAGGATCCATAAACAACTTCATTCCTAATTACTGGATTGGTCTTCAGAATCATAAAAGCATATTATCCAGCATCAGTTCTACAAATCCATAGTTGTCTTGACCCCAGCTCAGTTGTATATGTGTGCCTCTGTCATTGAGAAGGAGGAAAACTGAGACCTATGGAAGCTAAGTTTCCCAGGACTGCAAAGTGAGCCAGTGGTTAAGATAGGAATACCATGTATTCCATGTGTGATACCATGTCATAAAGTTTGTGCCACATGCCCACACTTTTACACCCTTTTACAGCCATTTACATCTGCTCTAGAATTTGTTTTTCAAGGCTTGTCTTGCCATTCTATTTGCCTTTAAAACTACTGCTGAATTGCAAGTGGGCTCAGTATGTATAGAAGAGAAGGATATGCTGAGCTGCTGAATTACAAACAGGCTTGGAATGTATATAGCACCAAAAAAGCTGCCCCTAGATATTTTCTTTCTCCTTCCGATTGGCAATCAAAACGCCCTCCTACTCCTTTCTCATGTCAGGCAGGGACATGGCAAAGGGCACCGGGCAGTCAAGAACTAGTTAGGACCATGGATAGCTCCCTGTGGGGCTGGACACAGGAAGAAACCAGATGCAAGGCTCACTTAGGGCTGAGCTACACATTTTATCTTCATGTCCTTTGACTGGGATTTTGTTTTAACTAACATCAGCTGCTGCAGAGCATGTTCTTGTTCGGGGCTGCAACATAGGTGGGAGAGAACCCTGCCCTGTTAACATGATGAAAATCACTACTCTGACTGCTGTTCCGGGGGTAGATGGAAGCTTCATGGGATTCAAAGACAAATTAGCACCAGGGATCAAGCTTGTTGTTGCAGCTTCTTTCTGGAGCCAACTCATATTATCATTAGTCCTGCAAAGAAAGGTTTATATGAACCTCCAGCTTTCTTCAAGGAGCCTGCTTGAAAGTTAAATGTGGAATGCAGGCTGTGTTTGGATGGGCTGGCCTCCCTTCCGTAATCCCTGGGATTGGTGAGGTGGTGCAGGGTTGTTCTCAAGGGCTGCCGATGGTTCTGCGTAAACGGAGAATCAGTAGGTGGAGGCCTTTCACCGGGTCAAATATATGTTGGAAATGTAAAGAAAAAGAAGGGACTTTTTATCATATGTGGTGGGAATGTAGAGAAGTTTAAAAAAGGGGGGGGAATGATACACAATGAATTGAAAAAAATGTTTAAAATGACATTTGTAAAAAAAAACCAGGAGCATTTTTGTTAGGGATTGTAGGACAAGACCTGCCAAGAAAAACAAAGAATTTATTTATGTATGCTACAACAGCGGCAAGAGTCTTGATAGCACAAGGATGGAAGAATGAGGAAATCCCAACGAAAGAACAGTGGCAAGAAAAATTGATGAGCTGTGCAGAGTTGGCTAAATTGACATAAAAACTGCGGGACAAGGACAACTGTGACTTTAAGGAAGAATGGGAGCTTTTTACAAATTATCTAAAAAGACAACAAAATGAACTGGACTCCTTGGCAGGCTTTGAATAAACATACACAAATGTATTGGTTGATAACATGATAGATAAATAAGGTAAGGATATGTATAACTTTATAACATGCAGAGAATAATATGTGTAGAGAAATCAGAGAGAAGAGCTGAGGGAAGTCCCTAGTGGGAGGGGGAGGGAGGGATGGAAGGGGGGTAGGAAAAAAGGGGGATAATGTATGTGATTATATGGTTTGATAATTGGTTATGTTGAAATTGCTTAATAAAAAATATTTTTTAAAAAAGTAGGTGGAGGCCTTGCTATATCCTTCTCCACTGCTTCCTCTCCATGGAAGTCACTAGCAGGGCAGGTACTTCACTAAAGTGATGTAAGAGACCAATCCTACCCCTTGGAGTCCCCTTGGATGAGCCATGGCAGCCAATGTTTTAGTTCATTTTTTTTTACATATTTTTATGTTTTAGTTCATATTTATGCAGTACTGAAGAATTAAATGAGAAGACTGAATAGTAGCTGATTAAAGCAGCCTATAGATGGTGGATAAATGAGTTTATCTGATGCCCAGTCTCCTTTTCAGCCATGTGGAATGGTTAGATGCAAGGGAGGATTTTCATTTATCTATTTAGGGCATTTATATACTGCCCAATTAACCATGTCCTTTGGCCCGTTCACAAACTTAAAATCAATAAAATACAAATACGGTAAAAAATAAAAGCTATCACCAGCAAAAATGTTAGCAAAAACCCAGTGTTAAAAACATCACAGAGCAGCTAAGATCAATAAAAACATTCTTTTTTAAAGCACTAAAACCAACAAAGTGGGAAACAAAATAGAACTAAGAACTAAAATTCACTAAACCTCAATTATTAGAAGTCCTGGAAGAATAAAAAGCTCTTTGCCTGATGCTGATCCTAATGTAGGCTCTAGGTGACCCTCTCTGGAAATATCATTCTGTAACTGGGGCGCCGCTTCTGAGAAGTCTCTCTCCCCTTGCCTCCCCCAAAAGAAGTCTCCCTTCCAAGTAACTGCTCACCTCACCTCACCTCACCTCATTAGGTCAGAGAACGTAGAGAATAGCCTCTAATAAAGATCTTAAAGTCTGCTGCTTGAGAGGAGGCAATCCTCCAGATTTGAGGATGCATCTGTTTGGCCAGGACATGGCAGACATTATGGCTGAGAAGAGTTAACATTGGATCACTCTCTCCATAGTGGCATATGTTCACCTTGTGAACTATCGTGCAAATCTGGTCTCATCTTAAGAAGAGTCTGCTGGAACAGGCCAGGGGCCTGTGTGGTCCAGCACTGTTACCTCACAGTAGCGAACCATTTGCCTATTGGAAGCCCAAAAGCAAAAGCGTTCTGCTTTTCTTCCCCAGTTCTCTTTCTAAACCAGCCTTCTACAGTCTCTCATAACATTTTTCACTGTGTATATAATCTCTCATTTCTAATGTGTACACATTGCATGATGAAGGGTGGGATGGTGTGTGTGCGCGCGCATGTGCGCGCCACTTGTCTTGCTTTTAATGTGCTTTGCTGTTTGTTCACATTGCAGAGTCGGTGGGTCTGTGCATGCCTACAGCAACATATTTATTTTTTAAACACAGCAAAAATCTGGAGGCCTATTCCATTCTCTCCACACAGCAGGAGAGCACGCATCGTGTTTTAATTGCTGTAACCTGCCCTGGGACCTGGGCAGATATTAAGAATAAGCAGCAGTGGTTGTTCCAGTTATGCACAGCAGGAACTTGTTCCAACCTCCCTCACCTCACTTTCACAAGCATGCCAGCAATAATGCTTATTAGTGAACAGCTGTTTTCTGTTTGGCTTTAAAAGCTAGGCTTTTTTTTTTTTGCTTAAGTTGTTTTTTTAAAAAAAAATCACACACCCAAGGCACACATGCGCAGCAGGAAAATTATTTATTGTAAACATTACATATATATTTGGAAGCCAGTGCAAACACCATTATCAGTATTAAGAGAGTGAGAATAGAATGTTTCATAAATAAACAACCAGAAAATACTCAAATCACCAGCCAGAACCCTGCAGCAATGCGTGGAGGGTTAGGTAGAGCTAACAACTCCATAGCAACAGAGCAAACCAGTAATTGGAGGTGGAACAATGTCCATGGAATTTTACGAAATATGTATTGCAATGGGGTGGCTGGGAGAAGGGAAGGATGGTGCTGCCACTTTGGGAGAGTAGGATGGTGGGCAGCAGAAGGCAGAGTGGCAGCCCAATGCCTTGTCCACCAGCCCTGGGAGGGACACAAGTTTCTTTTGCCTGATCTAAAGGTTTTTCACCTGTGACAGTTAGGTAGGTACCGGTAAGTTGAAGTTCACAGGAGAGCAGTATCTAGTGTTTGCTATACCACATTCAAGTTTACTGCAAATAAAAGTTTCACTTGTTACAGAGCTAAGCCACCATTATACTGGACTCACAACTGAGGAACCTGCACCAAGTAGGGCTGGTGTTACATGCTGCTGTCCACAATGTGTTTATGCTTTTTGTGGCAGCTAGATCCTCCCCATATCATCTTATTTCGCTGTTACATTTATCAATACCGTATTGTTTTTGACCACCCGAAAGGTAGGAATATCAAGCGTGCCAGTGAAAGTCTGCGTGCAGTCCGAAGCTGAATGTGCCTGCCTTTGCATCTAGCTGATGATGTGTGTCACATTAGAAGTGGCAGCTGCCTTGTCTTCTTCATGAAGTTATGAGAAGCCACAAGGAAAGGGCTTAAATTAATATATGGGAGCTGGCAACACGTTGACACTTCCTATTTTTCATATTGTCAATCTGCGGTGCTATGTCGAGTAGGAAGAAGATTGTGTGTCCATTTCTTCAGCAGCTTTTTGATTGCCCTTAATTTGTGCAGATGGGAAAAACAAAATGTTGTGGTTTTACCACTAGAATAACACAAACGGTGCTGCAGAGTATTGTTGCTTTGAGAAAGGCATTACCTTGTGGATTTTCTTTTTTTATTACTCCATATAACTGTCTATATAACTCCAGAACAATTCACAAGGAGCTGCAGAGTGTTTCATATATGATAGGTGCAAGAATATTCTTAGCTAAAATCTCAATCGAAGCTGATGCTTAATTTTTATTCTTACAAATGTAACAATAAAAGAGGAGGCCTTGTTTTGATCAGACCAAGGATCCATAAAGTCCAGCAGTGGCCAGACAAATGCCTCTGGAAACCCACCCTAAACTGGTCTCAGCATGAATATCCTTTTCTCATTAACATGAACAATAATTTGCTTCCAGCCAGTCATGTTAGATGTAAGCTCCCTCAGGGTCTTTGACAATAAAAGGCGGGTTCCAACATGATCGCTCTGCTGCCTAATGTCTCACACAGTCAGCTTCCATTCACAGAAAGAGAGATACACTCATGGAAACCACATCTGCCATTCTCTGAACAGAAGCTTCAGCCATTTGCAGAGCAACAACATTTGATTCTGGTCATAGGATATTGAGACTCCTGGATTAGAAATAGGGGTGAAAGGACTAGCTTGATCTCCAGTTTTCTGTCTTTTGGTTTACAGTACGCCACTATTCTATGAAAAGTGGTGTTTCCTTTCCTTTGTACACACAGATATATTCATGAATCCATCAAGCTATTCCTTACCTAGAGCCATGAAGATTGCTGAGATTTGACAACAATGGCATGAATAGATTACAAAAGGAGATAGAGTGATGAACTTTTACCACTTCCGGTCGGCGCCATCGGCTAATGGCGGATTTCCCTCCGAGCTCCGGAGGGGGTCTGCTTTACAAGTTCGGGTCCTGTCGCTACGGCGAAGCGGGGACCCTTAAAAATTACAGGCGCGGAAGCCTGTGAACAAGGAGGCTCGGTGGGCACCATCGCGCCCCCCCGAAATCGCAAGGGAGCCTTTTTAAAGGCTCCGGAACGGCAGCGGGGGGAGAAGCGGTGCTGAGAGCCGCTACCCAGCTTGTGAGCGAAGCCGCATCGCCATAGCCGGAGAGCGCCGATTCCTTCCTGAAAATTGGATTACAAAGTAAAACTCGTGAGTAAGACTGAGACCTAATTGGGATTTACAACTATCTTTTGAAATTTGGCTGAAAACGGGATTGGTTTAAAGTAAGGAAGTCAGCCTTTCCCGGACTGCATAAGGATAAAGCAAAGAAGGATTAAAAGCTGTAACCATAGAGAGATCGCAAAGAGTTAAGAGAACCAGACATAAACTGTGAACTTCCCCCCTTTTGGTAGGCAGGAGCAAAAGGGGAGGAAACTGTGATTAGAACCTGCCAGAAAAGGACTTTAAAAACTTTTCACCACTGTGTCAAACACCCCTGAAACGGACTGCCGGGGCAAAGGAACCTGGAGAGAGAGAACTGTCAGTGAACTGTCACTTGGATTGTTACATTGTTTTAAACTACTCAGCTCAAGAGAGATACTAAATTACAGGTTTGTTGAACTCTGAAAATATAAGAACTGTTACAATTGACTACTGGGAAACCTCAGGGGAACTTTTGGTTGTAAGACATTTTGTTTAGTTTTGGAAACTTTCTTCCCCTAGAGGGCAATTTGAGAATTGTTGCAAATTGGATTGTAACTACTAAGGCAGTGGAAATTTCCCTTGAAAAATAACTAACAGCTGTGAGAGTGACCTTGGCTAGGCATGAGTGGTGCACCAGAAGAGACAACAACCAGGTCTGGGAGACAATACAAAGTAAAATCTTCACAGCGAAGAGTTTCAGTCCCAGGCATCCCAGTGGCACCAGCTGCAACTGGTCAGACAAGAACAATAATGTCATCAGATCCTGTAACACAAGCTTTGGTTAAAATAAATGAGTCTTTGGAATCTTTGACAAAGCAGGGGGTGGAAAATAGCAGAAAATTGACAGAACTCTCAATTAAACTTGATCAGAATACACAAAGTGTGAATGAATTAGGGAAAAGGGTGACATCTAATACAGAATCTATTAATAAAATATTAGAGGACTCTGCTAATATACGTAAAATCGCAGAAGAAGCCAAAGTCTCTGCTGATGAGGCTAAAGTCTCGGCGGATGCTACACAGGAAAATTGTACCAGTTTGCAAAAAGTTAGAAGATCACACATTGGCCCTGTCTATGCTTGAATTGCAGAGAAGAGACAGAAATTTAAGACTACGAGCGGTGCCTGAAAGCGAAGGAGATAACTTGGCGAACTTCCTTTCTAAAGAATTTGCGGATTTTTGGCAACAGGAGTTAGAGAAAGAAGAAATTAAAATAGTCACGGCCTTTAGACTGGGAAGAGCACAAGGCAGGAAGAAGCCAAGGGACTGCCTAATAACATTAGGATCAAGAGAGGAGAGAGATAAAATATTGAGTCTGCATTTTCAAAGAACACTCGAGATTGAAGATTCTTTTGTGGAGATCTTTAAAGATATTCCAAAGGAAATTCTAGACGCAAGAACAAACTATAAAGAACTGGTCGGACTACTGAAGAAGAACGAAGTACCTTTCAGGTGGGAATTCCCGCAAGGCCTATCTTTTAAATTCAAAGGTAGGAAAATAAGGATAAGATCAGTAGAAGATCGAGATCAATTTTTAAATCACTATAGGGAAGACCTTCTGAAAGGAACAGTCGGAGAGGAAATAACACCAGAATCGAAAGACGCAACAGACATTTTAAACTTGACGTTTGGACTGAAATCACCAACAGAAGAAGAACAACTACTCGGAGCAACAGGAGGCAAATAGCTTCAGGATGGCCCTGCAACTTCTAAGTTGGAATTGTAACGGACTTAACCTTCCGCGAAAGAGGAAAAATATATTTCATTTATTGAAAAAAGAGCAGTTGGACTTAATTTGTTTACAGGAAACTCATATAACAAGATTGCATAGAAAACTACTCGTCAATAAGAGATTAGGCCAAGAATTTATTTCATCGGATAAAGTTAAGAAAAGAGGAGTGGTAATCTATGCAAAAGAAAAACTTTCCCCAAAGTTTATATTTAAAGATGAACAAGGAAGGTATTTGGCAATTGAAGTGCAAATTCAAGGTGAAAAATTTTTGATACTAGGGATTTACGCACCTAATGAAGGGAAGTCAGAATTTTTAAGAAGTTGCATGAGACATTGTTGGACTATTTGGATTACAAATTAATCATGATGGGAGACATGAATGGAGTGGTATCTACAAATATGGACAAAGCACAAAGACAGGTAATCACTAGAGATGGGAGACTACCAAAGACTTTCTTTGAAATAACTGAAAATATGGACTTGATTGATATTTGGAGAACAAGGAATCCTCTCGAGAGAGAGGGAACCTTTTTCTCTGAAGCAATGATGACCTGGACCAGAATCGATCAAATTTGGATTACTAGTGGGTTGGCCCCAAAGATTAAAAAAGTGGAAATCTGCCCAAAGACCTGCTCCGACCATAACGCCGTGAAGATGGAAATGAAACTTACAACAACTGGTCAATTCAGATGGAGGATGAATGACACCCTGTTTCGAGATGAGGAGATCCACAGAAAAGCCCAAAAACTTTAAAGGACTATTTTGAAATAAATCTAAAAACTGATGTAGAAAAAAGAGTGATCTGGGACGCAAGTAAAGCAGTGATGCGAGGATTTCTAATTCAACAAAATTCTGTAAAAAAGAGGAAGCAAAATGAGAAGAAGGACAAGATCTTGGAAAAGATAAAAGAAGGAGAGAAGAAATTGAGATCAAAACCAAAGTCCCAGGAGATCTTGAGAGAGATTAAGTTATATCAGACACAATACATGGAATTGATGAATCAAGAGATTGAATGGAAGATAAAACAAATGAGACAAAAGACATTTGAATCTGCAGATAAATGTGGTAAACTTCTGGCTTGGCAATTGAAGAAAAGGCAGAAACTAAACACAGTCACAAGCCTAGAAGTGGATGGAAAGAATATATCTAAACCTAATGAGATAAGAAATTGTTTTTTGAGTTATTTTAAAAAATTATATTCACAAGGACCACAGAAGGAGGAGGATATAGAAGAATTTCTTAAAAAGTATGGACTACAAAAATCTCTCACCAAAGTAAGGTGGATCTAAATCAGAGAATAACAGATCAAGAGATAGAGGGTGCCATTCAAAACATGCAACTGGGCAAATCTCCAGGACCAGATGGATTGACTTCCAGATATTATAAGGCTTTGAAGGAATGGTTGGTACAACCATTAAAGGAAGTCTGTAATGAGATCTTAGAGGGGAAAAGGGCACCAGAATCGTGGAAAGAAGCGTACATTACACTCATACCAAAGACAGAGATTGAAAAGAATCAACTTAAGAACTACCGCCCAATATCATTACTTAATGTGGATTACAAAATTTTTGCAGACATTTTGGCAAAAAGATTGAAAAGAGTGTTGATGGAGAAGATTCATAAGGACCAAGCAGGCTTTCTCCCTAAAAGGCATTTATCAGACAATGTGAGGAACATAATAGACATTTTGGAATTATTAGAGGTGAATATAAACACTAAAGCAGTTCTGATCTTTGTAGATGCGGAGAAAGCCTTTGACAATATTTCTTGGAGTTTTATGAAAAAGAATCTTCATGGGATGGGGGTAGGCCAAGGATTCGAGAATGGTATGGGTGCCATATACACTGAACAAAAAGCTAAACTGATAGTAAATAATGTGATAACTGAAGAATTTAAAATAGAAAAAGGGACACGACAGGGGTGCCCTATTTCCCATTACTTTTTATTTCTGTTCTGGAGGTGTTGCTAAATATGATTAGAGATGACCAGCAGGTTAAAGGTGTACAGGTCGGAGCTAAACATTACAAGTTAAGGGCCTTTGCAGATGATTTAGTACTTACTTTACAAGAGCCAGACACTAGTACAAAAAGGGTGTTGGAGCTAATTCAAGAATTTGGCCAGGTAGCTGGATTTAAATTGAATAAACAAAAGACTAAAGTCTTGGAAAAAAATTTAACAGCCATGGAAAGGGAGAAATTTCAGAATGAAACAGGTTTGACAGTGGTAAAGAAGGTGAAATATCTAGGGGTTTATTTGACATCTAAAAATTTGAACCTGTATAAAGACAATTATGAAAAATGTTGGTCGGAAATTAAAAAAGACCTAGAAATATGGTCAAATTTGAAATTGTCAATGTTAGGCCGAATTGCAGTTATCAAGATGAATGTATTGCCCAGAATGTTATTCTTGTTCCAAACATTACAAATTCTAGACAAGATAGACTGTTTTAAGAGGTGGCAGAAGGATATTTCGAAATTTGTCCGGCAGGGCAAAAACCCAGAATAAAATTTAAAATACTGACGGATGCAAAAGAAAGAGGGGGGTTGCCCTGCCGGACTTAAAACTGTATTATGAAGCAGCAACTTTTTGCTGGCTGAAAGAATGGATGCTCCTCGAGAATACAGACATCTTGGACTTAGAAGGTTTTAACAATACATTTGGTTGGCATGCATATTTATGGTATGATAAAATCAAGGTGCATAGGGCCTTTAAAAATCATATTGTCAGGAAAGCACTATATAACGTTTGGATAAGATATAAAGATTTGGTGGAAAGTAAGACTCCTAGATGGTTGTCACCTTTGGAAGCCACGGCGTTGAAAAAACTTAATATGGAAGCCGAATGGCTAAAGTATCGGGAAATTTTGGAACAAGATGGAGATAAGTTGAAGCTACAGAGCTATGAGAAATTGAAACCCAAAGTACGAGATTGGCTCCATTATTATCAAATAATGGAGGTGTATAAACAAGACAGGAAAATTGGCTTCCAGGTGGAGAAATCAAAATTAGAAACTGAACTGTTAGAACCCAATACTAAGAACTTGTCAAGAATGTATAATTTGCTGCTGAAATGGAATACACAAGATGAAACAGTTAAATCAGCTATGATTAAGTGGGCACAGGACATTGGTCATAACATTATGTTTGCTGACTGGGAATGGTTGTGGAACACCGGTATAAAATTTACGGCATGTAATGCCTTAAAGGAAAATATTATGAAAATGATCTATAGGTGGTACATGACTCCAGTCAAGCTAGCAAAAATTTATCATTTGCCTGATAACAAGTGTTGGAAGTGTAAAGAAACTGAAGGTACTTTTTATCACCTTTGGTGGACGTGCCCAAAGATTAAGGCTTTCTGGGAAATGATATATAATGAATTAAAAAGGTACTTAAATGTACTTTCCTGAAGAAACCAGAGGCCTTTCTCTTGGGCATTGCCGCCAATTGGTATCAAAGAAAGACAGAACTTTTTTTATGTATGCTACGACAGCAGCAAGAATACTCATCGCAAAGTATTGGAAGACAGAAGAACTACCCACCTTGGAAGAGTGGCAGATGAAGGTTATCGACTACATGACATTGGCGGAGATGACTGGCAGAATCCGTGAGCAGGGGAAAGAGACGGTGGAAGAAGATTGGAAGAAATTTAAAATCTATCTAAAGAACTATCATAAAATTGAGGAATGTTAAAATGTCGAGGTTTGGAGAAAGAAAAGGAGATTACAGCGACATAAGATTAAGTTGAAGAAAAAAAAAATAAGAAAAATATATTTGATAAAATTATTTAGAATTTGCTGAAATAATTTTGGGAATTGGGATGTAGGAAGGGGAGGTTTGGGGGAGTCCGAGAAGAGAGGGTTATGAAAAAAAGGTTATGAAACTATACATGTTTGTATGTCTTTTTATTTGTTTGTACTGTATAAAACTTGTTTGTAAAATCAATAAAAAATTATTTAAAAAAAAAAAAATAGAGTGATGAACTTTGCGTCCATCTTCACTGCAGGAGATGTTGGGCAGATACAGACCCCTGAACCACCTTTCTTTCAGATAAAGTATCTGAAGAATGACATTGAACAGAAGTGTCAGGAAATGGCTAAACAAACCCAAGTCATTGGTTCTGCATGGTATATACTTAATTTCTCAAGAGTGAAATTTTTTGTTACTGTTCTACAAAAAATAATAATACATCACTCATCATTAAATTGGCCTCCTTATCAGAATATTGGTATATAACACCAATTATAAGCAACGGATTCCTGGAAGATATTACAGGCTCATCTACCTAAGTTCTAGGTGCATTGGTGGGGGAAAGCATTGTTAATGCAAGATTTTTTAAACAGATAGAAGAACAAGCCTTACTAAGAAAGAATCAGCATGTCTTCTTCACAAGGAAGGCCTTTGGAGGTGTCAACAACCATGTAGGTGTCATGTAGCAGATAGAAAATCTATATAAAATCTCAAGTGGGGAAGCAAAACTGCTGTGTGTGTGTGTGTGTGTGTGTGTGTGTTGTAAAATAGTTGACTATGCATCTCATGTCTTCATTGTCCAAGAGCAGCACACCTTGTGGGCCAGAGCCACAGCAATAGTCTCTTGTCTGCAACGTCGCTGCTGTATACCAAGAACACCTGCTGGTGTACCTGCCCAGTGCTGACCTTGCCACTGTCTCGCCCTTCCCATTCAGCATCCCAGTAAGCACCAGTGATCCTGCTGCTGCTGCTGCTGAAGAAGAGTTTGGATTTGATATCCCACTTTATCACTACCCTAAGGAGTCTCCAAGCGGCTAACATTCTCCTTTCCCTTCCTCCCCCACAACAAACACTCTGTGAGGTGAGTGGGGCTGAGAGACTTCAAAGAAGTGTGACTAGCCCAAGGTCACCCAGCAGCTGCATGTGGAGGAGCAGGGATGCGAACCCGGTTCACCAGATTACGAGACTACCGCTCTTAACCACTACACCACACTGCTGGGAGGCTATTGCTGTGTCTGTGTTCCACCGGGTGAGCTCTTCCTCCTCAGCATTCCCTTTATGACAAACTGAGCCTAAATCCGACCAGCCATCTTGTTTGAGAGTGGGTGGCTGCCTCTGACTCCTCACCTGAGCCAGGTCTCAAGATGAACAGTATCTTTGGGAGCCCAAAATGAAACAAGCCCATATAAAGTAAGCAAAATCAAATATTTTTTGGATTGAGAATTTCCTACTTTTTCTTTCTTTGGAAGGGAGATTCTTCTGATATTTCTGCACCGTTCATTATCTGCTGACCAATTAGAGGCTTTGTCGCGGAAATGCCATCCTGATAATGAAAGCCAATGCAAAGTGAGAATGTGATTATATTGTCAGTTTACAGGTACAGTATAAATAGAGTTTTTAACAGATCTCCTCCTGCTCGCCGGGCTCCTGCTGCTTGGTGGTGATGCCTCGAAATGTTCATTAAACTGACATGCCGTGTTGTTTAAGCCCAGCGCCTCACACAGCCAGCCAGGTTTGCCGCTATTTTCCATTCACCGTATCAATCAGGTTCTACATTTTAATTTCTTCGGCATCAGAAATGACTTTGCAGACTTGTTTGTGCACCTCGGTTGCATAAATTGCCTTTTCGCCTGTCAAAAGTTGGTAATGGACTGCTTTGTAAGAAGTCCATGTTTGGGAGGGTGTGTGTGTGTGTGTGTGTGTGTGTGTGTGTGTGTGCAGAAATCCAGCAGCCAAGAACAAAGTACAAAGTGGACCTCAGCTATATCCTGAAGCTCAACACTCGTTCTTTTCTTAGATGAAAATTCTGTATGCGAAGAATTTTCATAAGCAGATAGCATCTTGCTGGAGGCTGAGTGCTGTTCACTGGGCTGACTTGATTTGAGCAGGTAGTCTCTCCACAAATATCTTAGCCCTCTGGTTTCTACCTGCAGAAAATTAAATGCTGTTTTAAATGTAAAAGCAACTCGCCCTACAGGAGTAAAATTTCTAAGGGATCTAACCAAAGCAATTAAAGACATAATAGGCATTTTCTCACTCTCAGGTCTCTCTGCTTTGCTACTGGGATTTCTAAAGAACTTGTAAGGCATCCAAGTGTAAAGTTTGTCTTGAATCTTTCAGCAGCAGCAAAATTATTGATGCTGTTTTTGAAACATCAACATGTTAAAATTGGCATATCTGGGATATGGAGGAAAAAATGAAAATGGTGGCAAATGAGGCTTTTGGCCTGAACCAGCAGGGCTTTACTTAGATACTTACATTTTGACATCCCTGGGAATATTTTGCTACATCATTAATAGCAAACTCCAATTCAGCGTGTGAATAATGAAAGATGCACCCAGTCTGAGGAAGAATTCTTAAAATGGAAGCGGGGTAAGTGATTAAGGCAATTCCTGCAAATACTTGCAAACTTTTCCTCTTTTGCATGCCTGATGATGACCCGAAGGTCCCTCCAGGCACTCATGACCCTCCTGCCAGCTCACCTGCTTTGCATTACTTTGCCATTGAAGGGTGGAGATTAAAAAAGGGGGGGAAGGGGAAAATCAATTTATTGATGGAAATGGTATTTCTTTGTTTGTTTTATTAAATTTGCATCCTGCCCTTGCTCCCAAAGGGCGCCAGGGTGACAAATATCAAATTGTTAAAACATTATGCATGAGAGAGGGGCCCTGGCCCAAAGCCCTCCCTGTCTTCCTATTCCTGCTTCCATGTAATGTTTTGACTGTGGTGTATTAATTGACTATTAAGCTGACTATGATTCTAGTGCCTGAAGAGAGCCTGGTGCTAGAGCTTTGAGGAATCCCTCATTTTCTGAAGAAACTGGAGGAAGAAGAGAATTAATTGCGTTGAGCTGCCAGCTCAGAACTGGCTACGGGTTCTCAAGAGGGAAAAAAGCATATATGAGTGCTAAAAATTCTGTTTCCAGCATGAACCCTAAGCATCCCCAAATGCCTTTATTGTGTATAGGAATTTAATTTCACTGCTTGAATTGAGCACTCTTGATTTGCTTATGGGAAATGGTGATGCCACCACCAGCTCGTCTACTGTGCCTGCGTGTCTCACTGAAATCTTGTTAACTGCAAGGAGTCGATAGAACTGCACAATTGAAATATGAAAGGCCCTTCCCTAGTGTCTCTTTGTGTGCATTTCTATAAACTGCTATATGTTTGTGTTTGAAAGGCATATGAATAATTGCTTTCTAGGTTCCTAGATTAGTTTTTCTTTGAAATTTGCTAGGTCCCAACTTTGCTCCAGGGACCTTTTAGACAACAGCCTTTAATGCATAATATTGTATGGGGCAGCTCTTTGGATACAGCAGGAGGTGGGGAGGATTTTCCAAGTGTTGCTTTGATGTGGTTGCCCTTGGTGCTCAGGAACAGCAGGGGACAAAAGGAGAATGTGAGGCCGGATGCTATACAGGGTTCGTGCTAGTCTGTTGTTGCAGAAATAATAAAGAGTGTCTTCTGGTACCTTAAAGATTGACAAATTAATGGTGGCATTAGCTTACTTCATCAGAAGTAGGAAGATGCTGGGTGCATGCCTCCTCAGAGATATACACGCAAGGGCAAAGTTTTAAAAGAATGAGCGGAACCCAAGATGCTATGAAACCAAACCAGCGATGATAATAGGAGTTTGGTGGGTTCCGGGAAAGGGATGATGTGTGTCTTGCTTAACCATTTGTGAGGATGTGAGCTGGGATCTTGGAGAGTTGATTCTGAGTGTGGGTAAGTGTGGCTCAATGCAGCCTGCCACGGCAGAGAAAGGTTTGGGAGGCCAACTTGGCATCTGTGGCCACGATAGCACCCTTGAGGTCTTCCCCTGATATCGATGAAGCCTCTGATCCCTGCCCGCCCATCACCATCTCCTTTGAAAAGCTCACAGAGCCAAAGGAGGAAACTGCAAGTGTAAACTCTCCTTCCCACTTCCTCTTTTAGGTTCAAGCGATTTTCCAGGCTCAGGTTTATTCTGCAGGATCCAGCTTTTATCTAGATTCCATGGAAAAGCAATGTTTGTGAGCAGTGCTTTCTCGCTTTGTGTCTCTTGCAAGGGGGGACTGATACAGGGGAGGGAGGAGAGAAGTGACTAGCAGAGTGGTGCCAAAAACACTCACTCAAAAATCCAGTGGCCACCACAGGCTCGTAAAGGTTGGCAACCTCTGGACCAGAGTCTCAGGATAAATGAAGAGTCATGAGCATGTGAAGATGCCTTACACTGACTCAAACCATTGGCTCATTTGTACCAGCATTGCCTACTCTGGCTGGCAGCAGCTCCCCAGTATCTCTTTCCCAGGCTGTTTCTTGAGATTGTTTAACTGGAGGATTGAACCTGAGACCTTTTTACAGAAAGTACGTCTTCTACCACTGAGCTATAGCTCAGCATTTAAGCAGGAGCATCTCTGTATACTGGATGCTCTGCATTCAAAGCACTGAAATCTAGTTGGAGAGTACAGTGGTACCTCGGGTTACAAACACTTTGAGTTACAGACTCCGCTAACCCAGAAGTAGTATCTGGGTTAAGAACTTTACCTCAGGATGAGAACAGAAATCGCAGCCGACGACATGGCGGCAGTGGGAGGCCCCATTAGCTAAAGTGGTACCTCAGGTTAAGAACAGTTTCAGGTTAAGAATGGACCTCTGGAACGAATTAAGTTCGTAACCAGAGGTACCACTGTATAAAAATGATTAAGGTAAAGGGACTCCTGACCATTAGGTCCAGTCATGACCAACTCTGGGGTTGCGGCGCTTATCTTGCTTTATTGGCCAACGGAGCCAACGTACAGCTTCTGGGTCATGTGGCCAGCATGACTAAGCCGCTTCTGGCGAACCAGAGCAGTGCACGGAAACGCCGTTTACCTTCCCGCTGGAGCGGTACCTATTTATCTACTTGCACTTTGATGTGCTTTTGAACTGCTAGGTTGGCAGAAGCAGGGACCAAGCAACGGGAGCTCACCCCGTCGTGGGGATTCGAACCGCTGACCTTCTGATCGGCAAGTCCTAGGCTCTGTGGTTTAACCCACAGCACCACCCGCGTCCCATAAAAATGATTATGTATGTGTAATTAGTTCAGAGTTCAGAGCTTTGTCATTCTCCAGCCTGTGACAGGTGTTGTCTTCATTATGCATAGTTATGCTATCTGCACTAACCATGAGGAGGGAAGCTATAACCATGGACGGCAAACTGTCATGTCCCAGGGAGATCACAGGCAGAAAGCATAGGCCAAGTGAAGTGCAGATCAAATCTAGAAGCAACAACCAGAGGTTCCAAGGGCTACAGGCAGCTAAGTGGCAGGTTCTGGGGCAAGCAGACAAAGCTCATAGAAACCAGGGGCAGGTGACTTACTCTAGTGGAGGCAAAGGACCAGATTCTGGAAGAGAGAAGTGGGTACAGGAGTCTGTACTTGGGTGAGTTGCTCAGGCTGGGAGGCCAAGCTAGGACCGTTTCAGTGTTAGGTCAACAGACTTCTCCAGGCCACCCGATTCATCTGGGCTGACCAGCTCCAGTCTTTTTTCCTGCCATTCTTTGGATAGTGCCATGAAGCAGCAGAACTCTGGTGTTCCTGCCATCCTTCAATCTATCTGAGAGGTGCAGAGAATAAGCTACCTGGGCTGTGATGCCAGGTTCCATGGTTTGAGCCTCCAGGCACCTTACTTCACTCTTCAAAGTGGTTGCCACTTGCTCCATCTAAAATGGGAGACAGGTTGTAGGGCATGAAGTGGGAGCAAAAGGTTCCCTTGCCTGTCTCACAGGCCATCATTTGGGTTGTTGGCGCTGCAGCAGAACAAGTTGAGAGGTCAGGAGAACAGAGCCTGTCCCTGTCTCACCCAAGTACAGACTCCTTCACCCCATGGCAGCAACGATCCTGGTGACAGGTAGCAGGATGGCAGGTTGAGATGAGGAGACTGCCCTACTGCCCCATCCTCCTGTTTCCTGCCGTAGGGCCTCCACTGCCCCTGCAGTGCTTTAGCAGAGCTGAGCTTGATTCTGCACCCTTTGAGAGGCTTCTCTGACAATGCCAAGCTCCCCCAAATATCAGAAGTCACAGTGACTGGGAGTAGGGCTTTCAGTGCAGCTGGCTGCCTCTCTTTTGTAGAGCAGCATCCTTGCTCACATTTGACAGGTGCCCACTATCTGTATTTTCCGTAAACAATGAAAGGCGTTTTTGCTTTGACAAGCTTATCTAGTTGGATGAAAAGCTCTCTGCCTTCGATGTTCATTTTGCATTGTTTTTCGACCTGTCTTGTTATTCGTATGGTACCGTTTTTTAAAAGAACTACTAGCCATTTCTGCAAATCCCCTTGATGCACATGTCAAGGCAACCCACAAATTAATTAATTGATTTTTAAATTAATGATTAATTACGGACGGGCACTGGCTATGCTTACCTGGACCCAAGCAGTAAAATGCTGTGTCTCTTCACCTTCTTATTCCAAGACATCTATTTATTTTAGAGCATCAACAGCAATGGCATTTTCTTGCTTGTGTACAGGTAAGTTTTGTCAGCCTGGCTGGTTTCTGTAAAAGGGAATGTTCAAAAGACAAAGTGCAGAGCAGGTCATGGGTAAGAGCAAGCATTAAAGGGACACATGCTGAATTAATCAATCACTGACGGCCCTCGTTTTGTTCTTAATAATCCATCTCGCCAGAAGAAAAACTTTCAGGGCACAACCTTGAATTATTTTACATCTATCTTGTTTAGCAATCCTGGCACTGCCTCAGATGCTGATTTTTCATCGTCTCCTTCATCTCCCAGGTAAATTAAATACTGTTGAAACAGCTGTCTGTTGCCTCACAAGGTATTGCTTGTGTGGGGGAGATAGCAGCTTCTACTAGGGCAGAAATCAGATAGGTTTCTCCAGGGGGAAATATTTGCTAAGTTGAAAATGTCAGGCAGTTGAGCATAGCACCCTGGTTGTGTGTGTGTGTGTTTTCTCTGCATCGGTGGTACCTCCGAAAAAATATATATCCTTGGCTTCATCAGGTACCTGTGAAGAAGCGTCAGTTCTCCCTGTGTCACATTCAAGTTAATTTTTCACAAAAGACTTTGAAAGATTTCATCAAAAGGGAAAGAACTTGAAGCCTGTGTCCTGTTGAGTCTGCAGTTTAACAAGACAAAGAAGATGAAAGGTGCCAAGAGAAAGTATTAGTAACTCCTCTCTCTTTTTTTGCAGAGAGGGAATTTGTGGCACAGATTATCAAGTGATATGTTCAAGGTCATGCAAGGAATCTGCAAGAAAACAGAACCCTGGTCTCAAGAGTCTCACACCAAAAAGGCCTCAAATGTTCATTAACAGCATCTTCTGAACTTCTAGCAAAAGCTTTTTGAAAATGCGAATGCTTGACAATTCCACTTTTTATGTTCCAGCTGTATTTTTAAGTAATAAGCTGGGGGTGTAAATAAAGCTGTTATATATTCCAGGTTTTGTACTTCTCTTTTTGATGTCCTTGGGTTGCTTTAAAACCATTAAAATGCTCCTTTTTGCAAAATTAATAAGAAAAAATATATATACTGAGAATATATCATTTTATAATCAGGTCCCTGAGATCACAGAGATCTGATTTTTCTTAAAAAAATCCTGCCTCAATCTCAATTTTAATTTTTGCCTCCAATGTTGAGGGATGTAAACTTGTTCTTAAAAATTACATTTTTGGCTGCCTATGTTTAAGACATTAGGGTTTCGTATCTTAAAAACAAATGTAGTCTTTATAACCCCATCCTAAGACCTTGCCTGCTTCATCTGTCCATGAAAAGCTAGTCTTAACTTTCATCCAAAGTTGGGCAAGAAAATCACACTAATGGTTTTCGGTGTGTGTGCCCAATGAGATTTCCAAATTTTGGGAGGAGGGGTAAACTGTAGCCCCCCCCCCAATAATATTTGTGTCTGTGGTATCAGATGACGTATGTTTGACACTTCCCAAACACCCAGAGCCAGAAAACCTTTCTGCGGAGGAGGTAGATTATTTTCTGTACAATAACCTTTGTAGAAATATTGTAAACTGTCTAGAAAAACTTTATTACAACTGAGAATGAACATAAACTAACATTAACAGTTTTGCAGGGTGTTTTTCTAACACCATTGCAACACTTTTAGGAAAACTGTCCCTGGTTAGGGAACTGTCTCCAAACAACACTATATGGTTTGTGCCCAACTTACTGACACTTTCTTGACCTTTCACTGACTATTTCCCTGTGGAAAAAAGATGGGGTGTTTGACTACCCCATCTGCTGTCATTAGCTGCGCTAACAAACACGCCCCAATGGCAAAATACAATGCATTTCTGGGGCAGTTTTTGTTTGCAGAAGGAAAATGGTAAGGGGTAACTGCCCAAATATTGGGAATGTTGCACTGGAGACGATTTATGTCAGTGGCCTAAACAACAACCCTGTAAATCTACATATGTGTGAATTGCAGAGTGAAAAATGTTCCTGGGGTTGAGTTCTAACTCCAGAAAAATGGGGGAAGGTTAAACATTATTAATACATATGGAGCTTGCGTAATGTAAAAGACTATTTACATTGTTCTTTAATTTCCAATTAGGTATCTGATTACCTATCCGTTTATCCTTTTGAACTGGCTATGGTTAAACACTCATAATCATATTTGAATTGCTGCAGTTTGATCACTGCAACCAGCACCCTCTAAAAAGTCACAGCTAAAATTGAGAACCTCACATTTTCGTCCTCCTCCACATCTTTCAGATTAGAAGATGCCTACAATGTATACTGTGCCACGTGGCTTTATTAAAATACAAAACAAAAAAAACGGATCCGTGTTTCCACTCCTGCAGACATATTTTAAAAGTCTCCCTGTAATCTTATCTTTGCATCAGCATATCAATGTAGTTGTAGACTCCACGCTGTAGATTAGACTGAAATAAAATGTCTATTTTGCACTTCTTCTCGCTCCCATTGCATCCACAGGAATCAAGTCCTGCAGAGCTCGGCTATACGTTACATTATCTCTTCAACGACAGCGCTGGTCTGTTAGTTATGGTGCTACCTGCGGCTCTTTGAGTCTTATGCTGACGAATACGATAACAACAAAGACCTTTATCAAGCAAAGGATAAGGCAATCGGGAACATTTCATTTAAACCTGTTGCTCACCATGCGTAACATCGGGCAGGGGGGCATTTTCAAAGTTTTAGGCAGCTGAGTTGGCCCATTGGAGCGAGGAATCAAAATCCACAATATCTTTATTGTTGTTGTTGTTGTTTAGTCATTTAGTCGTGTCCGACTCTTCGTGACCCCATGGACCAGAGCACGCCAGGCACTTCTGTCTTCCACTGCCTCCCGCAGTTTGTTCAAACTCATGCTTCACGAACACTATCCAACCATCTTGTCCTCTGTCGTCCCCTTCTCCTTGTGCCCTCCATCTTTCCCAACATCAGAGTCTTTTCCAGGGAGTCTTCTCTTCTCATGAGGTGGCCAAAGTATTGGAGCCTCAGCTTCACGATCTGTCCTTCCAGTGAGCACTCAGGGCTGATTTCCTTAAGAATTGATAGGTTTGATCTTCTTGCCGTCCATGGGACTCTCAAGAGTCTCCTCCGGCACCATAATTCAAAAGCATCAATTCTTTGACAATCAACCTTCTTTATGGTCCAGCTCTCACTTCCATACATCACTAAATATCTTTATTAGGACCTACTAAAATATCCAAAACTAGTAAAGAGAGTCCTAGGAACTTTACTTCAGACTGGAAGTTAAGCCAAATAAATAAAGGGGAAACAGAAAGAAATAGAAAGGCGATTGATTGATTGATTACTCCAAAGTCTGTAGTTTGTAACAGACTTAAGATGGAATGTAGGAAGTGCCATGCAGACGATATTAGATTGGACTGTGCTAGCTGCAAAACAGTTGCAGCGAGAGTAACTAAGATAAACAACTCTCTTTTTTCTTCTTCAAAATATTAAGGAAGGCAGAACTCGTCTTTATATTGAAAAATAAAAGATTTTTTCTTTTCTTTTTTGCGGGCCAGGGATCACTGCTATTGTTTATTTGTTCCCTGGTGTAACCAGAAATCTGCCTTGCATGCAGCACATTCAGATTAGATTAGATTTCATCAGATTATTTTATGTCTTCATAATATCTCCTGCACTCAGGTTTAAGACTATAACAAATGGAGGTATTTCCGAACTTCACCCCCCTTTTTATTGTTAACATTCAGCCTGAAGTGTTCTAGGGATTTGGTTCACCATTTTGGGAAATTATAGAGGGTTCTAAAACAGCCCTCTGCGCTGTTTGAATTTCCAAACAATGTGGTTATGTGAATCCATGGGGCTGGATTCAAATGAACTTATTCCTAAGAGGTGTCGTGTTGTTGCCCACCCCTTATCTTTTTTTTATTTACAAATATGGAACAGTCTCCCTCGGGAGGTTGTGGACTCTCCTTCATTGGAGGTTTTTAAGCATGGATGCTTTAGCTGAGATTCCTGCATTGCAGGGGGTTGGACAAGATCATGGGTCAGTAAACCTTTTCATCAGGGGGCTGGTCCATTGTCCCTCAGATCTTGTGGGGGACTGGACTATATTTTGAAGGGGGAAAATGAACAAATTCCTATGCCCCACAAATAACCCAGAGATGCATTTTTAATAAAAGCACACATTCTACTCATGTAAAAACACCAGGCAGGCCCCACAAATAACCCAGAGATGCATTTTAAATAAAAGGACACATTCTACTCATGTAAAAACACGCTGGTTCCCGGACCATCCGCGGGCCAGATTTAGAAGGCGATTGGGCCAGATCCAGCCCCCAGGCCTTAGTTTGTCTACCCATGAACTAGATGACCCTTGGGTCCCTCTATGATGCTATGATTCTATGAAATATATATGTATAGAAAGTGCACAGGACTCTGTAGGCTTTGCCTAGGCATCCAATTGGCTGTCATGATTCAGCAGGGCTCTTGTTATGTTTTTATGTCAGTGGGGGCAGCATCTACAAAGAGGTTCAGCCGGGGGGAAATGCAGTTGACTGGTCAATTGAGACTCCCAAAATGTGCCTGTGTGTGTGAGAGAGAAAGAGTGGTGGTGGCGTAGCTGACAAACATTTTCTCTACTAGTCTCTTTCAGCTCCCAAACAATCCTGGGCCTTGCTTTGCAGTCTGAACACCACTTTTAGGGTCAGGGCATAGCATGGACAGGGAGGAAGCAGTTCTCTTGCTCATAAGCAGTGATGTCATAAGCCCCCTTCACACATAATTCAGAGGAAGGAGGCTTCAGGTGCAGATGGGGGGGAGCAGGATCTCAGAATGTAAGGAAGCCTACATGCATAGGCTGTCCATCAAGAGTTAGGAGAGTGGAGTGATGGGGCCAGGGAGCCTTGAGACATTGGTGGCATGGCTGGTGATACACCCCCCCCCCACCCCTGGAACATGAGGAGCCCCCTTCACATGAATAGCAAAAGGAGTGAAGAGAAGCAGGGCGAGACCAGCTCCTTAGGGTTCCTCCTCTCCCTGAACTTTATCCACCCAGCAGGTCCTGAGAAGAACTTTGTAACTAAAGTACCTGGGGTTGCCTGTTTTCCTCCTTCCTTCCCAACACTTTTCCCTCTTGTGCCATCTCATTTTGATTGCAGGCCTGTGGGCAGGGGCTGTCCTGTTAATAAAGCAATACAGGAAGGGGCCAGTAATCTGTATGCACCCAAGACATGGCTGCACCACATCTTGGAATGCACTCGGGCTCCAGGGAAGAACCAAACTTTCCCAAGAACTTGCTTATTTCCATTGGACTCCCTCCCACCATGTGTATTGTACAGCAACATCTCATTAAGCAGTACAAGGGGAGTGAAACAGACCAAAGCACGATATATTCAAGTCTACCCTGGAAAGCAAGCCTGAGGTGATAGTAAGAGCATGTCAGTGAGTCCCTTCCGCTGCACCCTGGGCCCAGTGTGCTCAGCAGTCAATTGTAAAACCACTTTAGACAAAGACCTTGCAATTCCAGTGCTCTGACAGAGTCGCGTTGAGAGCAGAGCCAAATAATTTTGTTGATTAGCTTCCGCCCTGGGATTTTTCAGCCCTGGCATGGCAAGAGAAGGCTTTAAAGGTCAACTAGAAAACCAAGAAAAGATTTTCTGGATAAATTGCTCCAGTTTATACTGCCATTTATAAAGTAATTTCAACAGGCATGCTTTGCTAAGTGATTTTTAAGATCCAGACTACTGCCCTTTTCCTATAAAATATATAAACATAGATATCACAAGGCAGGTCATCATCTCAGTTTGGGTTTTGTGGCTGTCTTCATGGGCTACATAGATTTGGGGTATATTACAGATGAATGCATGAATTGCTCATTCTTTGAGTCAAGCCTCCCAGTTAAAGTCCAGGCCTCTGCTGGCTTCCCGCCCAGGGGAAGGTGGGAATTGGACAGTACCAAGGATGCAAACGGAGCAGTCACCTTCACCAAATGTTATGGAATG